TTTTCTATATATAGTACGATTTTCAAATCATTCTGGCGTTTTTTAACTCGCCGTTGAACACAAGCGGGACTCTCGTACTTTAAACGTTAAACTGTAACGGTGTATATTATAGTCGATTTAGACCTAAACGATTTCAATATTGAAAACGAATTATGACTCTTTAGGTCTTTTCCTAAAATATATTGGAAGTAAGAATATAATTATTTTACTAGAAATGGTAAAAATATTATATGGTTATAGATGGGTAGTTGAGAATATAGGAAACATAGTTATTTAATTTATATCGGAGTCAAGTAGGTACGGTTTGAAATGTAATTTTACAATATCCGTCAAAATTTGAACTTAAAACGTTAAAAAAACAAAACAACTACATTGCGTTTTTTTTTTTTTTACCATTAAGTGAAACTTACGATAAACCTCGTATTAAATTTTCAAGCCAAAAATTTGTAGGGCCAAAATAATTTTATCCGTTTAAGAAAACTCTAAAATGTCAAATGTTTATAAATAACTAAAAATTCATCAGAATGTTTTGAATTTATCGCATCCAGCAAACACTAATGTAAATTATTTAATAGTTTGTGCACATTTCACTTAACTGCGATTATTTAAAACTGAATTACAAAAAAAAAAAAGGACGGACATACTTTGCACGTGGGTGCAACTCCTTTTGTAGGTAAGAAATTAGGAATGTAGGATGTGTGGCGGGAATTTAATGTATATTTGTAAACAACTATAAACCATTGCTAACGAAAAAACGATTCCGAGCTGAGTTCAGCTGATAGTATATTGCTTTATTAATATGTGTCATATTATGATAAGATTATTACAACAATATGCGTCTCTATGACAATAATGATTGTTTAAAAAAATTAAAATAATAACACCTTAATTATAACAAAAATTAAATAAATAAAAACGGTTGACAATGACAACCTTATTTTTAATCTTTCAGTATTTTTTAACCTATAGAACCAAGTTTTTCTCATTATCTCGAATATTAATGAGAATTTCAAAAACTGACTTCTTTAAAGTATCACACAGAGAATATTCTCTTTTAGAATAGGTTTTATACTTGATAATTTGGAGTACAATTCTAGAAAAGTGTTCACATAAAAAAAAAAAATAAACATCATTGTAAAACCAATACATTCCTCGCTCCCCTCAGAATACAAAATAATAATAATTATATGAAACTTTCCAGTCTTTCCTACGGATTTTCCCAATTATTAAGAAAACTACAAGGAAAACTGTCACCAATTCCCTAAATACATTAATATTATATTGAGCGACGCACCAATTTGGGGCGTCCTGAACCGGTGAGGCTTATAGCCGACCCCGCCCACTTCGAGTCATACGGAACAGCAGTGCCGTGACGTCGGTCGTGTATATACAGTAATAACCGTCGGACGGCCGAATGCCGCGGCGTGTCGATGTGCGCCTCTTTGTTCACGGTCGCACGAAACGCGGCGATGATCATTGACAAGTATACTACTTGGTGATGACGGACGCTAATAATGTGCGTGCCGCGTTAGGTGCGTATGCCACACGAACGGGATTTTATCATTTTATCACCGGCTGCCGCCTAGTGCTGGTCTTGCGAATGAATAGAACTGCGGGAGACGAACGTGGTCCTGTACTTCTGCCCGCTGAACAGGATTGATTGTTCAACGATCGTGAAAATCACCGGAACCCAAATAAACAGCGTGTCGTACAAGCACCTATATAATATAATATATATTCTATATCCCATACCTATATAGCCATATAGTTGGTAAATCGTAAAATAAGTCCTATGTAAGAATCCTCGGCTAACAGCTGTCCTCAATGCATACACACATCTACAAAATATATTTTATACAAATATCATTACAATGTGATGTCCATGATTGCTGATGGTATAAGCACAATGCAGGCTGTAAAACTAATTAGGTATACTTGCAGTTCGATAAAAATTCAATAGGTGGGTATTTAAAAATGTGAATACCTATATAAATTCGTAATTATTGCCTACAGAATAAACCTGCATAAAAAAATATCATTGACATCATCACCAAATGGAAAAACATTGATAATATTGATAAATGCAAAAAGAAAAAATATTTTTTTTTTAGTTTTAAATTTGGTTCTGTATGTGGATAAAATTGTTTTAACACAATACAAATTTTTTAAAAAGGTTGATCAAGGCACTATCAAGTGATCAAAAATCAAATATTAGAGCTGATACTGGGAAAGGGTAAAGGCACTGTTGTAACTTGTAGATGAGAAGTTGAGAAGGTAGAATATATAGTAATTTATTTTATATCTGTACACAAGGATAAACTATTGATAACGAAAAGCGATTCGAAGCGAAGTTGAGTATGACATATTTTGAAATACTGTCTTTTTTATTTTAAAATGCTTATGAAAAAAAAAACTAAGGTATTAAACTTAAATTTGTTTTTTAGACTACTAAGTACAACTGTAACATACCATATGTTAATTTTCAAGCATTTCTCTTATGTCATACCCTATATAACAGGGGTGGCCACTAACCTTAACTTTGGGAGCCGCAAATTTATAAAGCTAATTTGAAGCGAGCCACATTGTAAAGCGATGTTTATGAAATGAAGACACAATGAAAAATATAAAAACGCGATAACGGAAATCATGTTGTTATCGTCGTCGTCTGACGCGGTCGTAACACACCGTGACTATTTTTGGCTACACATACTAAAAGTACCGTCGCCGTGCCAATCTATACCTAATAACGAGTGTAATGATAATGAAATCGACAGCAATAAAAATGCTATCTACGTTTCTAACGATTCTAACAAATTTTATATTTATTAAGTTTAGTCTAAATTTAGTTCAAGAGCCGCACGAAACTGATTTAAGAGACGCATGCGGCTCGCGAGCCTCGTTGTAGCCACCCCTGCTATATAATAATATAGGTACTATATACAATTGTATATATAATAATTAAAAACTATAAAAGTTACAGATATTTTGAAAACTTAAAGTCGAATTTATTTATGTATATTATGTATGTAGTACCTATATAATAATATATCACATTTACTGGGAAAACTCGTGAAAAACGAAAAATGACCTTAACACTAATATCAAAATTTCTAGAAAAATATTGTTCATTTAAATCTGTGTTCAAAAGGGGGGTTCCTATTTGAAAATCAAAAGTATGCACTCATTTAAGGTATATGGAGTAGAAAAAAAACATTAAAAATGGTTCTAAAATAAAGCTTAAACGATTCCATAATGATTAAAAAAAAACAAAAATCAAATTCACTTAAAATTCTGAGATAATTGCTAGTTCATGATAAAAACAAAAATCACACTATACTATAATATAGTAGGTTTAGACGGTTTAGTAGTGCGATTTGTGAATATTTCAATATTATTTTAGTGAATATCCGAAGGTACCTACTTAATAAATATAATAATAGGTAGATACATACACTTACGTACCCTACTTATCATAACTAGAAATTTACCTAATTACGAACATGAGTAAAAATATATTAATTAAAAAATACGGGAATACCTGTAAAAAAGATAATATTCCTAATTTCCCTGTGTACAATATTTTTTAAATTTATATTATTTTAGAATTTTATATTGTTTAACGAATAATTTAATTTATTTTGTTTTACCTTTTGATGTATCAAACATTAAAATTTTAAATCCATTGTTATTATGTATTTTATTTTTACTTGACTCATGATATTTCATTGAAAGTAAGTAGGTACTAACTAAAATTGTCCATAAATTACAATAATTAAATATAGTATAGGGAACCTTATTCATCCAATATTTTGTAGGTAAATACCTAGGTAAAATTTAACCTGTTAAATATATATATTTTTTTTATTGACTATATGTCTTTGGTTTAAAATGTGGCTCATTAGCCGCATTTATTTTTAATTTTTCTGTAATATTTTCGTTTTCTAGAAACGATATGTATTATGTATTTTTAAAAGTTGTTCTTTTCTATATAATAGATTAATATATTAAGGATTACAATTATGTTAGATTAAGATCTTATGGGCACCCACACGAGCTTAATCAGTGGGGCCTATTATATTTTTGAAAGAATAAAAATAAATAAATACATATTTTCCCATTCACATACTAATAAATAAATTAATACCTATATTATAATATACATAGGTACCTCACATATTTATTTAGGTGATCAAAAAAAAAAATAATTCCGAGTGTTCTATGTAATTAATGAAAATTATCAATTACTATTATAGTAAGTACAGTACAGTTAGCACTACTTATAGATTTACCTATACTCGTATATTATAGTTGCTTTGTATTACCTATTATTACGTAATAAAACTTATCAGATATCTTATCTTAATAATTTAAAAATACTAAATAAAATATATTTTATTAATTTGTTGATAAATCAGATATTTGGAGTCTTCTCAAGGATTTTTTGATTATATAAACAGCACGTAATACAATTATTTAACTAGGTATACGATTAAGAAATATAAATTTAAAAGTCGCCCAAAGATGTAGATGAAGATTTATAATTTTTTACCTAACCGGTTTTCAAACTTGGTAATAGGTACAACATTGGTAAGATTTGTATATTCATCAAAGGTGGTCTACACGCCCTAGCACCGTTGATTGGCAATATAATATAACAAAAGATGCGGCTTAGGTTATTTTACCATTAGTACCATAAGCCTCAGGCACTCGCACATGGATACTGATATCGCAAAACCACAATCATATATTACTAGTAAACATAATTTGTACTTTCTAATACCTCCCACGCACAATAGATCATTTACAAGCAGCTTCCAATGTCCCACTTTTACTTTTCGCTATTTAAATAATAATTTGTTTTTTGCCTTCTTATAATTATTGTTATCTATAAATTACATTAGGCAAATAAGGACAAGGACAGGCTAATGAATAAAAATATTAAAAATTCCATATACATTAATATATTTTTCATCTTCTCTTCATCAATATTTAAAACTCTACTTAGGACAGAATATAAAAAAAAGTATTTACAAAATACAAATACAATACATATATAATATATATATTTAAAAATACTATAATATTTAAATACACTAATTTGGATGATCACAATAAGTAAATAACAACATGATAAAGGTCGACTATATATATTTTTTTAGTAAACATTCCTATTAATATATCTATTAATGAGATTTATTATTGTCTGTAAGACAGGGAAATTCTTTAATTATCTTTTCAACTCAAAGGAACATAATATAAATATAAATTGAAACTAGGGCAAGAAGCAATTTCTACTAAATATTCATAAAATCTGAACAATAATTGATACTCAAGTTAATTTATCGTCAGAAATAACATTAACATCAAAGAAACTAAAAATAGAATATAAAACAAATACCATTTAAGATGACCACATAGGGGTTTGATTTTATTAAACAATCGATTAAAAAACCAAAAAACTGAATAGTAAGAGAATTGAATTTTATGAAAATTATTCATATACTTGATAGTTGATTTATTAAATTAATTAGTAATCACATTAAGCAGCCAATATTCCAACATTCATCAGAAATTCATAACATGAGTACCAATATATAAGGATTTGTGGAAAAATATTTATCCGGGACGGATATCATTGTTTAACAATAATTTAAAAAATATGAACGTTATAAAATTATCCCAAAGTAGACATTTTGTAAGTACCTATGTAAAAAAAAAAAAAAATGGCACAGAAATGTTAGTAAAAAAATAAAGAAGCTAGACAATTTTCTTTTATTAGGATTAAATAATCATGTTAAGTATAGGCCAAATTATTTGTTCAAAAGAGAGTATAATATTAAGTAAAAACAATGTTAAGAGTTTTAAGTTCTTACATTATACAAACATTTTTATACTTTTGGCCCCTAAGAAATAAAGCAGTCTTTGAAAAAAAAAAATAATAATAAGAAATGAAAATGTTACATAATGGAATGTTTTTTAAGCTAAAGGAACACATTAAATTTAAACAGAAAAATTACATAAATATTCTATGTACAAAAATAAAAAAATAAAAAAGAGTAGTCAACTTATTTAGGGTCTATTTTTTAAGTACAACAATTGTCCCTGTGATGATGAATTTTAATTGGATATATTTGATCTTCTGGATTGCGTTCATCAGCTAATGATCTAAACCTAACAAATCCATTTTCAGCGACTAACATGGACGGCGAGGGCTGTATGGCTGCTCTTTCAGCATATGCGTACATACTTCTGGAGTCATCATCCATTCGTTTTAATGATCTCCTTTCGGTAGTGTGCGCAAACAACTGATGGTTTGCCAACGGTGGACCACCCATCGAGTATGTATCATCATATATATGTTTACCTGTTCGTAATGTGTAATTATGAACAGCTTGATTGGCACTGCAGATGGCTGGATAAATGTCATCTGATGGTGGATCACTCCGGGAAACAGTACCACGACAAGGGAATAATGTTAATCCGGATTGATTTTGAGCTTCTTTTTCACTAGTATATCTCAGTGGCTGTATGGATGCCCAAAATATCAAAAAACATGAAGATATTTCAATCACACGTACAGAAAACTGATAACCCCACCATAACCATGGATTAGGCTGGTCTTTACCTAACATTTCATAAACACCAACCATACCATATAACTGAACTGACGCCATCAGAAGACTCAACATACTAGTGGCTAATGTCACACGTACAGAATGAGCCAAAGTAGGGCGATGTTCATGGAAACTAGCTCCAAATATAGTTCCTTGTTTTCTTAGAGAAGCATTAGTCATAGATCTATATAGACATACATATGTAACTCCAAGTATCACACATAGTAAAATGTAAATACATTTAGATACCAATGAAAGTATATGTGCCTCTGAATAAAACAATACTATAATACAAAAAGCCATATAGCAACTAATAAATATTGCCAACAGTGATGATTTTTGTAAGTTATAAAAAACTGTCTTCACATCAGTAGCTCGCAACAGAAACAAAAATAAAACTGAATATACTGTCAACAAAAGTGGAAATACTATATTTAGAGCTAAACCAGATAACTGGATAGATAATGTTCCATTAACATTGTAGGGATCATATAACAAATAAGCACTTCTTACACAGCCAATAATAATTAATAAACCATGTATAGTCACAAAATAACCACATGTTAGTAATTTTTTAAATGCTCTTATCCTTGCTATACTAAACACTGAACAGAATACTAATATCAGAAAAAGTATAGCAATTAGATAAACATGAACATCCCAAAAAACGCCAAGAATATACCTGGCTCTGGGTTCAGGATGATCTGGCATAGAAACAATTTCAGGATGTGACTCGGGTACATCAACATCACTTTTTGACTCAGTTACTTGTTGCTCCTTAAATATTGTTGGTTCATTTTCGGTTGTTTCTTCAGATGTTGTTTCAAAAACTTGTGATGAAGATGTTGTTTCTATTAATTGAAAAGTTCGTTGAGTGGATTTTGAAACTTCTTGTTTAACAGTTCGAGATGGTTTAAGATCTTGGTCAAAATTTGACTTATCATTACTTAATAATCCATCAATCTTTTTACTATTATCATCAAATAAAATTCGGAAAACATTTGGGCTAGATAAATTTTGGACTTGTTGTACTACAATACTATAAGTATCATTAAGTCCTTTAAATCCATTTGCTGCTGTAGTACTAGTTGGCTCAGAATAAGTAGATTCTGGCACTCTTAACTTATTTAAACTAGGAGTGTTAATAGTTTTCTTTTTCGTATCAGTCATTGGTACGTCAACAGGTCTGATTGGTATAAAATCTTTATCATATTTGGCCTGCACAATTCCAGGCCTTCGAGGTGGTAATGACTTTTCTGAATTACTACCACGAAGTGTCGGTTTATCAGCAAATGGATTGAAATGTTCTGGAGGCAGTGGTGGTGTAAATGTGTTTCTATCAGGGGGATTATATGCAGATATCAGACGATTTGTTGGACTAGTCACAAGTTGCTGTTGTGAAGAATTTGTTCGTGAAGTACGAGAATTTGAATCTGATTTAGATGCCAACGTTTTGTCGAATACCTCATAGTCCACACCATCAGTCAACACTCGTCTGTCTAATACGCCCATGTCATGATCGAACATTTGTGCATTGCTGTCAGACACCAGGAGCCAAAGCATTGCCGTAAGCAATACCTGTAGCATGACTGGTCGCATTTGCGTGATATCAGATACGAACTCCTTTCATTATTATAATAATGTCGTTCTAGTTTTTGTTTTTAAATGAACACTAACTAGCCAGTGTACTTATATGTAACATATCAACTTACGATAATACCCTAGACATTACAAGACGGCCGGGTTCACAGGTGTCGGCGGCGCACAGGAGACAAATGCAATCCTTTGTCATGATACACTGTCGACACGACCACAGTGGCTTCTAAGTGTGTCAGCACATATTCACACTAAAACTCGCGCACATCACGTCACACTATATTCGAACGGTCCAGATGGATGAATGTTTACATACGGTCGATATTATAGAAACCTAGATCGAACTTGCGAACAGTGAAATTACGCCCGGAAACAATAAACATTATAAACCTAATAAACCATCACGTCTGGTGTGCCAGCCATTTGCATTTTGTTATAATGAATTTCCCAAAGACTATATAGTAATCATATGGTTCACGGATATTATAAACAATCCTTAACAACTATTTATTCGGTTTTGTTATTTATGAGTAAAAAAATATTGTTAAATGTAAATAATATAATTTATTTAATTTTTTTATGTATATTTAAAGTATTTACTTGATTCAATGAAAATTTAACTAATTTAATAATACATTTAAAAAAAATATTATTTAGGTTACGTAATAATCGAATAATCTACTATGGGTAGATAATATGACATAAATGGTATAGTTCAATGGTACATTCTGATAATGGATTTAATCATTAGATAGTGATATCAATTTTTATTTTTTAAGTATTCATTTGAATCATGATTAAATTGTGAATTCTTCCATTTTGTGCATTTTTGTTCGTGTACAAAACAGATAGTTAATGATTTGAATTCATATATTAATTTTAAAATATAATAATAATGTTTGAATATTCATAATTTGTATTACAACAATTGAAAAGTGAACTTTCTATTTCCATTTAAATTCATTTACTTTTAACTTATTTCTGTAGTTTTCTTTATTAATAATGAGTAAAAGACCTAGAACAGAATCATTAGATGGCCAAGAGGACATTTGGGGTGCAGATTTCACATTTGACGAAGTGAACTCAATCAACAATATTGAAACGCTAGCATCACAATCACACTTTGCTGGTAAGTTACCCAACGTTAAATTCCCATAGTGTGTAAGTAATATAAGTATTTATAAACGGCTTGTATACAATGTTTTAGTTCCATCGGCTAATCCAGCTTATTTAAATAACACTAGTGAACAAAATGACAATCAAATGCGAGAAGGGGAAATTAAAAATTTAAAAATGAAAATAAAACAATTGGAAATTCAATTAAGCAATGTAAAACATGAAAAAAGTGATAAATTTAAAACCATGGAAAAAATGATTGATTGTAAAGATACAGAGCTTAAATTTCAGGTTAGTTGCATAATAATTTGTATAAACTTTTTAATTACTTTTATTATTTTGAATAGAAACAAGAATTAACAGCTCTTAAAAATAAGATTAAGGAAATGAATATTAATGTAAGCAAAATTGCTCCCCAGAAAAATGTGTCATTTAGTTGTATGAAAACAGAAAGCAACTCAAAATTATTGTAATATATTTTAAAATAGAAAAAAATTCCATAATTGTTTTTAATTTTTTCTTATTATTAAGACATAATGCTTCAGAACATGGTCTAAAAAAAAATATTTCAACTCAAACCATTACCAATCAACATAGTGTAACAAGAAGTGATTTTCCAGAAACAAATAAACCCTATGAAAAATTGAAAAAGTACTTGTATACTGACTTAATTGTTAATCAAGACAATGCAAATGGTAATAAAAATAATTTTAAATGACTATAAATCATCTAATTAAAATGAAACATTTTTATTTACATTCTATTAGAAGTAAAAAAATTGAGTACAATACAAGAATGTTATTTAATTTTAGCCAATTTGATGGTTTTAGAAACATTTGAAGAAAATAAATCTTACTCTTTAATTAAATTGGTAAACTATACTAATAATTTTACTAAATTGATACATTTTAAATTTGTTTTAAATTTTTATAGTTGTTTGATAACTGTCAACATATTTTAGAATCGACTATTAAAACACTCCAAGAGACAATTGATGATACTGATTTTGTTAAAAGAGAAAAACAATTAATTTATAGCTACTTAAATTTAAATAAACAATGCTCAAAAATTAGTTCTTTAACGTATACACATTAATTTTATATTTTAATTTCTAATTAATATCATATATTATATTAATGTTTATAATATTTATTTTTCAGGTTTGATTTACAATTTGCTCATTTATTAGAGTGCATATCAGTATTAACTACTATTTCTAATCTTGTTCCAAAAATTGTTATGAACCACACAGTAAATATATTTCGAACATTTGTTAACTTTTTACAAATAATTGGTGTACAAGTAATTATTTGTTAAAAATAATTTGATTTGGTTGTCTTATAAGTAATTTTATTTTTCATAGAGTCGTACTATGGAATATGTTTCTGTAATTAAATCACTTATAAAGTTTATAACAAATTTATGTAATTGTAATTGGGATATATCAAAAAAAAAGTAAGTTTAATAAAAAAACAAGTTAATATATATATGTATATGTATAATTGTGTTGTTTTAATATTATACTTACTTTAGACAGTTGGACATATTTGATATAATAAAAGAAATAGTATTTTGTCGTCCTTGTATTGACATTGTACAAGAGTTAATACATTTATTCAGCAAAATTGCTATATACACAGAGATAACAGATAGTCTGTGTCAATTATCTTGTAAGTTAAGAAGTTAAATATAATTAAATTACATAAAATTAAATAATTAAATAATATTTAAAATTAACAAAGTCATTCAGCTATTTATAGACATTTTAATTTTTCGAGTTTTTTTACATAATTTTTATTTGCTAGGTATTTTGTGGATAAAATTATTAAACTTAACATCAATGCTAAAAAATTGGGTTTTATGTAGTATTTTGATGAAAATCATCAATATTATAGTCTTTTTAAAAAATGTATAGCATAACTTTGCTCTAAGTCAGTTTTCATTAGCATTGTTTTATTACTGATATAAATTAAATAACTTGATGTATCCTATCTTCTTAATTTCTCACCTACAATTGTAGCACACCATCCCAGTATCAGCACTTTTATATATTATATAATAATTAAAATTGTCTTTAACAAATATTGTTGAGTAAAAAAAATTAAAAATTGATATTTGTAAGTTAATAATATTGATTTTTATTAATTTCAAAAAAAAAAAAAAATATATAAATAAAATATTATGAATGGAATTTAAAAATAATATATATATCATCTCCTATTTTGATTACAATGTTTTTCTTGAGAAAAATAAATAATGCTATAAAATCATTTTTTTTTTCAGCTCCAAAAACATTTATTTTGTCTGAAAGTGTTAGTACATTTACAACAGGTAAAATTAAACTAGTATACATTAGTTTTGTAATTTATTTATGAAATTATTATATTATTCAAAATTTAGAAACGTGTGTTCTTCGAGTTTTTTGTCTTCAATTAGAACTTCTTAAATATGACAATTATCTTGTTACAAATTATTTATATTTTGCAAATGTACTTTTAAATTATACACATATACCTAAATGGATGCACAAAATACCAAATAAAACATGTGACTGTACTTCATCTTTTGTGGAGTTAACTATACACTTTTTATACATAGTTTTTAGTATTTATGAAAAAGGTATATTATACTTATTAAAATATTTATTTTATGATTTATATAAAATAATAATTTTTAGTTGTTTATTTTGTTTGTATGATTTGTTAGAAAAGGAACTCATTAACATTGATCTTTTAAAACTAATGGAAGAAATTATTGGAAACAGTTATTTAATACTATATCGTTTAGGAAAATTTGATCAAGATTTTCGTAATCATATTAGTAAATGTAAAGGACGTTACGATATAATAGTTCAAAAAATTCAGAAAACTGATTATGGCAGAACAAACAGTTAAGAAATAAAATAATTTTTATTTGTTATATTTAATTTTATATTTTAATATTTATTTATGTTTATAAAGAATTTTTAGTAAAAGAATTTAAAAAGTTTGAATTCAAATCATTACCACATAATAGTCAATACAGTTCTTCTGAAAATTATGAAGTATTTTCAATTGATTTGCCCAAGTTAATTGATAACTCACAATATCAATTTGATGAAGATAATAATCAAATTAATGTTAAAATGTATGAAACTAATACATAACTTATATCATATCTAAATTCAGGTTTGTGAAAACATTATAATTAAAATATTTAATAGATAAATTTCTAAAATTATTAATCAACAAGTTCCTCCTCATCACTGAAATATGAATCTTTACGGTACACCTTTTTATGCTGTTCTTCAACTTTAATTTTGTTTGACATATCAATATTTTTTTCTAACTGAAAATCAATTAAATTATTATAAATTATCAATTTGTCCATAGAAATGTACTATTTTTTTTTTTTTATTTTAATTCATTAATTTGAAATAGAAAATAGTTGAGACATTATTTTTATGTAATATATAGATTACTTCTTCTTGGATTACTGCACTTAAAGTTTCCTTATCAGACATATCACATGTTCCATCATCTATATTGATTTTGTGATCATAGTTTTTAGTTTTATCATAAAATGCTGTATCTTCATCTGAACTATTACAAGATTCTCGAATCTACAGATAATATTTTTTAACTATTAAACATCTTCGTTAAATAAAATAATCATCATTAAACATTTACCTTATTTTTTGCTTCTCTACAATCTAAATTTTTCTTTTTTTTCTTTTTAGGTGGTGGTTGTCGTTCACCTAAACAATTTTCTGGACATTTATAGCTAAGGTGTCCTTCTTTACCACATTCATAGCAAAAACTTTTGTCTGTATACTGACGTTTACGGATAAATTCAGTACTACGGCCATTGTCTATTGCAATAGAACTTTTCATTGTTCGTCCAAACATCTAAAATGTCAATTTGACAACTTGTTTGTAATTAAATTTGTGTTAAATATATGTAGATCTTAATTAGATACCTGAATACCATTTGTAGCTTTAACACACATTTTAGCATCATCTTGTTTAAGAAAAAGCACAAATGCTACTCCTTTGCTTTGACGAGTTTTTTTATCCTTTACTATAGTAACTCTAATATAATTATATTAATATTATACATTTAAAATTAAATAACTTGACATTAACATGATTGAGTGATGAGTATTATTAGAAATTTACGAAAAACAGTATACACAGTGGTACCCCACAAAGATTGTCATATCTTATAAGTATTAACTTTTTTAAACAATTTTTGAAAAACAACCAGCAAAATTTTACAATTCCATTATGTTTTGTTATCCTTATTTTAATGACATTTTTATTTTTCTGTCAACCTGTAGATAAAATATTCCATTATTGAGTCGCTTCAACCCCAAAAATAAGAATGACGTAAAATAGTAATAATGTAATATTTAACAGCTGATTGTTTTTAAAATTTCAAAAAAATAATAATTTAATACTTTGGTAATACTTTTGCAATAGGTTATAGCTTTATGGAATACCATGTAATTATGTTTTATTTTATATTAATTTTATTTTTTCATTTCTTTATATTGTTTTTTATGATTTTATTGGAAACAAGCCATCATAAAATCTATATCTAATACATACAATTTTGCATTATTTTTTTAAATTATATAATCTTTATTTTTATGTTTAAAAAGACGTTTCTCTTCTACCCCTAGCAATGAATAAAACAGTATTAAATAAAATTAAAAAATGTATTAGGTATATTATTTATTATTATTCATAATAACACCAATATTAATTGCAACCAATTAATAAAGTTTATTCAGTTTTTTAGCTCCCTAGTCATCACAAAGATTTATGATTATTAACTACTATTAACATTATTTTGTCTTGCCTGGTGTTTTATAAATACGTACTTCCATACGTGATTGCATTAATAGTTACAAAAGCATTGCTTTATTGAAGTCTTATAAATATCCAAATTATGAGGTTATTTGTTGTATATTATAATTGTTTAAGTGTTTGAATTTTTAATGTTATTTATGAATTTACCTTAAATTAATAGAAATAAAGAATAATATTAGAATTTATTTTATAAAATAACCTTTCACAAACATGTCTAAAATTTCAGGGGAAAAAGACTAGGGCAGTAAAAAAATCAATATGGAGAAAATGTCTATTTTCTGTTTATAAAATGTAATTTGTATACATACTTAACTACTTTTCCGTATTTTTCAAATATTTTATGTAAATCATTGTTGGTCAAATTAAATGGAAGATTTGATACATAAACTGTACATTTACTTGGTGCTAATTTATTCATAATAAATCTGTCAAGAAAAAAATTTCAAATAAAACAACACAAACTAAAAGTTTAGGTCATATAAATGACAAGAGCATCAGTAATTTACCACAGTAAAAACAACAGTTTATATCGGTAAAAAAATAAACAATACTTATAATGAACTCAAACGGTTCTTATCAGTACATGCCTACATGGAATAAACGGCACAGTTACCTTTTTGTTATGAGATGACTATTTTAAAATATATAATTCAATTTTAAATTATTTAATGTGGACATAATATAATATATTTTAACATTTTCTCAAATTTATAGTAGTCGTCAGTCTCAACCAACTGTAGCAACTGCTAAATCAATTATCAATATAGCATAAGGTAGAATAGATAAGTATGTCATTTATTTGAAGTAGGCAGGTAGTGATAAGAATTGTTTATTTTATGAGTGATATAAACCACTTTTTTTTTTACTGTCGGGCAGTTATTTAATTTTTTACGAGATAATAAGATATTAAATATTTGTATTGATAGAAATAATATCATAATTGATAAACCTTATCATTTAACTTTTTCCTTTTGTATAAATTTGGATTGTGTTTTCAGTTGTTACCATCAAAGTAATACTATTATACTGTTTTTTCTTTGTAATTTATTTGTGAGTTTTTTTAGAAGTTAATTTTATGTTTTTCTTTCAAAAGTTTATTAATTAACAGTTTAACGTTTTTATATATATCATTGTTTTATTACGTGGCAATTATTTTAAAATTACCTATATTTATTAAATTTGAACATCACCAATAAAAATAATAAATCTTCGTTATGTTTGAAAAATATGAAGACGTGGCTAATCAAAAGCTTAAAATCATACAACATTTTATAAAAAAAAAATGTATAATCTTCTTATTTTAATAGGCTTAATAATCCATTTGTTTTCTTAATTTAAAAATCTTTATTTTAGAAATAAACTATGTCACCTAATATGAGTCATACTCATATAGTGGTACTATGTTCCATTGCAAATTTTATAAATGCTGCCGATCGTGTTATTATGCCAATCGCAATGATACCAATGACTAGTTATTTCAAATGGACAATGCATTGGCAAGGATGGATATTATCCTCATTTGCCTTTGGTTATTTAAGTAGTCAAGTAATTTAAATATTTCATATTATCTATACTTAACAAATTTATTATAAGAAAATAATTATTATTAAGGTAGTAGGAGCTTGTGCAGCCAAAAAATTTGGTGGTAAAATGATTCTCTTACTATCAGTTTTTTTATGGTCAATATCCACAGTCGCAACACCATGGGTTTCTCATAACACATTTGCCTTGATGGTATGTCGAATAATATCTGGATTTGGCGAAGGATTGGGTAAATACATACTATGTTAGTCTTTTTATATATTAACAAAAAATTCTAAAATGTGTTTTAATTTCAATTTAGGATTGCCAACAATATTTCATATTTTTGCAAACAATATAGCAATTACTGAACGTTCAAGTGCATTTGGTTATTTAGTGGCTGCAGGTTCTATTGGTCAAACAGTAGCGTCTGTGGTAAATTATTAGTAATTACTTCATTTAAAGAATATTTTACCTTCTTTTAGAGGTTTTTTTTATCAAATAAAAACCTGATTTATGCATATTACTATAATGTTTTTTTATGTAGATATGTCCACATTTAATGTGGCAAACTAGCTTTTATTTATTTGGTTCAATTGGTATTGTTTGGTCACTTATATGGATTTCATTATATTCAGATAAAGATTGTAGAAATAATGATGAAATCCCATTAGTTATGATTCCTAAAGTAAGTTATATTGTTACCATAATTATATTTCATTGCATTGCAAGTTTTATTTATAGTAAATTGTAAAAATTGTATAATTTTTTAATAAATAACAAAACAGGCGAACAATTTTATTTTTAGAGTTCTAGTATAAAAATACATTGGAGAAAATTGTTTATACACTGGCCCTTATGGGCAATATATATAGCTCACTTTTCAATGAATTGGTCCAACTATATAATAATGCATTGGCTACCTACTTATTTACGCTATCTTGGCGGCAATTCACATAGTATTGGTTTAACAGCTGTTCCATATATATTTAATTCAATATTTGGTATTGGTAAGTTTTAATTGGTTTGCTTTTAATTTTTAAAATTTTAATTAAAGAATATATACAGTAGCATATTTAGAACTTTTTTAGTATAACATAATGATATAATTACTAATTCATTTAAATGACTCTAAATTGACAACAAAAATTCATTTATCCGGAATCATAAATTATAATTTAAAAATACTTCTTACCTTTACCCTAAATACATTTTTCATTTTTTTTTTTTGATAAAATTAAATTATTCAGTATTATTTTAATTAGTTGCAGGAAATTATGCAGATAAATTAATTGATCGTAGATGGCCAATTTTGACTGTTCGACGACTAATGACTACTATAGGTTTAGTTGGTCCAGCAATATTTCTATTTCTATTTTGTACAGTGAATAGTTTAGCTGCAGCCATAATGTAAAATCTTAATATACAGTTATTAAGCTGCCATATCCTTAGGCAATATAATAGGATATTCTAATATGCGATGTTAATATTTGTAGCTGGATTCATTTCATTGCATATGGGTATATCCTATATCACATATCACCTTGGTTTATGAGCAGCTTTACTCAATTCATTATAAATAATATTAATTATTTTATGTTATAGATTCATTTCTATATCAATGGGATTATGTGCTTGTAATTCTGCTGGACATTTAAGTAATCATGCTGAAGTGGCCCCCAATCATGCTGGAATTACATTTTCAGTTTCCAATACACTGGTAAGTTTCATTCGTTATATTTAGAAAATATTTTTAAAGGACTTTTATTTAAACAAATTATAATTGTATTATTAGTTTTTATAAATAAAACTTTCCTAAAATAGGTATATTATATCATTTATGTCTACTATGGATGGTGGAGCTATGTGTCATTAGTTTGCAGCACATATGAGTGAATTTCTATCTAAAGCCGTGTATTAAACAATAAACATCCTGATAAGACACGTAGATTATATTTCACGCATACTAGTTTTTAATTATTCCCTATGTCAATTTTTAGAATTTTTTTATGAAATTGATTTAAGTCTCTGGGATCAATAATTTTTTAATAAAATATTGTGTTAATTTTTCTTTAATTTCTAATAAATGTTAATGCCTTCAATGAATGAACAAATATTTTATTTTGAATCCAATCATCATTGTAGTTTTTTTTTTTTTAGTAAAAATGTAAGAAATTGTTTCATGAAAGTTTTCTTTAAATTTCAAACTATCTGATTAAGTACCCAAATTTGGGTTTATTTTTGGTTAAAAGTCTTAGAACTCGCCAATCATAACAAGCTGTATTTTGAAATAATTCATGTAATTCATCAGCCAAAAATATTTATTGCCCAAGTGTGAGTTCATGTCGGATTTTAATTGTAAATAAACCTCTTTGTTAGCAGAACCATATCGAATAGATAACAAGGGATCAAAATAATCACCTGCAGTAGTTCAGATAACCAGAAATCGTTATTAAAGTAATATCATAACAAAAGATTGTACAACTTTATCATTGGTTAAAATTCATTAATTCATTGTTGAATGGAATTATCCATGAATACCCCCACTAAATGATATAAATAATATATTTGTTAAAATATTAATTTTATATTGTAACATTTTCATATACCAATTTGAATAAATTTTTTTAGATTCTCAGTAGAGCAAGAAAAATATTAGTTTTACTTTGATGTGTGGTTCATTATTATTATTATTATTTATTTTGTGTCTGTTAACAGAAATTTGATATGGTCACCCTGGTGTAGCATCTTTTCTAATAGTAAATTTTGAATAATTTTAGTTTAAAGAAGTCCTTATTTTCTGTGTAGTTTTCTTAATATAATATTTGGGAAAAAATGTAGCAATGTATGGAAAGTTTACCATATTACTGGTTTTATTATTTTAATTTTTTTTTTAATTATGTTAAATATAATCGTGGAATCTTGAAATGTTCTCAAAATACTTATATTAGCCTTTTCTAGATGTAATCAAATTTTTAAAATATTCTCTTGATTTTTTTCAAGTTTTTTTAGTTTTTATTTGGTATAATGTGTATAAAATTGGTTAGCTGAAGTCCCCTAGTTAAAGTAATTTTACAGAAATAAAATTTGATATTAAATAATGAAATATACATTAACAACATGGATGCATACAATATTTACATAGAAAAGATAATGTTTTATAAAACATTATTAATGATTAGATATAATTAAAATTTGAAATATGACGAACTGTTTTATTTTTGAAACAAACCGCAAATTGCAAATAATCGAACCAAACCAAATACCCAATAGTTCTATTCGAAAATCATTCAATATCGGTTGGCTTCATTTATTTTAAGGAAAGTTTGGTTCAGTTTAGTCAACCTTAAAAATCAATGTTTTTAATATTTCTAATTAAAATTTATAATATGTATTTGGTTATTTAAAAAAAAAAAAAAATACTTTGAAGTGATTTTATAGATTTCAGTAATTTGAAAAACCACTTTCCGATTAGTTTAAATCAGAAAAACTTTTGTTTGAGTTATCTGAGTCTAATCACTAGTTACTATATTATTTATCACTATATCAATTACTATTTTTATTTAAATATGATTAGTTTTTTTTTTTTTTTTTTAGGCTACTATACCAGGAATATTAAGTGGTCCATTAACTGCAGAACTTGTGACTGCATCTCATGGCCGTTGGTTTCCAGTATTCATTTTGGCTGCTGCTTTAAATTTAACTGCCTCAGTTATTTATTGTAGTCAAAGTTCTACGTCACAGATTTTGTAATTAGTTGTATAAAAATTACAAAGAAATTATTTTTGTTAATTCGTTTTAGAGTTACCAATTTAATAAACTATATTTATTGTTTACTTATTATATTGTTATTATTATATATTATGTTTATGATCAAAGCAGGAAACTGAGAACATTAAATTTAGCAAATCTAATTTGCCCTAGCATTTTTCCCAAATTTAATTGGGCAAATTAGATTAAAAAAAAAAAAAACAAACATTAAAGATCGATCTACTTTCATAAATACAAAAACTTTACGTTAGAAACTACAATAAAACAAAAACAATTTAGTATTTTGAATAATATCTTATTATGAGGGTATGAATTATAATTGCATTTTTTTTTCTAAATATCCTAAAGTAATGCTTTCCAAGTACAAAATTTGTTTCAATTTTTTTCATATTATATTAAAGAATTAAAATATCAAACTTTTATTTTGCATTTTTAGAACTTTTTTTATTTTTAGAGCATTTTTTGAAAAATGAGAAGAATTTCTTCTTATTTTTCTCATTTTAAAAGAAAAGAATTTGATAAAATGTATTTTAATAAAAAAAATTCTTATTTCTATTTTAGACTAGAGTGCAGCTAAGAAACTTGTAGTTTAACAATGATGTTTATTTTTTTTTTATCTGTGTGCAACTTTTTTACTAGAAGACTTGCTCAGATTTTTATGTGTAGGACCTTCTCTAAAAGTCGGCATGGGAAGGTACTTTAGGGAGAAGAAATTTAGGTATTAGTTAAAATATATTATGGCCTTCTTTTTTTTTGATTCAACTTTTAATGATAGCAATGTTTCTAAAAGAAAATTTCACTAGAGAAGCACTTTGAGAGGCAATTTTTTGGTTTTCCCAAGAGTTTTCTCAGTAAATTAGAAAAAATTAGAAAAACGGGGATAAAACATGGGAAAATATGAAAAACATAGGAAAATTGGGAAAATCGATACAACATTAAACATATATTATTAAAGAAAATATATAAAGACTATTTAATTATTTTATCATACAATGACATATTTATTGTTAAAGCATCATTATCAACTGAACTTCACCCAGAATCATTTTTTTGTAAGTAATAGTTTATTGTTGCTTATATGTATACATTAAACTATCTATAACAATGGCTGCACCCGTCCCCATTATTCTAGGATGTCTATTTAAAATGTATTATAGATTTACCAATTGTACTACACAAATATGATGCTGGCTGCAATAATAAAAACGATAAGCTATTAATTGAATCGTAATGTAGTCGTATTGCACTATTTGAGTTGTGTTTAGTAAATTTATATTTTATCTATATATATACATATATTTTTTTATCCTTTTTTTTAAAAACTATTTAATTCTGAACCCTTCTTATAATATTTTTAATCATATTATTATATAATACAAATTTGTTCAATATCAATATTTAATTGTTTAGGTACAAGTAGACATGCAAATTACCTCTGTTGCACCAACTTATTTTGAAAATTAAATTTATATGAAGTAATCAAATGAAATAATTAAAATCATAGTTTTTACATTTAGGAAAAATGTACGACATTTAGTGGTTTCATTTCAATATCTTAATTCATTCATTTTACTGACAACTATTAATGTAATAGATAAATATAGTTACTTTGTCCCTATTTTTAATAATATAACTATAGAGTTAACTTACACCTACTATTTCTAGAAGAAAGGAGGAAATATAAAACATTTTTTTTTTTTTTAATGCATTCCAAATGATGGTTTACAGGAATACATTTCTTTTAAACACAAGAATGTTAATTTTTAATTTTAATTCTTTCAAACACTAATAAACTTAAAATAATACAAATATTTTTTATTTGAGATATGGTTGATAAGGAAACAATCAATAATAAAAACAATTTCTATTATTTGAGTAATGATTAAGTGAGTAATCATGTAAATAAATAAATTGAATTTTTAAAATTCTATTCAGGATTTATATTGGATGGCTTTTAAGGTAGGTGAATATTTTCTTAAATAAGTAAGTTAATTATTTAACCTATACAATATTGCAACTGTTATAGTACCTTATACTCTACATATTATTTATAGTTAATCTTGGAATTATCTTATGTGAGTCGTAAATCGGTTCGATTGGAATGGAACAAGCAACCAAATATTTTAGATCCTTTATTCAAATTGTATATGAACGAAAATGGTCGAAATTGGATTATTGTGTATAAGTAAAATTATTAAATAACATTATTAATCATAGTAAATAATAAAAACTTAATAAAAATGTTTTAGAGGGTACCGTAACTATTTTTGTGTCAACAATTTATGTTGCGGTTGCACGTATAATTTTAAACTATGCATGGTGTCAAATGATGAAATTTCAGCAACTGTTAGTTATACTACAAAGAGTATGGCCTATAATTTATTTTTATTTTAAAATATTTTTCATATACAAATATGAAATTTAGTTTTTATGTATACCATCAATGCCTTGACAATGTGAGGAGTATTGGTTTAACAAGGCTGTTTTGTGGGTTTGAAGTACCTACTTGTTTGCTACTTAATTGTAGTTTAGACAAGTTCTATTTATAATAATTAAATGTAAACACATGATTCATTTATAAGTATTACATTTTAAATAAAACTTGCAAAGTTAAAAATTTAGTACCCACTTAAATATCAATTCTTTTTTTGGCAAAGCTGACAAACTTGGCTCCTTTTTCAGAATTATATCTTTGGTTGATTATCACTCATTTATGTAATGCTACATTCTACCTAATTATATAGGTATATTATATGAAAATATAAAGCCATGTAACATACATGGCTTTATAGTATAAATCCCAAAATAGCACCTTTTTTTTTTATTTCTCTCTTATTAATCTAAGGTGTTTATTATAATACTATATATCAAATTAACAGATAAAAATATTCTATACACAGTGGTTTTGATCGCCTCAGAACACAACATTTAAAAGAATTGCTGCTGAGTGGCTACGTGTAAAAGGACCCTAACTTAATATCTGAAAGATAACCATTTTTCTTGATGTTGATAAAAGCAGAGTAATTAGTACTAAATAAATTAAATGAAATTGTTTAAATTATTTAAAGAAATAAATTTATAAATGATTGCATACCAATTTGAAGACTTGAAATCAATAACAGACTGCAAAAAAATAATTAAGTTAGACCCAAAAAAACTGAACTATATACCATATTTATAATAGTAGTCTACAAGGCCCAACAAAATCATGTACCATGGCTGCTGATGAGGTCATAACAAGAAGAACATAAGATAAACATTTTGGTACTTAACCTATTATTGATTTCAAGTCTTCGTTTATTGACAATTCCCAAGTGAGGAGAAATACTTTTTAAATATAATTGGTTTACGTATTGTATAATATATAAGTATAATGTAAAATATAAATATGAAAGCAAATATTATACATTTATACCTAAAATTATAATTTTTCTTTTAAAATTATATCTATTTTGAGATTTGGGAGTATTATCGCTCTCATTCCTACCTTGTATCCAGCCTCCATATTTTAAAAACTTGGTGCCTATAATTCTGTACCTGTATTAACAATATCATATTTCAACTCTATACATTTAAGTTATCATTAAGATAAAAAATACTTAATCTACTCAAGATTTTCAACTAATCTTGATTGTAAGTAATAACTTTAAAATGTTTTTATTTAATTTGATAAATATTTTTATTTAGATGACTTTCCAAGTATTACTGCATTTCATCATAGTATTTCTCAAAATCTACCTTTGCTTTTTCGGGAGTTCTTAGATACAAGAGCTAAAGATATAAATGTATACAATGAATTGGGCCAATCGGGCTTGTTTAAAGCCTGTGCAGCTGGCCATAATGATATGGTACTTACTCTCATACGATTTGGTGCAGATGTAAATTTACCCAACATGTTTACTAAAGTCACTCCACTAATGACTGCAGCCTACCATGGTTATTGTGATGTAATAAGAATACTAGCTCATAATGATGCTGATGCTTCTCTAAGAGATATGTTTGTATACCAAAAATATTTAGACTAAGAAATATAAACTAAGTATTTAACTTTTTTTTTTAAATAAAATAAATAATTAATGTATTTATTATTCCCTTATAATTAGAAACTCAAAAACAGCACTTCATTATGCCGTAGATGGATCAAAAAATAATGCAGTTAAGATGCTTTTAGAAGAAAAATGGTGTAATGTAAATTTAGTAGACTCTAGAGGTTGGACACCAATAATGAGAGCAGGTATATACTAGCATAATTATTAATTTATTACAGTTAATAATTATTAATAAATATTATACAAATGTAGTTAATTATAATAAACTAAAATCAACATTTTTTGAAATACTTGTTATTTAAGTATGTTTTGATGTACATAATATTAAAATACTTTTTTTTTGTAGTATTGATATTTGCTAATTTGGATGTTATCAAGACACTCATTAATCATGGTTCAGATCTCAAAATTAAAGATAAAAATGGTCAAAATGTTTGGCAATTAGCTCATTTATCAAATAACTGGGAAGCTTTAAAAATATTACCAGACTAAGTCATTAAGTTGTTTGTCTGTAATAACTAATGTTTTAGTATTTTATAAATAGATTTTATTACTAAATAAACAATTGTTTATTTTATTATTACACATTATTTAGTTAAAAGAATCTTAAGATGTACACAAAATATATTAAAATAAATTAAAAAAATTATAATTTATGCAAATTTTACATTAATTTAATAACTAAATCTAAAATTACTCAGTTAAGTTTGAAAAAAATCTTGAAGCATAGTACCCCTCCGTTTCTCAGCAACATCCATCTGATTTTCTAGTTCAGCTCTATCAGTAGTTTCTGCTCTTTCTATTTTCCATGATAAATTTTCAATTTCAGCTTCTAATTTGGCTTGTTGATATTCAAAGAGTTCCTTTTTTGGTCCATTATCCAAGTAATATGCATATGGGTATGTATACTGAAGAGTGTATCTACATTTGGCTAGTAAAGTAGCTGCATCTAATAGATACTGCCAATCAATCCATGTACCTTTACTTGTCATTACTTTACTGTTAATTCTTTCTTTTATTTTAGCTGATGTTTGCTTTTCTAATAGTAAACTTTTAGAATGATTTTCCCAACGCTCATAATAATGAAGATATCGTTTTAATGCTTCACGAGCTTTGGCAGATTCTGAACCATTTTGTGGATTTTCTCTGTATTTGGAACAATCATAATATTCTGTACCGTGTGCTTTCCAATCTCCTAAACACATCCAGCAAAAATCAAATTTACAGCTTAAACATTGCATATGATTACAGCCACCATTTTTTTCAATACAAATATTGCATTTAGGACACTCCTTGGTATTACCAGTGATATAATTTGCTGTTTCACTATCATCTGCACATTTTGTAATCCATTTTTTAATAGTTACACAGTCTGTAGGGGCATGATAGTCATTTCCACATTTGAAACAAAATGAAGTTTCACACTGAGTACATGTAGCTTTTTTAGCAAGGCACTCTACAGATTTTATAACAACATTACAGTTAGCTCCAGGGCAAAAACGTAATAATGGATGTGATTTAATATATTCACAAAATGCAAAATGTTGATATTGTTTCCTTAAAACTGGTTTATTAACTGCTGATAAAACTATTTCTTCTGGTACTAGTAAATCACAATTCAATGCCATACAAGAAAGTTCAGTGCTCACACCTTGACTTATTTTACTCTCAAAATGGCAACGCCAACAATTATCACAATAACAATGTCCACAAGCTAAGCTAGTAATTCCTAAATCTTTAGCTACCGGTGCCACACAAACTGCACAAATAAATTCCTCTATTTTCTTTTTTTTTGAAACTGGTTGTAATGTTTTCATTCTTGAAGCAATAAATAGTTTGTCAGCATCTTCTTCAAATTTCCATAATACTTCTTGAACAGCCCATTTATTTTCATATAGTAAAACTTTGGACATTGATGGTGTAACATGTATGCTATTACATAATTGTTCAACAAGTTCATTTAAAAATTTTTCAACTTCGTCAACTGTGAGACATTGAACAGGAAAATATTCAGGATCAGGACAGTATGGTGGACTCTTAACATCACGTTCTGCATTGTAATAATCTTCGTAATCATCCTGATCTTGGTCTGAGTAATCCATATCCTCATCACCAAATTCAGACATTCTTGATTTTCTTTTATATACTGATGAGTCAAATATTTCAACTTTTTAAAACCTATAAAAGTAAATTTTAATCATTATAAAACTATTAAAAGTAAGTATTAATAAAATCAGAAACTATGGTTGCCTATATTACTTGCTATATTGTATTTAGTATTTACATTAAATAATCATACCAGATGACCAAGAACTGAAACTGGTTTAGTTGGCCACCTGGTATACAATAATTCTAAATAAAGTATAGTAATAATAAGTATATCCTTATTTATAAGTACAAACATAAGCTACATGCATGCTATTCAAGCAGTTGTTATTTCAATAATTTTCTATCACCTTAATTATTCAATAATTATTTTGTTTAAAATTTATATAGGTATTTTCTAGTAATTTAGCCTTAAGATATTTGTTTGAGTTTCAAGTTGTTTAATTAGAGTTTTTATTGTAAATTATACACAATGATGTTTAGAGTACTTAGAAGACTTATTAAATATGTACTGGTTAAATTATATATATCATTTATTTTAATTACAATAAAATTAATTTTTATTATATTATAAAATATAAATAAATTAAAAATGAATTTTAAAAACTATAACTGTTTTGAGTTAGTTTGGGAAAACTTATTAGTGTAACTCAAGATGATTTAAAAAAATTATTATGTGTACCCTAAGTACTAAGAATATGGTTTAAATTTGTAGATTTTATGAACTTTTCTAAAAGAAATTGATTTTACAAATTTGTATAGTTTTTACAATTTATAACAAAAATATTAATAATAAAAACACAAAATATATTAGTTTATAAATTAGTAGTGTACTGAGGTAGAATTTGAAAAGTTTCTAGTAGAAACTCTTTAAATAGTAGAAACTTTCCACTGGTTAGATTTTTTTTTCTAATTTAATGATATATTAACCACAGAAAATCACAGATGTGACATAACATTAATGTAATTTTATAAATTTAAACTTCTTATAGTGTTAATACTTACAATGATTTCAGTATATATAATTAAGTTTAAGTAATTATATGGAGTAAGTACAATAATAAATATAATATCAATTCAAAAAATGGCCATAAAATCAAAATTCCGTTTAAAAACTGTAAACGTAAGGCATAACTGATTTACAACTTTTCCTAGAAGTAATAAAAAATACGAATTACAGGAAACAAAAACTAACAAGTCTACTCTCTAATGTAGTGATTGCACACCGTAGCTTAGATCATATAATGTATAATTTGGTTTTGGTATAATGTAGGTATATGATCTAAGTTGTATACGATATTGTAATTATATACGAGAGTGTTATGTGATAACTGATAAGAACCATGGTAAAATAATGCTATCTCCAACTTTATAAGATATACATAGATATATTATCTATGCCCCGACACACGACCGAAAGGGTCGGGGACAGTTGTTCGACAATTGATAAGACTCGAACACAAAAAATAGTATCGTCAAATTTAACATGTTATGGTAACTTAAATTTATCCAAAATTTTATGAAAATCATTTTTTATTCATGTAAATTAATGTAAAAATGTTGAAATTAACAACCTAATTTCAAACAAATGTGAATTCATTTCTTTTAGTCTACATTTGTATTAATTTAACCTTTCTTTCGAACCTCACTGTATGTAATTTATTTTCACTCAGCAACCAACGAAATCTAGTAATTTCAAGTTGAATACTAATATTTAAGTGCTTGTGTTGTTGTTATCTTATAAAATATAAACAATTTTATTTAACATCTACATTGTTATATTGTAGGTAATTTCGTTGGCTATACATTTTTTTGTTTTCGGATTTTTATCATTCCACAGATCCTTATCTTTTTTGGACAACTGCTGATCATGAATTAAAATATAATTTTAAGCACCTCAGATCTCTAGCCAACACTGGCGTAAAATGCGCATTTAGAATGTTATTTGGTTTTCTTGCTGACATGTCTGTATATTTAGCCATGGTACAATCCATAGACCTATTAACCTAATATAGGTTCAAACCAAAGAGTAAGATTAGTCTACAATTATATATATTCTATACAAACATCATGAGATAACCAATAATCTAAGACCGTGATCATGATAATCTAATCGGAACTTATGCCTGATAATTGATAAATAAAAATATAAACATTAAACATTCAAATATTAATTTAAACACGTTTTTCAAACTGATTTTAATCTTTCTTCTACGATAACTATAAAAACAAAAAATGAATAAAAGACCGAAAAAAGTGGAAAATATGAAACCAATTTTGATCAACCAAGGAATAGGATTTGAATGGAACATAACACCTAATTATTTCAATAAGAACAACAGTGATTCTGATGAATCTGATAGAGTAAGGAATACCAAATTAATTTTACCATTAATGTCAGGAAACAATAATCAAAGTTGAGAAAAATGAATTCTATTAGTTTCACAATTTGTTTGTATTTATAATACTTTAATTATATTGAATATTATTATTTTTTTTTAAACTTATTATTGAAAAATAAATACAACTGCTAATAATTTGTTAACTGTGTTTTATACTAGTATTTTCAACATTAATTGCTGCATAATTATGGAAAATAAGACATGATTGTTTTAAGTTGTTAGTCATTAAAGGTATATAGTACTGTAGGGTAGAGGAATTCACTTTTTAATTGAACCATTATTTGTAGGAGAGTATCAGATTACTCTCACTGAGGTTGTCTTAGGTCGGTAGTCAATGTACAATTCTGTCAAACAATATGTAGAGTTCTAAATGAGATTAAAGTGGATTGTCTCATCTTGGACAACAGGTGAGAGGAGGTACCATGCTGCATGATGTTAGTAAATAATAACTTTAATAGCAGAAAATCTGGAATAAGTTAACAATAGGCTTGGAGAATGCAAAGTAGTACTTGAAGAAAAAAGACTTAAGATAAGTATGAGTTTAGATGAATAGTACATCTTGTAATAACAATAAGTGATAATAGGTAAGGTTGAGAGTTTAAAGTGCCTAGGATTTTTTTGAATATAAGAATAGTGGCTTTTATAAGACTGTAAAACATACAATTAAATGTGGTTTTTTCTGACTAGAGAAGTTCAATGATACTTTAAGTTATGTTCTACAAAAGTATGGCGAAACTGATATGTTGAATAATTTGAAGTAGGTCTTAGGTAAGTAGACAAAAAAATAGAACAGAGATTGAGTGTAGTAGGGATGAGAATGCTTAGGAGGATAATTGAAGATGGAAGAAGATTGGAATGAGTACATGAAAAGTAACTTAGGTGTGATTTCAATAGTAAATAAATTGAGAGAAAATAGAGTGAGATAGTTTGGGCATATTACTGGGAGAGAGGAATCTGAATTAGTAAATATTGAAATGAAAATAAATGTAGGAGAGTATACTGAAAAAGAGGTGATTGGATGCGATTGAAAAAGATATGAAAACAGCCAGTAAATGAAAGGTGGAAGATCTGGTCAAGTGGAAGTTTAGAATAAAGGTAGTTGATCCTAAATTGTTGGAATGAAGGCGAAGAAGAAGATGCCATTAAAAGGACTCTCCTAAAAAAAGACTGATTTAGCAATTGGAGAAATCTCTTTTTTGTTTATCAATATTGATATTGATATTTATACTCAGTGAAATTTAGGCCGAGACTGATTAAACCAGTCTTATGTAAGCAATATCATGTATTTTTTGTTTTATTAAATTCATAAAAACCTTTTTATACCTTTAAATCAGAAAAATATAAGAAGTACAAATTATTTTTCATCGACCACTACACTAATGTCTAAGTATGTAGTATTACGAAACTGTAATTGTATTTAAACACAATGTAATTTAAATAATTTAATTTTCATTAATTTTAAAATTTAGCAAAACCAAAGTTCATCTTGATTTATCCTTTTATTTATATTAATATATTTAAGTTTTGTATTTATCTGATTTTAGGAACAAAGTGTTGAACCTAATAAAAAAAAAGTTAGGAAAATTAATACAATTCAACGACAAGAAAAACAAAAACAAGAAGAATTAAGACTTCGAAAACTTGAAGAAGAATTAATCAAAATTGAAACAAATCCACAGAATGCTGATCATTTTGACCGCTTAGTGTTATCTAATCCTAATAGCTCATTTATTTGGATTAAATATATGGCTTGTCATTTACAAGTAAGACACATATTTTTATTTTAAATAACTGTTAACATTATAAACAAAAATAATTATTTTTGATTGCCTATATAAATTTAAATTATCTCTATGTAGTGTGTAAATGATAACTAAGAATACTCAATATCTTTGTGCTGATTCACGCAATTTAAATTTTGTTTTTTTTTTTCTTAGTTTGTTATTATACTTAGTAATACATATTTTTATGGGCTCTGATTTTTTTTTTTTTACTGTTAATTAGATATGTGCATGTTTCAACACTATTTTTTTTTTTCTTTAACGGAAAAACCTTATTTTTGACTATTAATTTTTTCATGAATTGTATTTATTAAACTATTTTTTTAAGTTCAAAATTAGCTGAGATACGGTAATTTAAATTTATTTGATATTCAATATGTATGATGTTAGTATTTCATATTATTTTTCATAATGTTTAATAAAATTATAATAGGATTGTAATTAACTTGGATTTCATTATTCTCTACAATAATTGTATTTTAATTACTGTATCTTACATAATTTTGAACATAGAAAGTCGATTAAACCGCCTTAATTCACAAAAAAATTTGGACAAAAATAATTAGTGATCAATAAAGTAGTTCTTGCGTTAAGAAAAAAAATTTGTGTTGATCATACATATGTATAATTAACAGTAAAAAATCAGAGACCATAAAAATGTGTACTACAAAGTATCACAAACAACTACAAAGAAAATTATTGGTAAAACAACGACGTGCCTCGACTTAACTGATTTTATTACTTTTAATTTTTGCAAACTATTTTCCATCAGATATATTGCTCCAAACAAAAAATGACAAGAAATCGATTTTGTTCCTTTTAGTGTCTAACCATTTTAAAAGAAAGTCTTTTTGATATCTGAAGTAATTTTCATAATAATTGGATAGCACCAAAATAAAAAATGTCTGAGGCAGATGGTAGCCACTATTTAAGGTAATTTAATGTATATTTGTAAGTAACGATTAACTATTGCTAATGAAAAAAGAAAACGATTCTGAGTAGAGTTCGGTTGATAGTGTTTCTTTGTCAATATATGTCACATTATGGTAAAATAATCGCATATGCATTATATATTTACTTTAATAATATTTGTTTAATATTGTACCTATTTTCCTGTTTTTCCCATTTATTGGAAAACTGAGAAAATTAACTAAGTATCTCCACAACCAGATTTCCTTTTAGAAAAAGTGTTATTATTGTAATTATTTTATGAAGAAAAAAATTGATAATAGACAAATTATCCACAAAAAAAAATTAATAAAAAAAATCATTGTAAAACTAATACTCATCCACTCAGAATCTAAAAAACGAAAAATACAATTTTTTTGAAATAATAGCTCAATGATTTCATTATTTAAAATTATATTTTACTACCAAATTTGTCTTTATCCAAATTTCAAGAATACCATATTTTGAAAATTAATTAAATTAATCAAATAATTAAAAAACCGGGAAATATGGCTAAGTGTCCGGCATTTGGTATTTTTGTTAAAAACTATTGTAGACACCTGTAGTTTTAACAAAATACTTAAGGTATTGAAATTTTGATGATTTTTAAATATATTTGTATTGTATAGGTATCTGTTATTAAAACTATTTGACTTAAGGGAAATGCTTGAACATTTAACACGAGGCACATTATAAGTTGTACTCAGTGATCTAAAAACGAATTTGAGTTTAAAGTGTTAATTTTTTTCATTTGTGCTTTAAGATCAAATTTTGATGAAGATCATACAAATTATGTAATTTAAAAATAAATCTTACTAAATTTCACTTAGAATTGTTTTTTTGTTAGCAATGGTTTAACTTTGTGTACAAATATAAATTAAATAACTTTATGTATCCCACATTCCCAACTTCCCACCTATAACAATGGCTCTTTTTTTTATATTCAGAGCATATCAAGGAATGTATTGGCTTTTCAATCATGTTTATTTTATTTTTATTTTATCTATAAACAACTTTTTTTTTATAGAAATCTTGCTCCAATGTTTAGAGTATTATATCTTTTTTGAAAGGAAATTTTTTTTAGATAGTGCATTAGGGAGGTTATTTCTTGATATTCCAAGCGGTTTTTATAACAATTAAAAAAACGGGAATATGTATAAAAATATTATTTTCAATTTTGTTTTTTGGTGTGATTCAGTTAAAAATATTCATAGAGATTTAAAATTTAGATAAAATACTTATAATTTACCTTTTCTAGGCATAGTACAATATTCAAAACATTTGAAATATTCATAGATATTTTAATTTTGTGAGTTTTGTACATAATTTTTATTTAGTTTTACCTTATGGATAAAATTATTAGACAGAAATGTATATAAATTTAACAGGAGGTTCATAATAAACTGTACTTTGTGGTCAGAAAAAAAACATTTATTGTAAAGTAGAATTTTTTTCATAAGAATTTTAATATTAAATTTTGGTGAAAATATTTTTTCGTTTAAAACATGTACAATTGAACTCTGCTCATAATTATTATTTGTTAGCAGTGTTTAATTTTTGCTTACAGATATATATCTCTATATTCTATCTTTCCAACTTCTCACCTACTATAATATTGTACAACAGCTAGTGACCCACCCATCGTGAGAAATATGTCGCCCTTTTTTTTTATTTTTTATTCTAAATCATCAAATTCAGGAGTAGATTTTTGTATTCAATTTTGACTATTTGGTACATGAAGTCCATATGTTTATTTTAGTATATTCTTCTTTGAAACAGACCATATATAAGCTTATATAATTCATCATATCATAATTTTTTTTTTATAGGCTACTGAAGTAGACAAAGCAAGAGCAGTAGCAAAGAAAGCATTGTCAACAATTGATACAAAAGAAGAACAAGAAAAATTAAATATTTGGATTGCTCTTTTGAATTTAGAGAATTTATATGGAACAAAAGTAAGTTAAATAAAATGTTTATTAATATTCAATTATACAAATACCTTTACATTAAATTAAAAACAAGTAGGTAAAATCAACACAGTATTTTGATTAATTAATTAATTTTATTTTTAAAAATGTAAAAAAAGTTTTATTTATATATTTATTTACTTTATTGATAATATTATTATTTCAATGCGATTAATTAAGTTTTTCAGTATTTTCACTTATTTGTAAGTTGACTATTGACTAATACTAATAATTTATAACAAATCAAAATATTTGTATACTTATTATATTGTTTTTAAAGAAGTGAATTATTTTAGTTAGTATTTATTTTTTTTTTTAATGGCTTCATCATCACATATCATGCCACATTCACATGATAGAATATATTTAAATAAAAATATGACCTATCTACCGAAATATCTGCAGTATGTTACATTTATTGATCAAGCTTTGTACGTACTATTTTATTATTTAAGAATTTTAAGAAAAAAAAAATAAAAGATTTATTTGATATTTTTCACTTAATTGCATTAAACATAATATCATTCAAAAGAGTTAGATAATTTTTGTTAATGAATATTATTTAATTAAATATTTAATTATTATTAATATGTAGCAGAATATTATTCTATTTCAATATTTAAAAGTATACTTATATTGTATATTTTTTGGTGAAATATAATTTAATTTTGCTTTTTTTGTTGTTAGATCTCTGATTCAGATGTAACAAATTTGTTTGCTATGTACAATATATTTTAAATTATTCAAAAAACATAAGTCTACCGAGTTTGGTAATTTTCAACCCTCTTGGTAGAGAAATTTAAATAACCACAAACAATTTTTTTTTTCGTAGTAAATAATAGACTTAAGAGAAATATTATAAAAACAATATTTAGATTTTTAATTAAGATTCTATGCATTTTAAACTAAGTATATTGTAAATTAATTTAAAAAAAAAAATTTTAGTGTATTCTATTTCTCAATTTTCAACCTTCTTACTGTACAGTGAGAGAGTGAATAGTCATCACTAAATTTAACCCAAATTAGTTTCTCATGGTAAAAAAAAAATATGAAATGGTGAGAAGTCAAAAAATTATAAGTTTACATATAAAATCCACCCTAATTTGTGTAACTGTGTTTAAATAATTTATAATTTATAAACATCAATATCCAAATACCTACTCAACATCCATATTATATCCCTAGTCTTTTCTACTGTGGTGTAAGTTAAGGATGTGAAGTGTCATTCATCAATATATTACAGCATACATTTTTAAACATTGTTGACTGTTAAACGTAATTGTTTGTCTACAGTATATTTTGTTCATTAGTTACCGATAACCATTCATAGTATAAAACCTGACGTTAAGACTGAAAATGGAACAATTGAAATAGAACCTACATTGGCTGCATCTATAACTGAAACCATAGAATCCACAGTTAACATTGATGAATCAGGAATTTCTGTACCACACATTGATGAGAAAATTGTCTAGCAGCTTGAATATTATTTCAATACTCTAATATTTTGTTTATTATAAGTTTTTGCTAAACAAATTAAAGCTGATAACGGTTGTGTAAAAATCAGTATATTATTGACTTTCAAAAGACTAGCGGCTATTGCAAATGGCAAAACGGTTATTGCTCCTGTGGTTAAAAATGCTCCTAATAGTTTATTAGAAGCTGATGAAAGAAATTAAAAAATCAGACGTAAACCTAATCAAGTTGTATTAGTTGCTGGATCAAGAATTCTTGAAAGGTCTATTTATTGTAAAGGCATTCCTAAAACTACCACTATGGCCGAGCTTTTGGAATTTTTAATACATTTGGTAAGAAAAACATTACGAAAGTCACAGTCGCTTCTCGAAGACTCAAAACCAAAGAGTTCAAATGTTCTCTTTATTTTACTAATGAGCAGGCTGAAATGTTTTTGAAACAGGAATCTGTTAAATATAATGCTTTTCTATTGGAACACAAATAGGAAAAAGATTTTCTTGAAGAAAAAAAAATATTAAGAGATAGTAGTAAAAAAAGATGAAAAAATAAAAGCTTAAACAAAGAAATATTTTAAAAAAAGTTATCTACTCAAAGTAGATAATGTTGATGAATCTGTTACTGTCGACAGAACTAAAGAAATTTGTAATTTGTATTAGTGGGAAATAGGTTTTGTGAAAATTGTTCATGACAAAACCATGGTGTGGATTCAATTTAAGCCTATCAAAACTGCTAAGGAACTATTGGAAGAAATTGGTAATAAGGAATATGATCTGAAAATACAATTTTCAATACACAAAGAAGAAATTGAACAACTGTATTCAATGAAATGACTAAAGAAATGAAAGGCGTACTTATGAAAAATTATTATCTATCATCAACTATCATGAATGGCAAAATGAAAAGGGAAAAAAAAGAACAAAAGATATAACAAACAAAAAAATAATGATGGATATTCTAATAATAAACAGATTAAAACAAATGACTAGTAACTTGTTTAATTGTATTTTAATACAATCTATATTTAAATTTACTATATTATTTAAACATATCAAATTAAGATTAAAAGACTATATACAGATGTAATACACATAATATACGGATGTTATAATTTGTTATTTCTTTATGACTATCTAATTCAATACAATAAATTAAACACAAAGTAAGTATTTAGTAAACATTTAATTTTTAATTTCTAGGAATCATTTAAACAAACAATGGATGAAGCATTACGTTCAAATGATGAATATCAGATTTATATAAAAATATTGGATATATTTGCAGAATCTAATAAGTTGAAAGTATAACTTTTACTACTATTTTTACCCTATTTGATATATGTATAATTATTGTTTTAATTAGGAATTGGAAGAACTAGTAACAAAAGTAAATAAAAAATTCCGTGATTCAATGGATGCTTATTTACATTGTGCTACAGTTTACTTCAAACTAAATAAATGTGGAAAAGCAAGATTTATTTTGCAAAAAGCTTTATCAAGCCTCCCAGCCAAATCACGTTAGTTAAAATTAAATGTATCTACTTTTAAATATATCTATAAATGTGTGTAAAAAGTGTAGTTAACATTATTAAAAAGGTAAAACTATATTTAAAATTAAAAATTACAATATAATATTATGTTTTATCTGAACATTTGTTCTACTCTAATTAGAATTCGTTTATAATTAGAAAATCTCGTATTTTTTTAATAATAAATATGATACAATTTCAACAATTTAAAAACTATCATTTCTAAAAAAAATAACATTTCAAATACAATTAAATAATTGATTGTGTATTTATTTAAAATTTGTATTAAATATGTCAGTACAAAACTCTAATTCTCTTAGATCAAAAGATTAGATTTATACCTGCTACTTACAGTATTTTAATATGTTTATCAATTGTTTGTAATATACAAAATATATACTTCTGAATCAACAGGGAATACTCATTTGTATTTTAAAATACTGTCATTGAATATTAGAAAGAATAACTTATTTAGTTACATAATGTTTAATTTAATTTTACTTATATTATTATTAGATGTAACAATGATTAGTCGTTTTGCATTAATTGAAAATAATGATGGATCAGCAGAAGAGGCACAAACATTGTTTGAACAAGTACTCACATCATATCCATCACGTATTGATGTATGGAGCATATATGTAGATATGTTGATTAAGTCCAACAGAATAGATTTGGCTAGGTAAAAATTAATTTACCTTAAATACCTTAATTTTTTTCACACTAATTGAATTGAAATTACAACTTTTATATAATTTAAAGTGTATATAGACAAATAATTATTAATTTTAGACATGCATTAGAAAGAGCAACAATTCAAAAGCTTGCACCAAAAAAGATGAAAAGTTTATTTAATAAATGGATGATGCTAGAAGAGAAACATGGAACTGCTGATTCTGTGGATAACGTTAAAGAATCCATGAATAATTATGTAGCTTTAGTTTTGAACAATAAAAAAAATTAACAATTTTGTATTCTTTTTTTTCATATGTTTTACTAATTTATTAAATATTTAATTTATTTAGTTTGAAATTTCATTTAACCTAATGAAATTATATTTTTAGATAAAGTAAATGATAAAAGTATTATTTTAAAAAATATATAAAATAATATTTTGTGAAGTTTTGACTTAAACTATTTTAATGTAGAAAGTATATATATATATTATCAAAAATAAGATATTTAGATCATTCTATTAAATTACTAGCTTTCCTGTGGGGTTTTGCCCTTACATATTATTGGCCAAAAATAGTTTTCAAAAATGATAATATGTTTCTCTTTGACTCAAGTTTCCACTCTTGTATAGATAACTATACTTTATTATTCCATTATTAATTAATTAATATTTAATACATATATATTTAGTTCTACTACACAATTTCAGTTAGACAATTTGAAAAATCAGGATAAGAATTTGATTCAAATCCTGATAGTTGGATACTTGAATTTCATACCAATCGCTAGTAGTGATAGCAACAAAGACTAATAAAGTTATAAATGCCAGTTATGGATATTTTAACTATTATATGGGGTATAGCACATATGTCCTAAGGCATGAAATGTCTTAATCCAGCTTTGATAATAACACGTGGATCTTGCTGAATCAATTAACATAAATTTAATGAAAATTAAGTTTGATAATTTCAGAGATTACCTCTAATAAACTTACAATAGATTGAATTTGAGAAATTCAAAATTGTTTTTATGACTTATTAGATTTTTATTTTTAAAAACCACATGTATTATTCAAAATCTAAAAATAGTTGACTCCTTTAAAAATATTATTGTCCACACTAAAATATAATAGGTATTTTTGGTTTATTATTGGGATCTGTAGGGACATTTTCATTTTTTCTCATAAACAACAATCCATCAATGACACGTCCAAATACCACATGTTTCTCATCCAAGACGTTATAGTTCACACAAGTGATAAAAAATTGGCATCCATATGGAGGAGAAACTATTTGAAAATTAAAAATATGCCCTTATTTAAGGTACATGGAGTAGGGGTAAAAAATTAAAAATGGTTTCAAAATAAAGCTTAATCCATTCCACAATGATCAGAAAAAACAGAAATCAAATTTACTTAAAATCCTCTAAGATAATTGCTGGTTCATGATAAAGAAATCGCCCTGTCATACAAATAAAAAATGTATGTATTTTATGGTTATTTTTATTTTTATATTACCTATAAATATATTTAAACGTAATTAAATAAAATAAGTTTATTTAATCTATGCCGAAGGAATGATTTTGAACCTTGTTTTTGTTATATCAATTGTTTATACTGAGTTTGCACTCTTAAAGTACAATATAATATGAAATTATAAATTTTACGATTTTCATTTTGTTTAATTCTAAAGTGAATCGATAATTGGTTGTATAGGATTTACATTTTTTATTTCATCCAAAAATTGTGTTTGAACTTTTAATATGTCTTTTTTATGCTTAATAACATTTTTCAGTGAATAATATTATATCAAAAATAAACATTGAAACAAATTTTAATTGGCCTTGATTTTTAAAATTTGTAAAACTAACAATATGTTACTGACATTAACGAATAGTTATAATTCTTACTAAAAATATATTTAAAATTATATCTTCATAAAATGAACATGGAAACTTTTCAATAAATTTGTAAGTTGCAGTGCCTACTATATAATAAAGAATATTTTTTTGGTAATGACTAAAATATGTATTGTCATTTAGATATGAAAATGAAAATATTTCTTCATCGATCAATGTGTAATAACACTATAAACACTTTATACTAACTTATAAAATGTCAAGTCTTTTCTTACATCACTTGAGCTAGTACAATTAAAAGTACTACGCAAATTAACCATTTTAACTGCCCACTATTCTAATTTTTTTAATGTTCAAGAGTTTAAAACTTCACAAACTTAAAACGCGTTAAACAAACAACATTAGTTTTTATTTGTAAGCAATCATATTATTACATGTGATAAAAAAGAGTAACACAATTCTTATCTCCTGTCTTTTTTAAACACACTATTTTGGTTGTTTACATTAGTCTTATAGCCGATGTCCTGATGAGCATTCAGTTATCACATAGAATTTAATGTCAAAACCTTAGATCACGAAAAATAAATCTGATAAAGATCATATATTTGTAAGGAATAATGTTTTCAAGAACAGGAAAAAAATAATAGTACCTTGTGGGAAATGCAAATTCATAACGTTGAAAGAAAGAAAAAAAAAATAGAAAACAGCATCGTGTACAAAATTGGTGAATGAAATTTAATTTTGTGGACAAAACGACCAATTGAAAAATAATTAACATAAATAATGAGCAATGATATAATAATGTTAATATGAACTATCTATAAACAAAAATGTTGTGTTTTCATCAATTGATTGTTTTTATTTTTAGGACTGGGTATAAAACAAAATAAATGTGCGTTCTTATAAGAACTTAATAAAATAACGATAAATATCATTATTACAATATTTCTCAGAAATTTAAAAAATATAAGTTTGCTTATTTTATTCTAAAAAAATTTACAATACAGCAACACCAGCTTCACTTCTGGATTCAGGAAGTGATGGTAAATCTTCCCATTCTAAAGTTGAATTATTGTATCTCTCGACTGTAGAAATAGTTATTTGTGACCTGTATGAATTAATTGTGTGTGTTATATCACCACCAATTACATATAACATTCCATCAGCAGCAGCAACAGCTGGACTTGCACGTTTACCCTTCATTGGATTTACAAAACTCCATGTATTCTAAAACATACGTATAATAAATAAGGTAAAATAATATCTAGAATTTATCAACTATATTTACTTCTTCAAAGTCATATTGTTCAACTAAGTTTAACACTTCATTATTGCTGGTAATACCACCAACTACATACAGATGTTTATCTAAAACTGCAACTCCCATTTGACTACGTGGCACCAACATAGGTGCTAAAATAGACCATTCTCCTGTTACTGGGTTATAACTTAATAAGTCTTGAAGGTGTCGCTTAGTCCGAGTACAACCACCCACAATATAGATTAATCCTTATCATAATACAATAAATTAGTTTTAATTTAAATATATTATTTATAAATAATTTTGACCACCTTCAAATGAGACGACTCCCATACTAAATCGTGGTTCGGGTAGCACACTATTACACATTGTCCATCGGTTTAATGATGGAGAATAGCTAAAGACAAGTTAATAATAATTTTAATTCTAACATACTGTTGATAAAACTTACATTTCAATAGATCCTCCAATATCATCTCCAACCCATCCACCAATAGCATACAAATATCCATTTAAGGCTGCCATTCCAAATTCACATCTTGGAACTGTCATTCCAGCAACAGAGGTCCAATTATCTTCAATAGGATTATAACATTCTCCATTTGACAGTATAAGAGATTCGTTTTCACCTCCAACAACATATATACAACCATTTAAAATAGCTACTCCTGGCATTATTCTACCTATATTCATTGGTTTTATATCACACCACTCCCTAAAGTATAAAATTTAAATAAATAAATTATAAGGTTTAAAAAAAATTACAATTAATAACTTACTTCCTGAAAGTATTAAATTTTACAACAGATTCAAATGTAGACTCTGAGTATCGAGACCAAGCACTACATATTTCTCGTTTTGAACCACCTAATATGTATATATCTTTTTTTGCTCCTAATCGTGGTTCAACTTGCAAAGCCACTAAATTACCAATTCGTTCCACTATATCTGTATATATAGAACGCAGAGCCACTCTTAAACTCGCATCAGTATTTTCATTAATTTCACGTTCTAAAAACTGGATACTCATTAAAGGTATACGTATACATGAAAGAATTTCAAAAATGTAACGACGGCGATCAGAGAGATCATGTTTAATCCATTTCATTGCTGCACGAAACACCTAAATAATCAAAGAAATAAGAAAACAATGTATAGTGTAATTAAAAATAATTGGTTATTACTATAGGGAATGGATTTTATTGTCAACACTTATTTTTATTGGAATGGGATATTTTTAATCCGATGAAAAATGTGTATAATTTAGATCATTCTAATTGAAATAAGCCCTTATTTATTTTACATATTTGATAAACAAATACATATATTTCGTTAATATTTGAGTAATTCTTGACATCAAAAATTGATTTGTTATCTAAATTTTTACAAGCTACTCAATATTATAATGAATATTTAAAAAAAAAAAAAATAAAGAAATAATTTCAAATTTAGATACCTACTGAAACTGGCAATGTTATATAATAGCTAATAAAGCTAATAATTTAAAAAAAAATAATTTATCTTACATTCTGGATTTTTTTTTTCTTTGTCCAAGAAATAAAACAACTGGAAACCTGCATTTTTGAAGAAGTACAAAATAAATTAGAAAAGGCACAACATCACATGCTTAAAGTTAGTTAAAAGAAAATGTTCATATGTATACTAAAAAAATCATGGTCTAAAAAATATTAAAATAATTACGAGGTATACTTATAAACTTTAAAGATGAAATTCCACTGAATTATTGGACGTTAAACTCACACCACTTAATGTAACTAATATTAAGTATGCTCTCATCATCGTCAGTCAATATGGAGTGTTTATTTGGTTAGTATAAAACTGTTGCTGTGACCAAATTGTCGCCACTTAATATTTTTAAATCTCAGGAAATAAGTTAAAATAACAATACTTATAGTGAACCTTTATTTGTATTGCATGGTGTACCTTAAGATACAATCCTTGAATGCTCGTTCATTATAATATTTATTAATAATTTGTTTAACTTGATAGTTACTGTTAAAACATTTTTTTTTTCCGCATGATCCTAATAATGTCTGATAAATCTTACAATTTAAAAAAAATTAACTGTGTTAAATTATGGTTTGATAACAATTTATTGGAATTAAATCTCAATAAAATCAAATAAATATGCTTCAAAATAAATAATAATAATTGTATAGAATATGAGCATAAATTGTATATTCATTTGCCTCATTGTAATAACTTAAACTGTAACTTTACATGCTTCTTGTTAGAAAAAGTATATAGTATTAAATATCTTGAGCTACATTATAATAAATTAAAATGGCATATACATATAAATTTCTCAACTAAAACTATAAAAAAATTATTTTATATCCTTAAGGATATTAGATATATATTTATATACATAACAAATTCAAATGAATACATATTTCATTAGATCAATTTTTAATTTCGGCATTGTACACATACTAGTCATATAAACTATTTAACAATAACAACTAAAAAACTAATCAAATAACTCATTAGTTACCAACAATAGAAATATTCATAATGTACTTAACAACAAAAATTTAGATCGAAATTTAAAAAGCATTTATTATTATTATTTCAGTACAGAGATTTACTAACACCAACCAATCATACTTATCATTCAAAATATCAACATTTATTGGAAGTGATTTATGTATGTAACTTGATATTATAATATATGATACATTTAAGTGATTTAACTCATTTACACTCATTATCTTGGAAAGTATTAACTTTTTCTGGAATTTATTTTCAAAAACATTTAAGAAATAAGCCACTCTACAGATTTTTATTATTGTATAAGATATAACTTCCGATCTAAGTTTCTCGTTGTTTCAAAAATTAAATAAACAATAATAAAATAGTATTATTTATCAAATATATTTTTAGATTTGATGCGTAGGGAGGAATCTATAGGTTTTACTAACTGTTTTTTTAATTTTTTTTTGCTGTTTGTGAACAACTTTTTTACCAAAAAACTTGCTCCGAAGTATAGACTCTACACCTTTTCTAAAAAATGTAATTTTCTCTAGTTAGTGCATCGGGACGGTCTTTTCGATTTTTAAGGGGTTTTCGAAATAATTCGGAAAAACCTGAAAGGAAGTATAGGTAAAACGTCAAATATTTACGGGGTGCTGCAGCGTTACTGTTTTCATTGTTTTTATTATGTCAACACAATGTTTCCTACCAGATTTTTTTGATTTTTTTAATATTTAAATAAAACTAAGTACATATTTTAGTTTTTTTATTACATTAAAATCCATTCCATAGTTATTATTTATTAATTACCTGTTGTTCAGAATCTACACAAAGATATTCACTATTGAGAAACTTAATAAATTGATCTTTTGATAAATCACCTAATTCATCTTCTTCGCAAATTTGAACAAAATTCCCATAAATAAAATCTTCAGATAATTTGTGTAGAACAGTAAAATTGTGCATATCCGCAAACCTTTTTTTTTTTTTTTACATTATACATTTGTACAACAAATTAATAATATTTTTTACATGGTGATCAATCCTTGATAAGACACTCATTATATTAGAAATTATTAACTTTTTTTAACATCTTATGAAATAAGTAACTCTAGAATATTATATTTTTAAAATTACTTTTGAAGGTGGACAACTACCTACTTTTGCTTTTCAAATAGCAATACATATTAAAAATTCCATAAATAGATTTGATAGTTAAAATAAATATACAAAAAAGTATTTAAAGCAAACCTTTTAACAATTTATGTTAAAAAAAAATCCAAAAAAGTTAACCATTTTCAAGATGAGTTATCAAGAGTTGATCATACTACATAAAATATAAATGTATATAATATATATACTTTCAAAATGTTTACCTAAGTAATCCAACAGCATTAGATGAATCTATCTCACTTTTCAAAAATTCTGTACAACAACTTACAGCATCATTAAGTTCTAACATATCTGCTGCAATCATCAATTCTTCAACATTTTCTTGATAAATATTTATTTCCCCTTAAATTATAAACATTTAAATAATTATTTGATTTAAATTATACACATATATATATATACATAAGTTTGTTTACCAGAATAAATAAAATTTATAAGTATTTCAAGCACACCAGGAGAAACTGAAGGAAGCTCAATCGATTTTTTACCAGCTTCTAATAACCCATTAGTAAACATGGCATAAAAATATGGACTACTAGCAGCCAAAATCGCTCTGTGCGCCTTTAAAAATATTATTATTGTTATTATAAATGTTACTATAATACAATTCATAAAGTATGAATTTAAATAAATATTTCAAAATATTTTATGTACATTAACACAATATCCTTTAGACATAAGTTGAACATCGCAGAATACATCATTCTTCCGTAAACTATTTAGTCCTCTTAAAAATGCTTCAATATGTGGTTTTGAAAGATACTTATTGGGGACATCAAAAGGGGCCAAATTACATGTGCACCCCAACACATCTTTTTCCTCTTCAGCTGGCGCCATCAAGGATAATACAACAAATCAATAAACTAAACAGTTTATAAATAAAAAAACATGAAATTAATTAACTTAAATAAATAAGTTCATTTAATATATTAAAATGCAACACAAAAGTTGAGATATCAAACTAATATAATATATAAGTAGAACTTAAATCAAATGACAAAACATATTAAGTGATCAAATTAAAGTGCACACTCATTTTTTTAATTGATTGTTATTGAATTTTAAGTATATAATAAAGGCAATTATTTGAAAAATATTATATACTCAAAAATAATAAAAAAAAACTTATAAATATGGTTCATATAATTTTCATCCGATAATTATAAAATATAAAGCAACAAAAATGATTGTGCACATTAAATAGAAGATAATAGTAACCCATCTATGTCAGTCTGGTAAAAAATCTCGAGAGGAATTTATTTTAATATTTTACCTAGATACCTATATTAACTATACATGCAATATTTATCAAACATCTTAAATTTTAGCAATTTAAAGAACTATTGGAGTACTGTATTGTTAATGAAGAATATAATAGATTACAATTTTTATTGAATAAACTCAAATAATGAATTTAAAAAATGTATGTATAGTAGATACCACAGGATAATACTGATAAATTCCCGTAAAACTATTTAAAGAACATTGTGTTTACACAATTGTATGTTATTAACTTTATATTAATTTTATTTAAAAATTGTATTGTCTAAAAATGTTTTTGTAAAAAGGTGTACTTCAAGTTAGGTAATATAAAAATAATTTAAAAAAATACACTTAATTCATAACACCTACATAATATGTTTAATGAGATAAACAATAGTTACAAACCATTATTTTCTTCTTAATTTGTACATGAATAGTTGAAGAATTATTAATATTATTAGTAAGTATTAAATTAATAATTTATATTATACCTATAGGTGTATTTGAAAATTTTTGAAAAATTGTACGCCCTAATTATATTATACTTGATATGTTATCATTAAAAATAACATATGACACTAAATGAAAAAATAATTATGATGGAAAAAAATATATAATACATTAATTTAAATATTTATTGATTTATTAAAAATATGTAAATTTTAATGTAAAGGTGCGAAATTAAGTTATAATTAAAATAATGTTTGATTTTTTTTTTTACCATATTCAAAATATCATGGAAAAGTATAAAATAATTTTTTCATCCATTATCAAATTACGTCACCAGAGTCGATCACAATTTACAGGGGCGAACAACGAACGTCGGAACGGCAGACGTACTTTCAAACATGGCCGCTTCTCCGTCTTGAAACGACCATTCCCTGTTTTCCCGTTTCAATTAAAATAAATTTCAAGTAACGTCTGTGCAATTAAAAATCACGTATATCCGTTCAGTTTTTACATCTTTTCCTTTTGTACATCAAGTTTGGTAAGTATACTGTCAAATTGTCTCAGATATTTTGATTATTCAAAAAGCATTCCGTGACCCTCATCTATTGTTTTATAGTTTTTGACATTCGTCAGAAACAGCATCGAAAATATGTACAGCAACTCTGGCTTTCCAATGTGAGTATGCTACTAAATATTATATTACATAAACAAATGCACAAGTTATTCCATATTAAATTCGAATTTCAAATGAGGCATGTTTGCCTTTTTCTAGAAAATATGTTAAAATGGATATTTTTAATTCAGATTCTAACTAAAACTACATATGTGTTTTGATATTTCTTTGAATAAAGTTGATGTCCCGTGGTTAAATTTATTTGTTAACTTTTTTTTAATACTTGTTAATTGCCACAATGTAAAACAGCTCTGAAGTATCTTACCTTTAACTACCTATCTATACGGTTATACCTATATCTAATAAAAATAATATGAATTTATTGAAATTAAATGTTTGCCTAATGCAATATTGCATCATGTTTCACCATACTTGTATACATACCTGAAATACACTGTGATAAATTATATTGTATCCTTATTATTAGTTTGTCTCTAGACAAGAGATATGTTAATTATTTTAAATAAGTACTACTTAACTTTGTTCTTATTTTAAATATACTGTATTATCAATTTTTTAAAATGTGATTTTATGCCTGGTTTACACGATGCGTAGTATTTGTAACTCCCACCAGTACTTGTCACTTGCAATAGGGCTATATACAACATTTTAAGCAATGTCAATATTAACAAGGTAGTTATAATATTAGTTGTATTATAACTACCTTGGATAGTAATAATAAGTGATCATTTAATTGATAATAAGTTGATGTATAGACATTATGATGATTAATGAGCATCATCTGGTCGACCCACACTAAGAGTGTAATAATAAGTAGAGTTTAATTGAAGAGGGGTTATCTACCTGTCATTAGTAAATAGAACTTGGTTTTATTCACTCGTACTTGTCACTTCCACTCTCATTAAATTTACTGTTTATATAAAGGTATTGGTATGAGTGACAAGTAATACCCATCATGTAAACCAGGCATTACATTTAACTGTTTAAAGTGAATTTTAATTTCTTAATTGTAAGTTGGGTATATTACTATCTACTTATTAATAATCAAATTTGGGCAAATAATTGTATTAGATTAGGTAATATATTAAATTAAAGTAATTTATTTTGGTTTTGTTTTATATGGTTTTAATCAATTTTAAAACAAGACTGTTTCACTGTAATATTCTAATTTAATTATTTAAACTCAATTGTAAAAGGCACAGGAATACATAAATTTAAGTATATTCCTAAGCTTAATTAATTATTTAATTTAGAAGATTACCTATCTGATTTTAGTAAAGTAGGTTTATTATACTTTAATAATACTATAATAATTAATAAGTAATTTTATTTGTTTATTAATATTAGTTTTATAAAAAAATTAAATAATTTTTAAATCTTATATTTTTAATTTCTGTATAGTGCAGTGTCACTAACAATATATTTTCATGATTTATACTATCAGGCCCCAGTAGATATAGAATTTTATCAAATAATCTAATTATAGTAAAATAAATGGTCTTGTCTAATTTTTCACAATTCACTATGTGGCTAGATTGATTACTCCAAAAATATTAAGGGAAACTTTTAGTCTAAAACAGTGTTTCTCAACTTATATTTTTAGATACTCGAATGGGTAATCTGAGACTTCTGACAAAAAAGTGAATGTAGTTTAAAAAAAATAACATGAAGGACGTTTTTTAAAGTTTTATTTTGTTAATACGTACCTATTTCAATATTATTAATGTACATAATATCAAAGTTAAAAAATTAATTTTAATTTCTCATTATCTCAAAGATAGATATAATGAAAAGATTGGAATCTTTCCATCGTTACCTTCATTAAAAGCCAATTTCGCACAAGTATAAAATTACAAATGACAATGAAACGGTGACCACCTTTATAGATATTTACTTATTAATTTTTTCTAAATTCCTTATGTAACCTTTGTTTTCGGACCCTTTGGGTTATGTGGATGGTGTTCCACATTGGGAAACACTGGTCTAGGACGTAATCAATGTGTCAAACATATATTAGTGGAATTGAACTCCAAGTATAAAAGTCAACTGCCCTATATATAAAAACTATTTATAATGTATATATTTTGAAGCTAAATGTTAATAAAATATTGGAAATTTGATTAAAGTAGTTAGGGATTTAAATTTTGCTATTTTAACACTAACGGAGTGTAACTCAGTATAATTATGTTAAATTTATTTTGTAGTTATATAACAGCATACCATATATTATTTTAAGTAGTTATTAATGTATTTTCCTTAAAAACTATAATATAATAATTTAAATTATTATTAGATTTAAAATGTAGTATTATAATATCCATGTAATATTTTATTTTTCCTATTTAATATTATAGGTATCAACAGCAACGTACAACTCAAAATCAAGGTTATACCAATCAATTTTGGAAATCTCAGAATGGCAATACAGAAAATGCAGATTTTGGTGGTGCAATGTTCAAACCAATGAATAAGGCACCAGGTGAATTGTTAAGAAAGCCGAATTGGACTCGTGAATCTCTGCCATCATTTAAAAAAGATTTTTATACTCCACATGTAGACACTGTAAACAGGTTAATTTCTATTCTTATTTATGTTTTAATAAATATATACATTTATATCCTTATAATTGTATAAAATACATACGTTATACAATAAATATGTAATAATGTTTCAGGAGTCAAGATGAAGTTACTTCATATCGTAATGATAAAGCGATTACTATTCGTGGTGCAAATGTTCCAGATCCTAGTCAATTCTTTATTGAAGGCAATTTCCCGGAAAGTGTTGTACAGGAATTAAAAAAACAAGGATTTTCTGAACCAACTGCAATTCAAGCTCAAGGATGGCCAATAGCTTTAAGTGGTCGTGATCTTGTCGGTATTGCTCAAACAGGTTCTGGAAAAACATTAGCAGTATGTATACATTTTCTATTTTATTTAGAATTGAAGATATTAAATTATTCAAATATTTTTTAGTACATGTTACCAGCAGCGGTACACATTACTAATCAAGAACCTCTTCAACGTGGAGATGGACCTATTGCTTTAGTATTGGCTCCAACAAGAGAATTAGCCCAACAAATACAAAGTGTTGCAAAAATGTTTAGCTCCAGTATTCGTAACACATGTATTTTTGGTGGTACTCCAAAAGGACCTCAGGCACATGATTTACAAAATGGCGTTGAAATTGTAATTGCTACTCCAGGGCGATTAATTGATTTCTTAGAACGTGGATCCACAAATTTAAAACGTGTTACTTACTTGGTACTCGATGAAGCTGATCGCATGTTGGATATGGGATTTGAACCTCAAATTAGAAAGATCATTGAACAGATACGGGTATTAGATATATATATAATGTTATATTTAATAGCTTATTTATATTGCTTTCTTAATTATTTTTAGCCTGACAGACAAGTATTAATGTGGTCTGCAACTTGGCCAAAAGAGGTTCAAGCATTAGCTGCAGATTTTCTAGTTGATTACATTCAAATTAATGTGGGTTCTTTAGAACTTGCTGCGAATCATAATATTCAGCAGTTAATAGAAGTCTGTGAAGATCATGAAAAGGATTATAAATTGTTTGATCTTTTAATGAGAATATCTAATGAACCTGGGTTTAAAGCTATAATTTTTGTAGAAAAGAAAAAGAAAGTTGATGAACTTACTAGGCAAATAAAGAATGAAGGGTAATTGAAATGTTTTAAAATTTTAACAAGATATATTAATAATGCTATTATTTTAGGTATATAGCAACATCTATGCATGGAGATAAATCTCAGCAAGACCGAGATCATGTTTTAAATGAGTTTAGAAATGGAAAATCGCCTATTTTGGTTGCTACTGATGTGGCTGCACGTGGACTGGGTATATCTAAGGAAATGGTTTAAATTTAAAAGTATTTTAATTTATTTATTTTTTAGATGTTGATGATGTTAAGTATGTAATCAACTTTGATTATCCCAACTCTTCAGAAGATTATGTACACAGAATAGGTAGAACTGGGCGTTCTAAACAAGCTGGCATTGCTTATACATTCTTTTCTACTAATAACATGCGTCAAGCCAAAGATCTTATTTCAATTTTAGAAGAAGCTCATCAAATAGTTCCTGAAGAACTCATTGAAATGGCTAATATGGCAAAAAATCATATGTCAAGTGTGTATACATTTGAAAAAATAATTTCATTTTTAGATAGTTAAGAAATCCACATTAATAGTAATAAAATATCATGATATACTAAACAAGATTAAATTAGGTAGGTTGACCACAAATAATTAAAATGAAGGTGAAGGATAATAACTAAAAAAATAAATATATCTAATACTGCTTTTTAGAAAACTTTTAAAATAAGCTGAAGTATTTCTGTGAATAAATTTAATGCATAAGGTAATTTTTATACATATTTTTTCGGTGTGTCTTAATGTTTATTTTAAAAATTGTCTATACTTTTAGTTAATGAGAGAAAAAACTTATTAATCTGTACTTTTATGTTGACTCAATAAAATATTTAGATTTTGCATATAGGAAATGCATTTTGGTAAAAATATATTTATCAGGTGGTAAACTAGACCTATTTTAAAAGCAATGACATAAAATTAATTTATCAATGTAATTTTCTACTCAATTGATTTCAGTTTTGTGTCAAATATTAACAATTGAGGATTTAATTAGCCCCATTTTATGTTTTAAATGGGACCAGTCCTCCTCAAACATTATGTTACTATTATATAAATAAAAAAATATAAACGATTCAATAAAATTATATTTTAAGGTCATATTAAAAAAGTTAAGCGATATTAATTAATTTAAATTTTGTAATTTATTATATTGCCAGATTTTTTTAAAATATCGCTATATTAATTATGTGAGTTTAATTAACCTCATTTGTACTTAACAAATGGGGCCAGTCTCTTGCAAACATCTATTACTATTTTCTTTTCCATCATTTTAATAGTTTGATGTATTATTTATTATTAGAAATATGTTTAATAATCTTGTTTTGAAGATTTAAATGTATTATGTAATATATGGTGATTATATTTATTAGGTCGTGCTAAGTGGACCAACCGTTATCGTGATGTTAACACACCATTGGCTATTCAGTCACCCTATGGACAATCTAATAACGCTAGAACTACCAATCCAAACTACACTAACGGGTCTGGTTATGGAGCAACCAGTTACGGAAATAACTTTGGTAGTTATAGTAATGGAGCAGCTAATTACGCTAATGGAGGATCTTACGGAAATGGTCAAAACTATCAACCAAAAACTTACAATAATGAACATAAGAATGGAGCATACCAATCAGGAACTGGCAGTATTCCTCGTAACATTCCTAAGTTTCAAAACCCACAGTATCAAGCACAACAGTATAATGGAGGAAATCCTGGGCAAAAATACGGACAAAATCAGGTATGGTTTAATTAACTTTTATTAATTATAACTTTTTTTTTTTCAAAGAGTAAATTAAATAATGCAATAATTAATAATTTATACTTGAACAAAAAATTGTATACATTGATGGCTTCATGGGATAATCTTGTAAGTTGATTTTATACAACTGTGAGGTACTTGCTAATTTGTCAATTTGTTATTTACTATTTATATATACTATCTATTTACTATTTAGATAGAAATATATATTTTTTTTAATATTTCAAAATACAAGTTTCAGATTTTCGGAAAATTTTAACATATGAGGTTTTGTATCCTTATTAGTATATTTTTTACTATACTTATTAAATATAATTCATTGCAATTATAATAACATAGAAATTTGTACGTTATAATTATATATTGGATATATATATATATATATATATATATATAATTCAATGTTTACAAAATAACATTATGTAGTGGTCCATGTAATTAATATTTTAAATAATCTTTGTTATATTTATAACAAATGTAATCACTAGAAACTTAAGATTTGTTTACATTCTTGTCACTATAGTGTTAACAATTAATATTATTAATAAACAAAAAAAAAAAATGGATAGGTGTAGACAATACTTCATGTTTATGTATTTTTCTTGGTGCTAACTATATGCTAATTATATGTGTTCAATACATATTTAGCATCGTAATTTTTCTACTACAGTTGTATTTTTTTCTATTTATTATCACATATTTATTTACAATAAATTACAGAATACTGTCGGTTATAACCGTGGTCAAAATGGCTTCACTAATAATCCACGTACTAACTATCAACCGAATCGTTACAACCAACAGCGTCAGTTTTCTAATATGGCTGATATGTATGCAAGTACCCTACCGCCTCAATATATGATGAATAATGCTGCTGATGCTTCTATACAACCATTACTTACTCACAAGTTCTTCCAACAGAACCGCCCGCCTACTGCAACACAAGAAGCGTTTCAAAATGGTTATACTACTGTACCACAAGCAGGATATCCTTATTATGGTCAACCGCAAACAGTTCAACAATAAAAAAAAAAAAAAAACATAAAAACTCATATTTAACATTTGTGACTTCTTATATCAAAATTTTTTGGATTTAGGGGCTAATTTTTTTTTTTCTTCCAGTGTAATTGCAGAATGAAGTCACATTCCAAATTTAATTAATAAAGTTAATTTTATTGCTAATAATTATCTATTATTATATTATATTCTAATACTTTCTTTTGAAATGCACAGTAAATTTGAAACATCCAGAAGAATGCATAATATATTGACAAAATATGGTTACTTCCTAACCTAAAATAAAATAATTAAACTAGTCTTAAAGAAGTATAAAAATTGTGTTTTATACTAATATTTAGACAATTCGAATGAGTTCCTTTTTTTTTTCTTTTTGCCAAGGGTCAATTTTTTATATCAAGTCCATGTAAATTGTATAAAACTCGATAAAATTAACATTATGATATTAATTTTTATTTGTCTATTATTTATATTGTAAAAATATTAATACTCGATCTGTGATATTTGTTAAACGATGTATAGTGCGATGTTCCCTAATTTAGATATTAAGGGATTTATTTAAAACGATAAAAGGAAAATGTTTTAGATATATTTTTCTGCGACATCTTTAACAAATCTGGGGGAAATGGAAAGACTGATATGAAAAAATTCGTATTTCTATTTATTTATAAATGCGAAAGCTACTAGTTTTGCGTAGTGGTGCAATATAATGTCGACCAATAAAATGTCTCGGATTTTTTTTTTTTTTTTTTTTTTTTTTTTTTTTTTTTATAATAGTGATCAAAGAAAAGTAAGGTTTATATTATTAATGTGTAAGTTAACATATTTTATGTTTTGTTTTTTTTTTTTTGTATAAGCTATTATGTGACCCAATTTGTCGATAAAAAAGTGGCGTTTAATTAGAACTAAACGTATATTACTACTGAATGTTCTTCTGTAAGTTTCTACATTAAAGTGCATTTCTTTTATTCATGCTATTGTTTTTTTTTCTAATTTATAATACAATTCATATGTATACATTATATATTTATATGTATACAATATATATATTTCTGTTTGTCCTTTGCTCTATTCATCAATATCTATCATTTTAATGGTGTTTAAAACACAAGTAATATTTATGTTTTTATCGTATAAGTAACTATATATATATATATATATATGTATTACGAGTAAATATATGTCTCGATTTTTTAAAATACAATAGTTTGTTACAAGTTAAGAAATTTGACAAATCCTTTGCTTAAATAGACAGGGTTCATTTTTAAATAATTCATATTCGCACTATTATAAATGTATTCGTGTTTAATATTGATTTACTGTAATCTATCACAAAATTATAATATTATCTCATAACCCTGTCAGAAAACTGTTTTCCTTTTTCTTTTTATGAAATATTTAATTACTAATTTTCAGTTAAAATATATATATATATATATTATTATTTATTACTAAGTTTCATTATGTAAGTGTTCTTAGTGTTGTATACACTTTGATTATACTTTAGAATATTTTATAATATACATTATAATAATTACTTATTATTTAGGTTTAAATTACTTTAAACTAATCATTAATATTTGTAATGGTAATTTGTTTTTTTTTTGTAAACTTTTTTCATGTTAAAGTAGAATATTAACGCACTTAATAAATTTCTATATTGTAAAACGGATTCCCAGTAGAGACTATATTTGCCAATATTATATTACAATATAATTATTAAATTAATATATATTCAAAATCTTCATTTTTTTTTTTTGTTTTAATGACAAGATATTCCAAAAATGTTCTTAGTCTGACTACAATTTTGTTGTATAAAGTAGCGGTTCTTAAACTGTGGTCCGCAACTTTGTGAGAGTTTTTGATATTCATGTCTGTGATCTGCGGTGGCTCTGTATAAATTTTAATTGTGACAACATCATATATTTTGTAAAAAAACAAAAGGTTATGGTAGGGATCTGCAATTTCTTAAAGTCTTTCGTCAGGGGTTCGTGTATACCAAAATTTTAAGAACCGCTGGTATAAAAAAAAAAGGAAAAATATACGGATGTACTGTAGTTGGGCGGGCCACTATTATAGGTGAGAAGTTTGAACAGAAGGATATAGAGGGGACATATGTCTGTACATAACAATTAATCTTTGTTAAAAAACAATTCTGAGCAGAATTTAGTTATACATGTTTTTAAAGGATGTAATATTTAAGATTATAAAATAATACACTTCGAAAATTTTCATATTAATGGGATTTACAAAATTAATAATTAATTTATATAATTAAAATTTTAAAATTGGTTTTTTTTTTTGGTCTTTTTTACAGATAATCAAATTTTATTATGGTTCATAATCTTATATTATAGTACCATAAAATGTATCAAATAATAAAATAATAACATTTTTTGGAAATCGTCCAACTTAATTGGTAATTGAGCTACAAAACAAGTCCTAAGTTACTTTATTAAAATTGTCTATTCCTAATTATTTTTTAATTTTTTGGAAGTTAACAGATTTATTCACACCCAGTGCTGAAATTGGGAGGGACAGAGGTCGCTTTTTTTTTTGCATACCACTACTTTCTTATACTGAACGAAATGTTGGATATATAACAGACACAACCTTTCTTTAAAGCTATCTTAAATTTATCATGGTTCCATGAAAAAATTAATTTTTTTTATTTTATGTATTTACCTATTAGTATACATATTATACTTGATTATTTATAGTAAGCAGGTAAATAAAATTGTTTAATATTTGACCTTGGCAGATCATATAAAAAACAATTCATTCTAAACTATAGCGGAAACATCTAAGTATTGGTAGGTTATATATATTATATTTTATTATAATATACTCATATTATTCAAATCACCTTTTCTGTTCACCTCATTTTACAGTAAGTATTTACTTGTTTGGTAGATGAAACTCTTTGTAGGTACTCAGCAAAAAAACAAAATTACCTATCTACTCTTTAATATTCTTGATGACTGGACATACAATCAAAAAATTTAATTCAAACCTTTCAATCTGTAATAATCACAAATACCCTAGTTTATGTTTTAAACTACACCCTTCACACAGATTTCTCACAAAATAAATACTACAAAAGAATCCTATATTATAAACATATCCAGACAATTTTTTTTTTTAAGTGAGCGATTTTAAATTTAAAAACCAGACATTTTTTCTAGCCACGCCCTTGAATCATTAGGTAAGTAACCTACTTAAGTATATTATTGTAACTAAAACACAACTACATTTAAATATAAACTGACATACTTTGCGGTACAATGGGTGGACCATTGTTATAGATGAAAATTTAGGAAGGTTAATGTAATAATGGTATATCTATACACAAAAATTAATCATTGCTAACAAAACTATTTTGAGTGAAATTAGATTGTACATGTTTTAAAAAGGCATAATATTTACGATTTGAAAATACTATATTTCGTAAATTTCCCAGTGTTTTTCCTCTAAGAAAGTCAAATAATGTTCCAATAGTACCACCCCAGTAAATTTACTTTCAGAAAAAGGGTTCTCTTAGTAGAAAAGTTATTCACAGAAAAAAAACACTATTGTAAAATCAATATATTCGTCTCACTCAGCTTAGAACCTAGTGTAAAAAAAACACAAGGTTATCAACCCTGGACAGAGGTTTGATCGTCATGCTCTAAAATATCTATCTTCCGTCAATATGTTGATGATTTTTTCATAGACATAAAAATTGTCAGACTACACCACACAAAATCAATGATTTTAAAGTGACCGACCACGCCCCGCACTGAAATTGATGACAACAGCTAGGCTGATGTACCTACCTACTTACACTATACTTAAATGGTATTAACTTACTTATACTCAAATTCATTTATACTTGTTAGTATTTCGTGATACGTACAACCCTACTAGAGAGCGACAAGTTAAACAATAAAATAATACTAAGTTATGGAAAAACACTAAAACCGTGGCCTAGTTTGAAGTCCACAATGTATACATGTGTATTGTAATGTAACTTTATGTTTTCAAACAAGTATTCAATATTCGTTTTTAATTAGGGATTAAATAATGAACGAACAGCAGGTGAACTATTAACAGTAATGTTGAAATGTTTAGTTCCACACCGACAGTACCTTTGAATAGATTAGTCTATACTACCGATAAGTGATAATTTATTCAGCTTCTCTATGTTGTGACATTGTCAATTGCTTCATAAGTCATCATGAAAGTAAAATTTTTATTTCAGATGAGTAGTAGGGACATATGCTTGAAGCTGTTGGTTAAAATATCTACTGAAAATGCGGTTACCACATTATGGAGATTACTTTCTTCAAATATGCTTGGTATGAACATGGATTAATTCATACAATCACATCTATTGTAAACTTAAAAACCAAACTTCATAATTGTAAATGGCCATTTTTCAAATTCTTCAAAAAATAATTATTTTTTTACCAAAATTTAATCAAACAATTTGAATATAAATATCTGTATAGTTCTTATCCGTTGGAAAATTATCAGATATGAAACATTTTTAATTACTATATATGTATCAATACAATTATAAATAATTGAACTTTCATTTTTAAAACTTCAAAAAGTGTACTTTGAATATTAAATTACATAAGATTTGTACATTTGACTTAAATAAAATTATTGTTTATATATACTTTTAATTCTTATTTATTGGTGTATTAAGGTAATTCCTAGTATACAAGGTCTATAATTTCTGAACAATTATTATGGACTATTGATATTATGAATAAAATTCCATATAGTATACCAAAAGAAAGACCCTGGAGATGTTCAAAGAAAAGATGGGAAGATCAAAAAATGATGTGGATAATTGTTAATCTGGTGACAAATTTTTGCAATGTACAATAAATAAAAATAAGTGTGAAAAGCATTCTTAATGGTTATGTATAAAAAGAAATTGTGCAATTTATAAATTAGATGAAACCCAGAAGTGTATTTCAGTTTTCTAATAGAAAACTGTAGCTTTTATTTTAAGCAAACAATTTATATTTAGAAGTCAACATTAAATATAAATATAAATATTTATTTTAATAGTCATACACACACTTACATTGGTCAGAATATAGGGTTAAGTAAGAAATTTAATTTTCAAACTTATCAATAACCTAAAAAACGGAGAATACTATTAATGACAATAACTGATTTACAATTATAGAATATTCCATTTACAATGAAAAAAGGAACTTATATAATAAATCCCCAATTATAAACAAAATGTGTTTATTAGAAGCAAAGTATTACTTGTAATATATAGTAAATGATGAAAAATGAAAACGGTCTTGATTAAAATACATTTATAAGTAATAATCCTTATAATAAGAATATACTAAATAGTAAATACCAAAACATCATTTTTAAAAGCTATAGAAGTACCAAAAAACAAGGTTTTAATACACTTTTATATGTATTTAAATGATCAATTTATCACTTGCGATTCTTAGAAAGATTATGTATGTTTGATGTATGTTGTAACTATGATTGTTCATTCCTCTTTATTCCATCCGTACAATTTCAATGATTGTATATTAGAAACTTGACGTTGGAATTATCTAATATTAAATAATGAATTTTCTATTCATTATTTTTTTTATTTATTTTTAAAACTTTGTTTTTTGGTACTTCTATAGCTTTGAAATGCGATTGCACAGCCTTAAAATTTTCTGTGAGCGGGTCTTCCACCTCCCCAAGATCTGTTTCCGCCTCCTCCGCCACCGTACCATTTGTTTCCACCACTCGCTAAACGACACCATAAATCATAAGATTAGTAACAAATATAAACAGTGTAAAATGTCAAATAAAATTTGAAATCTTACGGAAGGAACGTGCTGCCATTGCAGCCAATTTAGGATCAATTCGTTGGTTGGCTTCAGTGAGAACGGCTACAAGGTCCTTGGCTTGCTTACTGTTGGAATGGGTGAAGAACGCATATGATGTACCTTTTTGTGATGACCTACCAGTCCTTCCAATTCTGTGAATATAATCTTCAGAATTGTTGGGATAATCAAAATTGATAACAAATTTCACATCGTCAACATCTGGAAACCAAAATAAATTTCAATTTATCATCATTAATAAAAAGCTATGTTTACAAGTTATATAATTACCTAGACCCCTAGCAGCAACATCAGTAGCAACTAAAATATTGGCCCTTCCATTTCTGAATTCTAAAATGCACAAAAAAAAAAAAAATTATTCTAAGTTTCATAAAATAATTAAATTAATTATATTCTTACGTTTCAACACATGGTCACGTTCTGATTGAGATTTGTCTCCATGAATTCCAACAGCTCTAGCTCTTTAAATTAAAATACATCAATTAAAGGCTTTAATAAAGACAGAATAATATATATTGTACATATTTCTATCTATTTAACAATTTAATACAAATTAAATTAAAACACTAAATTTCCTAAAAAGATATCTTAAACACAACACAATAAATGTTTCAGAATAAAACCATTTTTCAAGAAAAAAGTTAGACAAAATGTATAAATAATAAGGCATTAAAAATTCAGATCTTCTTAGAGGACATATTAAACAACACAGTGTATGTTTTTTGTTTAAAATTATTGTCATCATTATTAATACAGCCTTTATAATATCCTGACATTTAGATAAAATAATGATCCAACAAAAAAATGCTAATTTCAAAATAAAATCATCAGTTTTTTCAAGAAAGAAAAGTTTGATAAAATGTATAAATATAATAAATAATAATGCATTAAAAATTCAGATCTTCTTAGAGGACATATTAAACAACACAGTGTATGTTTTTTGTTTAGAATTATTATCATCATTATTACTATAGCCTTAATAATATACAATCACTCAGATATAATAATAAAATAAATGACTTACCCCATATTAGTTATTTTGCGTGTAATAGTATCAACCTTGCGTTTGGTTTCTGCAAAAATGATTGTTTTATTCTCTTCCATGTTACTGATGTCTTGTAAAAGATCCATTAATTTATCTTCTTTTTCATGTTCTTGACAAACATCCACATTTTGTAAAATATTATGGTTTGCAGACAATGTTAAAGATCCAACATTCAGTTGAATGTAATCACTCAAGAAATCATTAGCTAATTTTTGAACTTCTTTAGGCCATGTTGCAGACCACATCAAAACTTGTCTGTCTGGCTATAAATGTAATTATATTATTAATGTAGAAGTATATTTATATGTATAAAAAAAGCATTAAAGGCATCAACACATACTCGAATTTGTTGTATAATTTTTCTAATTTGAGGTTCAAAACCCATGTCAAGCATACGGTCAGCTTCATCCAAAACCAAGTATGTACAACGTTGCAAATTGGTGGCACGAGATTCAAGGAAATCAAGTAAACGACCAGGTGTAGCAATAACAATCTCAACACCATTCATCAGATCTCTAGCCTAAGAATAAAACCAACAATTAACAACAGGTAACTAAATATCAAAATTTACTTCAGTCTATTATTTTTTTTTTCAAGGAAATTAAGTTTTATAATGTTGTTCATCGCTGGGCACTGAGAACTCCTCGTTCGAAAAACTAATAAGTTTTAACTTACTCGTTTGTTCAGTGCTGCGATGAAGATACATGCTGACGGTTTAGCTTTTGTTGAATAAGGATATAAATCTAGGATAAGAGTTTCAGGTAAAGGAAGAAAAGGTATCGGTTATGTTGAACCGATAAATAAATGGCCGCCAATTGACACATTAATAATTGTATTAATTCGGTTTGCAGCGCCGCTCCAGATGCATGAACACGACATATATTTAATAGTCATGGTCCAAAAACACTGTGCGTAATATTAAGGTTACGTTATTATTTCATTATAAAATAAAAAAACCGTTTCTGCAAAACCGAATTTCAAAATGGCGGCCTGCAACGAACAAAAACAAAAATAACTGATTATTAGTGAAATAATAAGTTAAAATTAATTAATTCAACAAATCAAATGTAATCAACTCATTACCTCTTTTTAAAATGCAATTAATTGTACCTGGTGAGATTTAGGAGCTCCTCCATAAATGCAAGTAGACCTTAAATATGTAGACTGATTGAATAACCCAGCTACTTTCTGAATTTGCTGTGCCAATTCCCTAGTTGGAGCTAAAACCAAAGCAATTGGGCCATCACCTTTTTTTAGAGGTTCTTGGTTATTTATATGAACAACAGCAGGCAATGTGTACTAAAAATAAATTTTAATTATTGGAGAAGAAAAAAAACAAAAGTACAGTGATATATTAGAAAATAAAACTTACACCCAGAGTTTTTCCAGAGCCAGTTTGAGCTACTCCAACCATATCTTTACCACTCATTGCAATAGGCCAACCTTGTGCTTGAATTGGAGTTGGTTCAGTGAACCCTTCATTACTATAATTAAATAAATATAAATTAATAGATACATTGATATTAATTATGCAATTGTTCAGTTCTTACCGTATAACAGTCATAACATAGTCTGGAAAATTAGCTTCTTTAAAATGTTGAATTGGATATGGAACCGGACTCCTATCTGAACTCATTACAGTTATATCTTTACTTGTTCGGTATTTGTCAACTTCCTCATAAGACCTAAAAAAAAAAAAAAAATCAAGTAATTCAAATAATTTAATAAAATATCAATTGAATAATTCAACAATAAGAGTATCTTATACAATAGTGTACCTTCTTTCAATAGTAGGATGAGGAACATAAAATTCCTTCTTAAATGGTCGAAGTTGAACACGGTCCCAATTGGGCTGTTGTAAATTGGCACCAGGATTTTTTTTAGCGCCACCCATGCCACCACCACGACCACCGCCGCCTCCACCATATGATGATCGTTGACCACCATAAGAGCCATTACTTCTTCCTCCTCCACCATTTCGCGTGTAAGACCTGTGCAAATGATCAATATTTATATTTATATTTAGGAATATATGTAGTATATGCTATTATACAGTGATTATACAAGCAACATTTCCTGTGGATTTTAATATAATATATAATCTGTTAAATTCCATCAATCTATGCTTACTAACGCGAAGATGAAATAGGTAATGCATCAGTGTTATAAATGTATTAAAAATATATTAACCATACTACTATACTACTATACTACTATACATTGCATTGTATACAGCTAATGTTTTTTTTTAAACATGTAACTAAAATTTTACATTAAGTTACTTTTTGTTTTTGTTACTCTTATATATAATGGTACCTAAAAAACTACCTACTTTTGAAATGGTACTGCCCATATTTAAAATACCATAAATAGATGTAGGCAGTATTAGTTTAAATCAATGTTGGTGTTAATATTTTCTATTTTCATCAACCGGTTAACAAGATATTCCATTTTTAAGTTTGTTAAAATACTGCACAAATGATGCTCCCTACCCGAACTTAAAAATAGGGCAATATCTCATAAAATCGAAAATTTCAATACCAACATTGATTTAAAATAAATTTATATGGCATTTTTGATATAGGTAATATTTGAAACTCAAAAGTAGTTCACCCACAAAAATAATAATAATGTAAGATTTTGTAACTAATTGTTTCTTAAGTTAGAAAAAAAAACAATAATCTTATTATAATTTTATCCGTAGGTATATTAATTTAATTGGTTTTTCTTCTTCATATTTTACACTTATAAATAAATACATTCCCCCTCTACATTCTACTTTTCCAACTATGGTCAGGCACATACACAGCGAAAAAAAAATGTAAAAATTGTATTATTGGTTAGCTACATATTTAAATAATATTATTTATAAAAACTTATTTAAATACTAAAATTACTAAAATATTTTTAGAAAAAAAATCTTATATCTTGTATACAAAAATATTTGTCCTATAGGTATATAGAATATATATTTTATAATATAATATGTATTAGGAAAGTTTAACACCTATCTCACTTTTAAAATCCCAGGGTACTAGAAAAAGTAACAGTAGAATACCAATGTTTGGTTCTTTAAGATAAATATTAGGTACATTTTAGAAAATGTTTAAATTGTAATTTTAATGGTACTCTTGATTGAATTAATAAAAATAAAAAAAAATCAAAGTCGATATCCTATGTACACATTGATCTATAGAAAATAAATAGTACAGCAACTGTTAAATTAAATTAACGTGGTAATGTATCTATAGTAATTTACATTTCAAAGGTTAGACGTATTAAATGTTAAAATTTACATATAGTTATTTAACAACTTGATTATTAAGTAAAAAGGTAGAGAAAAATGTTTAAACAAAATTGAATAAAAGAAATATATTAATTAAAGAACTATGTTTAGTCAAAAAAAAAAAATAAATATAGGTAACAAGTTAACCTCTACATCGCATTGTTTCCATCTGACCCAAAATTCATATTTGTAATAATAGTAATATAAGCCCTGGAAACTGTTGCTTACTCATTTAGATCATCAAAATAATTTTAAATGTATGTAGAAACAGTTTCCAACGTGAAAATAAATAATATACTTACATAATGCAGTTTTTTTCAACTAGTAAATTCTGAGTCTTTAGAGACGAGCGTATATACACGGGATTCAATATGGCGGATCTGACAACACGTAAACCTTGTGCAAACATAATAAATGAAACTAAATTAAATACGAATAAAAATAGTTAAATTAATACAAATTAGAATCACTGTATCCATGTACCTGGTACTTACAGGAAAAAAACGTGGTCTGACAAAAACTAACGTATGGAATTAACAAAATAAAATTAAGTTCGACAGGACAAATGGTGGAACGTCGACGCCTGGTAAAAGAAAGGACGATTCGCACCCCGTTAGAAACGAGCTCGTCAGTCGATCGATGACGTATTTCATTTACGCAATTAAAATGTGCGCATGCGTCAATAGCAATTCTACCAAATTCATGTAGTGTAGCCAACCAAACATAACCAAACTACCACAGAAATACAGACTAAACAAAATGCAGCCGTGAAAAAAAAAAAACAATATATATTTGCAAAAGGTAGGTCAACAACCTACGCTCGTTTTATTTTATTGATCTATGAGTTATGAGGTCTACCTACTATGATTACTATTATAACAACCTCACCGAGGACCATATATTAGCATATTAGGTAATACCTGTTTAAAAAACAATCAAAAGGCCAAGTTCAAAAATGAAACGAAAAATAGAACTTTTTAAAAAAGCTGTCCCAAACATGCACTGCTAAAAACATTTACCAAGTTTTTAATATTCTCTCTCTTCTCCCATGACCCCACGTTTTATTATTACCCATTAAATATTATTATTAAAATGGTTTCAAAATATTTTAATACAATTTTTATAAAGTAGAAGCTATTCTGTCGTTATAATAATATGTCCTTATATTGTATTATTATTATGTACTATATAGATAATGTAGATAATGTAGTGGTCCAATAATTATATAAAATAATAAATGGTGTGAGAGATGATAACGATAACAACCACTTCAAACACTCATATTGCACTCTACCATCATTACTTCCGCCGACCAAAATCTTATAAATGGAAAATGTTAGATTGCACGAAAGCGCGTAAAACTTAGAAAATACAAATCAAGTAAAACCACACTCAACCATGAATGAATTGCACACAATGTGTATTTTTATTTGGTATTAATAACAATATTATTGTCACCGTAAACATTGTCAAATACTATAGATGCAGCCATAGGTACCTTCCTACTCATTATAATAGTATTTAATACTGCTTAGTGCTTACTTAGTACAAGCCATGGATAAATATGGTATAAGCTATTTCGCAATCATTAAACCACAAGTAGGTTAACAGATATTAATAATATTAATATATAATTAAATATAATAAATATGTGACCCCAAATCAAAACTATCAAGAATTCAAGATCAATATGGTAACCTTGATCCACGATTTAGAGAAACCTTAATCGTGCATTCATCCAAGGAGGTCCTCCTTGCATAAATATCATATGATCTGATAATATTAACCTTTCGTCCACGGTCGTAGACACAAACAGGTCTAAGGCCGAGCGACCATCAAAGTAACGTGTCGAGTGGCATTGTGAGTGACGTCACTACTACAGTTGCGTACTCGGGAATTTCTATTGGGAGAGGGGATATACAAATCAATAATTATTGTCCCCAGTATCAACTTTTTTTTCCATCAATCTATTATATATAAAACACACACACACACACATACATACAAACGTTTTGATATAAAATTACTATAATACACACGATAATTGTCAAGTTTTTAAAAACAAACTGACACACTTCGTACGATGGGTGGACCACTGTTGTAGGCGAGAAGTTAGGAATGTAGAGACAAAATTTAACGTATATCTGTACGCAACGATTAATCATTGCTTACGAAAAACGAGTCTGAACGGAGTTCAGTTATACATGTTTTACATATTTCGTACATTTTCCCGTTTTTCCTAATGAAAACTTCTGGGAAAATCAAAAAGTAACCCCATTAAAGTACCACCACAGTCAGATTTCAGAAAAAGTGCTACACTTGAAAATTGGAGCAAAATTTCTGGTAGAAAAGTTGTTAACGGATAAAATAAATAATATAAACATCTTTGTAAAACTAGTATAAATGAAAGATAATCCAGATTTTAATATATATTTTGTTACTACCATACTATTTTGGACTACAACAAGACTACTCAATAGCTTTGTTTGTTTTAATCAATAGTGTACTAAGTGTATGATGAATATACATCAAAGCGCAGGGCCTATTTTTCGTATTATTTCGTATTACACACTTTTTAGTTTAGACCATAAATTCACGATCACAAAATAAAATTTGCCCCCATACCTTTAAATACAGTTATTTCACAAATTTTTCTACCGTTTATATAGTTTTTTACAATTTTTTTTTTCATAACATATTTCCAGTTTAAACTTTATTAAGAGGAATTGTATGGGTACCTAATGTAAGAAGTAAACTTTAAAAATATATTACATAATATCAACTAATAATTGTTCTTTATTTATACATTATTATTTTGACAAATTGGTTTAAATAACGTTCCTACGGGTTTAATTCATTTTTCAAAGTCATTAAACTATTATAACAAGCATTAAGATAACAAGGTTTAAAACATCATAATAATAAATAACAAATTTTAAAATACTTTGTATTTGATCATATCTCTTTGATATACTTATTCTAAATGTGTAAAATAATTTAAAAGTATTAACATTGTACATTTTATAATTTTGTACTACACACATCAGATTTGGTATTACACACAATGTGGTGTATTATACACAAAAATAGGCCTTGAACGTTTGTTTTGAAAAAGCGTCATGGTACATGTTGTTTGTTTTAAAGTGTTATTTTGGTGTGTATACTATTTACAAGCAACATTGATGCTACTAGTTACTAGATAATAGATATCAAATAGTAAATACTGTAGATGACAGTATTTGCTGTACTTATTTGTAGAAACCTAGGTAGGCGTTATATCACACCAATTGTCATTTTGTTGTTATGCATTTGTTACTTCATTCTTCATATTACTTTGGTGGGCACTCGATCTAATAGTAGAAGATTCGTTATATTAGACAGCTCCTTACCCATTTTATTTTCTAATAAAGTTTTTTTTTTTTTTTCAAAACCTCGATGTACTGACGAAATACTTAACTGCTAACTATAAAACAGTTACTGTCATTATTGATTATTATTATTTTGTTTAACATCATTTCTTTTGTTGTCTGGAGTTGAAGAATTAGCCTATATCACAGTTGCCTAAAATTCTCCACGTAGAGGTTTCTTCATTGCACCCCGAAAAGGACCTCATACAGGCAAATCAGAAGACCATTGATGTAGCCCAATACTGGACTACAACTGAGTAATTTTATTACTAACCATGACATTAACAGAATACACTGTGATTTATAATAACTATATTTATTTATATTTATTAATCTAGTTATGTATATTATTTATACTATTGAAATTTAATGTTAATGTTTTACTGTTATTCATTGTTTAAGTTGTTTAAAAAAAGTTGCGCAACACAAAAAAAAAAAAAAACGTAGCACTAATTTTTATTTGGAGGACTATAAAAATTACGAACTGTATCACAATCTCAGAGGATAGATAGAAAGATCTTCTAAGAACATGTTTTAATAGAGTTTAGACCATGGTCTTAGATTATTATTATAGACTATAGTTATCTATAATTTTAGACTTTAGCCCGAAATCTACTTTAAACTGAACTCCGTTAAGAATCGTTTTTTCGATGCCGTGGTTAATCGTTGCTTACAGTTGTACATTTAATTCTTGTCTGTATTCTATATTCCTAACTTGCACCTACAACAACAGGGCTGTACCTACGTGTGAAGTATTTCAATTGAATTATATTATATATTGCACTTAATCGTATAAAAACTCGAATACGTTTTTCTTCAACTAAAAAAAAACTGAATAATTTTTTTACCGTTACCGGCCACCAACTGTTCGAAAACTTTATTGGTGAATTTGGAAAAAAAAATTACACATTATTCTATATCAGTGAACCCATCGAGTAATCAATATTCTCAATTCTTAAATAATGTAGGGTAGCACATGCTAAAATACCAAAAATATCGTATCTAGTCAGTATAGCAGATTTTCAACATATTTTTGTGAAGGGCCTTGAAAAATTATATGTATTTAAAAGATAACTCTATTAATAGATGCTTATTTTTTGGATGACGATTTAATATTTTATTAATTATTTCGGTGTTTCCGTAAATCTGTCACTGTATCTAGTATATACTTCGTCACAAATCATAATATAGGTTCATAAGAAAACTATGAAAACTAGGTACCTACCTACCTATGTCGTAGAATATAGTACTTGTAGGTAAATAATAGTAGGTATAGGATTATAAAAAAGTATACTTACTCTACTTTTATGTAGGTACTTAAGTAACTGTATTTTATTAATGAGTCACGCGTGATACTTATAGTATTAAAATAATAAAATGAGATGTGGTAAACTATATGAATACTACTGTTATAAATTATATGAACTATATTTAAATTTAACTACCTATTTAAATAAAATGTAACTAACTGTAGGTAATCTGTTAACATTTGTATGTAATTTTTATTTACTACTTTATTGTTATTCATATATACTTTTTTCTTGACTATTGTGTCTGAACTCTCAAAAATGGTTTAATTTTTTTAACTGTTAGTTGAAACACAAATGCACCGTTGGTAATTCTTATGTGTTTAGTAAATTAATACATGTATCACAAAATATCTCTACTATTAGCGTATCTGTCGAGAGTAGGTATTTAAAATTTTGTCAAATTGTAAAATAATGTGTAGGTACCTAGACTAAACAAATATCAATTATTAATTTATTATTTATTTTTTTAAGTAATTTATAGTTCAATCTGCCCTAAAAATATCATCAAAATCAAGATAAGTATTTATCTAGGTATTTATTATTAATTGACTATTTTTTTTTTCTATTAATTCATGCTGAAAAACATTTCAAGAACAAAATATATAGTGGAAATGAGTATCTACCTATCTTTAAGCAAATGCTTGTGTTGAAGGCAGAGAGCACATACATAAAATATAGCTTAAATAACAATAGTACAATAAAATAGATTAAAGACAAACATAATATACATACATTTAAAATAAAATAAAACATAACAAAATTATACTTAGATATACTTATTAATACACTATATTAATTGATATGGTTAATTTAAAAATAGATAAAAGAAAAAGGACAACATAATGAAATTTATTTGTGAGAAAAAATCAACTGAAAAAGAAATCTGCATTTTTTTTTAGATAATATTAAATATTTATAAATTAACTTTTTGATGTTATACCGATAACTTATAATAAAGAATAGAATTGCAATTTTTTTTAAAAAAAAAAAAATTTAACAGGAAGGACATTAAAGCTACTAACCTAAAATCCTTTATATTTGGATAGCTTTCGTTATAAAAAAGAAAATGTATACGTTCAGGTTTCTTTGATACATTAACTAAGTACCTATCAACACATTTTTGTTTTAATTTTTTTAACTTAATAGTAGGCAAAGAAATTTGAATTTAAAAACAAGTAGGTACCTAGTTATGAAAGGTGTCAATATAAGATAGGTAGGTACTAAGAAAAATGTTAAGGGGAAGATACATCTCCATAATATTTCCCTTTAAGTGTATCAATGATTCCTATTTCTAGTGTCGTTCCATTATTTATTTAAATTTAAAATTCAGAATAACAGGTAATACAATAATAAAACATGTACAAAATAAGATGTTTTAGGTAAGTATAATCAGTTATTATGTAACTATTTAAATATTATCACAGTGGTGCAATTTATTAAACAATTAATAACATAAATAACGTAACCCTATACCTAGGTACTTAAATTTGTATCACCTATAGTAATAAACTAGGTATCTCTTTTTAACTGGTTTCACAGTAAATTAATTTGCGTATAGTGTGTAGGTACAAGGTACCCATTAAATCGTTAATAATTATAATATTTTATATTATTTTGCATAATTTACCAATGTTTTTACAGGACCCTCAACCATAAATATTCATTAGTAACTCACTCATTCTTACAATAAATATAGGTACCGACTATTTACAGAATATCAAGAGTGAAAATTTTTTGAAACAATATTATTATAGCAATTTAAATAAGATAATCTACTTCTTTTAAAGCTAAATAAAAAAAATAAGACTCTATACCTTTTAATGTTTATTATTACGGAGAGGAATTTTATATAATAAAATAACATTAAATAGGTAACATAAAAACTTGTATTTTAAACTAATTTCAATTTTAATTACTTAAAAAATTGTACTATAGATATACAATTATTATATAAATTGTTTTTTATTTCATTTATTCATCTTAATTTTTGTCTTTTTGAAAACAACATACATACGGAGACTTTCAAATTTAAATGATTGGCGGTTAAATTTTGAAAATTGATTTATAGGTGCTGAAGGAACATTCAATGTCAACTGAGAATAATGGGGAATATTTTAACCTTTATATATGCAGATGGTATAAATTCAATATCCATTGAAATGTTTTCATTTTTACACACAAAAATATTTCTAATAATGATTATTGTCACCATATATATTTATTAAATTTAACCTACATATGAATATTTTAAATATTTTAAAATATGTGAACATATTCTAAATTTACATACAAATCCACGCCCTAATTATTATATTATAATTTATACATAAAATAATGAAAAAAAAAAAATTATAATTTATAAACTTTATTGTACTATTAATGAGGCAATTAATTAAGAATAAATATCTTTTTTTTATTGCCGACTTGCAGTTACTGATAAGTATATATCTTTATTGGTTACTGAATTTAGAACTTTAAGTTTGATTTTGATGAAATAGGTATAATGTACATCAGTGACATAACAAAATTACTAACAGCCTCAAATTTTATTTCATTGAACATTAATAGTTATAATGTTATATGTTTTAAAAATAAAAATAAAATAAATTAAGTATATACAATTTTTATGTAATAGAGTATACCTATTTTAAAAATGTGCCAGTTTGAAACGAAATAATACAATTAGGTAATGTAATAAAATTAAAAATAATAAGTCATAGGATAGAAAATATTTGATCGTCTGTTAAATCTAGGTGTAAGCCGATCTATAAATCAATACTTCATAATTTTTTTTTCTTTTTAAAACTGATAGTTTTAGTGAAAAATTTCTATGACTGGAATATGAAAAAAATGGTTTTTAACTAATTTATCGGTTAATTTAAATATTTACTCATGGTTTTTGATTTTATATAATAGAATATTGGATATTGATAAAAAGTGATATCAGCCCTAGTTAAAACTATAAACATGAATTTATTAAAATATTTCCATTTAATATATTTGTACTAAAAATAATAACTTTTATATTCATTGATTTTTCTAAAAAGTGAAGGGCAGCCTGTTCGGCATATGTTATACCACCAATTACCATAACATAAACTATTTTAATACCTGCATTGAAGTCATAAACTTGGAATGAATAATTAGATAATAATTTAGCAATTTCTTCTTCTGGCATTTCTTCTTTACACATTATCTCAATTAGTTTACCAATAGCAGGAACATATGATCCGCCAAATGCAGCACTCATACAGTGCTCACTATCATCTACAAGTCTTAACTTTTGCATCACGTTTTGCATCATTTGCTTAGTTTTATTAATAGACATAATTTTATTTAAATTACTATGTAAAACTGAACTGTTATCTTGTTTTATTATTAAATTCATTTTTTCTAATACATGAAATGTTTCAAAATAATTAAATCCAAATTGGTGTAAAAATTTAGTTTTCATATTATTTAATTCAATTGATGTAAAACCATCTTGGGTTAATGAAAATAAACATATAAGTTGCAATATATTATTAGCACTACCTTTTCCAAAGGCCATTAAATCTTCTATACAGTTTAAATTTTCTTTACGACTTCGGTTTTCCAACATATTTTTTTCTAGTGTAGTGTACTCGATAAATTTATCACCTATTACATTTGATACAACTTCAGATGCCTCTATATGAAATGAAAGATTTTTTTTAGCCATTAAGACACTCTGTAATTCTTGAGTAACATATTTTTTCATTTCATCTAGCTGTAATTTCTTACTTTTTTCTAATTTATCTTGCAATTCTATCGATTTAGATTTCCAGTAATTCAATACATCACCAAACTGTTTATATTTTACATATTCATATGTTTCATCATGGTTACATAAGTTTTTTATAGATGTAGTTCCATCACTTTTTTTTATCTCTACTATACCATTTTGAATACCAACTACTTGATCTAAAAGACTAGAATAAGTAGAAGGGGTTAACAAAACACTTGCATAATCAAAGTCTCTATCAAAAATACAAAAACAAGATTTACTACTAATTTTAGGCTTTCCTTTATCTTTAAAACACTTATTTAATAATTTATAAACAGCAGTAGAGGATTTTCCATTAACACATACAGTCTTAGGAAATCCTAAAACCATAAAAGCAGTCCATAAAGCTTTAGCTACAGGTAATAATAATGACTGATTTTCTTCAACAAATACATTTTTGTAAAAATCTATTATTTCCAATGATAGAAATGAGTCTCCTAAATTAATAAAATCCCACTGAAATTCATATATTTGAATATATCCATAGATACCTTCTTCTTCAAATTGTTTTTCAATGGTAATTAATGATCTAGGAACAAGTATTATTTTTATAATATTTTCAGCTAAGTTTGACATACTAAGATGTGAGTTAATAAGATCACAAATAATTTTTGTTGCAGCTAAATTAGAAGATACCAAAAAAATACACTGTCGATTAGTAATTGGGTTAATTGATTCTTGTAGTTTATATACTTTGTCCACTCCATAAAGCCTATAATTTAATAAACAAATTTAATGAATAATTTTTTATAATTTCAATATATTCAATCATACCTTAAACTCTTCATATCAATGAACATTTCAAGTGGTTTAAAAAGTCTATGTTCAACAACTAAATCTTTAGGTCCAGGCATATCTTTCAATATTTGAATAAAATTTCTATAGGATATTTGAGCAAAAGCATTTAACAACTTTTTGTCAAACATACTTTCAAATTAACAAAATATTACTATTTGTAAAAAATGTATAATTTTGATAAAGAAGTAAACGTTTTTTAAATTTTTTGTGGTAAAATGTTAGGATCTTGACTTAGATAATAGATATTAAACATAATATCCATCCATATGTTTATTATCTATAAATGTTGAGCTATGCTTTAGGCAAAGTTGCAACACAGAATAGGTAAAATTCTGTGATTGTACTTGCATGATAACAAACTAGATTAACCTTAAAATATTATTGATAACTAAAAAGTGATAGATAAGTGCATTTTTAAAAGCGAACACTAAAGAAAATTAATAATTATTATTGTCCATAGATAAAATATTAAAAAACTTATTATTGATTTTAAAGCTATTTGTAAATACGTAGACTGTAAAGTTATTATTTATTTCTAATATTTGAATATCTAAATATAATATACATTTTTTTTTAAATTTCTTCAATTATTGAATGAAATAATTTTTTTATATCATGTTGTTTGTTTCGCGTTGTACTAGATTATGTCTAAACATAATACCAAAACACAAAAATTGTTTAATAACTAGAGTCCCTAGTCGAAATGGATATGTTGTATTGTAAGTAAATCAGTAGAACAAATAATATTAATAATAATTAATCACCAAGACCACTGACTTCATTTGTTTGTAATTAAAAATACACAATTTTAATATACCTTTGAAAAACCAAAATAATAATTGTATTATAAAAATTAAACTTCTTTATTTTATAACTGTTATCCATGATATCCATGTTATTCAAGTGTTATCCACTATATCCTATACACCGTTGCTTCATACAATATACCTTTTGTACAATTAGTTTTATTGATTTTGCAGTCATATAGTATTTCCTATTCAAATTTTCTTTTCAAATGTGCGTATAAATACTATAATATATAATCAAATATTACTATTTTAGATTGCCAGAAGTCAGCAAAGATGTAACAGAAAGTCTTTTACAAGTAAATGCTGATCATCCAAATTTTACAAGTTTGGATATTAAGAAATGTGAAAACACTATTAATAATCAGTTTATAGATTTTGAATGTGGCATTCGTGACATTGAAGATTACTTGAACTCTGGTGAGTTTATTTTGGTTATTGTAAACTTATAAGTATCTATAGAAGAAACTATGGCCCAAGCTAACTATAGATTATAACTTAATCCAGGGTAGGCATACCTTTGTTATGTTAATAAAATCTTTGTTGCACATGAAAAAATAGACCTGTTCAATATTTGGGTAAAAAAATAATAAAAATATAGGTAGGTACTCGTACTCGTGGGTACAAATTTGGTAATATTAAACCATAAGCATTTTGTAAAATAAAAAAAATACTTGACTAAGTAGTGACAACAAATATATTATATAGAGATACTCAATTAGTAATTATCATTACCAAATTTGTATCTATTTACAATTTATTTAATAGAATATTATTATTATTATTAAAAATAGAAACTCAGAAACTTTGTTCAAATTTCATTTACAATACAAAAACATTTCTAGAAAAATAATCTGATACGTAATTTGTATTAAAATATGTTGGTTCTCATTTAAAAAACCAAAGATGGTATCACCACAGGATATTAACTCCATTTTTAACTACACAGGAAAATCCCAAAAATCAGAATTTGAATATATACTTATGAATTTAATCTAACCATAAAAATGGAATTAAACAAATTCATCTAGTATAAATCAATATTTAATACCTAATTTAAGTGTTATTTAAGCTTATAAACAATTAACTATAAACTAACTCTTTTCAGTTGAATATGGCGAATATGATTTATTTAAAGATGTATTAGAACCAATTGAAAATTTAAGTAATAAGTTTGATCAAATGTGGGCTGTATTAAAAACATTATATTTAGCTGATATGTCAGCAATGCCACCACGAATATACTACCCAATACATAATAAAGCATGTTTGTCTCATATAACAAAATACAATAGCAAGCCTATTTATGAAGCATGCAAAGTTTGTACAACATTTTTCAATTAATTATAATTTTTTGTATATTAGATAATCTTTAATTTTAATTATTTTTAGAAAGCTGATTTGTCCAAATTAACAGAAGAACAAGTAGCAGTTGTAAATAAATTTATTAAAGAGGGAAAACTTAATGGACTTGAACTTGAAGAAAAACTAGATTATTCATTTAAAGCAACTAAACAAAAATGTAGTTTAAAAGAAAAATACTTTAAAATTCGACTTGAAGTAATATTTACCAAATTATTTTTCCAAAGTGTCTTTAAATAAATATTTTGTTTTCAGATGGCATGGAGTCAATTTCAACAAATAATTGACAATCCACAATTAGTTAAAGAGTTCCCAGAAGATCTTTTAACTTTAATGGCGCTTAATAAGTAAATGTGTATTATACATGTATTTAATTGAAACTTAATAAATATTCAATTTATAATAATATTATAGAGAAAGTCCTAAGAAACGTCCATGGAAAGTTGCTTTAACATGGGGAACTGCTGACAGATTTATTGAATATTGCCCTGATAGAGATATACGTTGGAATGTTTGGCAAGCTTATGAAAAGGCTGGTTCACCAGCTGAGGAAAAAAGAGAACTTAACAATGGTTTAGAAGTTGAAGAAATTCGGAAATTAAGGTAAATTAAATATTAATTTTAATTTTAATAACTATAAGAGATTTCATTGTTATATTTTTGAGTATAAATCTCTAAAACAATTTTTGTTGGTTATATCATTATATATACTATTTATATTATTGACTTGATACAGGTTATTATTTTTATGAGTAAATTGATTAATATAATTATATCTTTATGTATTTATATAAATAATTAATTATTGGTTTTTAATGATAGTTTTGTTAAACATTTTTTATTTTTTCAATTATGATGTTTATTTAAATTATAGATTTGAAGCAGCTGAAAAATTGGGTTTTAAAAATTTTGGTGAATTATCATTGATTACAAAAATGGCACCATCTATTTCAGCAATAGAAAATACATTAATGTCAATATTAGAAAAAGGTATTTTATTTAATTTGTCTTCATTTAAGTCTTTGAAATAATACCTATAGTGTAAATAACTTTAATTATTTGATAATTATGTATATTTATATATCTATATGTACCATTAAAAACTATTGTATATTATGTAAAAAGTATATCATGAAAATAATGTTATTGTAACTATTTATTATTTATCATTATAAAGGTGGGATAAATAAATAAAGATTATAAGAGCAAATTTATTTACAAAAAAAATTTTAGCTGTTTGTCTTAACAATTCTGCATTGCGTTTCAGTATATCATATTAACCTGTTGATTGTTGTGAGTACATTTTTATTTATATTTAGTTCTTCATTACATGAGACCATGTTAATTATTATGAGTTTAAACAGTTTGTTAGTATATCACAAAATTGTTTATGCCTATTAAAAGGTTACACATAATTTAAATATTTTTTTATTAACTGAAAAAATTGGTTTTGAAAGGTCACTGTATTATTATCCCTATTCTTCATAACTGACATGTGTATACATTTTTACTTATGGAGTGAAAAAGGCACTCTGTTCGAGTACAACTTTGTTTATTTATAAACAAAAAGTCAATATGTACTTTTTGTACTTTAAACATTAAACTATTAAAGTAAATTCAGTGACAGTCAACAGGTTATATCATTATATATAATACATAAGCTATATTTAATACATAATAGTAACCATACATATGAATTATACATAAAAATATCAATGATAAAATATTAATATTTTGAAAATAAAAAAACATGTATTTTCAGCAAGACCATTACAAGATAAAGAAATTGAATCATTGCAGACATTTTCTAGTAAAAAAGGAAATGAATACCCTATTCAATTGTGGGATGTTGGTTACTGGGCAAGACTGCAAAAGAAAGAACTTTATGGGTATAAATTAATGTACAATTATTATTTTAAACATTATCATGTTTTATTTTTATTTTAGTTATGATGAAGTTTTGTGGTCTGAATACTTTCCATTAAACCGTGTCTTGGATGGTCTCTTTGAACTATGTAAACGACTCTATGGCATACACATAGTAGAACTCCCAAATAAAGTTGACCTCTGGCATTCTGACGTTAAATATTATGAAATATCACATGAAGATGAACCAACTATTAAGGCTGGATTTTATTTGGATCTCTGTTCTCGGTATGTATCTTACATTTAAGATAGTAAATATGTATATTAAAATTATATTTAACAGACCACAAAAAATGAAATCTGTTGGTGAACGAGGTTGGATTGTTACTCATAGACCTGCATCTTCAATACCAAAAAAAGTACTTCCATTATCAGCTCTCATTCTGAATTTACCATCAGCACAAAATAAAAATCCAAGCTTATTAAGTTTCCCTCAAGTGAAAATTTTATTTGGAAAAGTAAATATTTCATATGCAAATATGTAATGTATTTTACTGATTTTTGTATGTAAAATTAAATTTATAGTTTGGTCATTTATTACAAAATGTACTTTGTCAAGTACATTACTCTGAAGTATCTGGTTTGAGTAATGTTGAATGGGATGCTGTTGGAATAACAAATCATTTTATGATTCAATGGTAATCTATTATTAAATATAGATATTTCTCTAATAATAATTTGAAAATCATTATTTCATCAGGTTATATGATGAAGAAACATTTGACAGTATTAACAGTCATTACAAAACTGGTAAAAGATTACCAAATGATCAACTAACAGCAATCAAACAACATATGGCTGGATTTAATACTTGCGAAGAACTCTATAAATCTATGCTTGACATTAAAATGCATACAACGTAAGTATAAACTCATGTATGTTTTATTTGGCCAATATATTTATTATTTATGAATTGAAAATATATTATTTAGTCATTTTAATAACTATTAAATTATTTTTTGTATTAGCCTATTAAATATAAAATACATTTCAAGACTGAAGTGTACTTAAATATTATTGATTGTATATAATAATTTATAATGTATAATATAAATTCAATAATTATTTGTATTTTTTTTTTTTTTTAAATATTGACATAGTAATTTATAGAACCTATTCATAAAACTTCTTTATATTAACATTTTTAAAATGTTGTAAATGTAGTAAATATTTATAATTAATATTTTAAAATTTAATTAATGATTTAATTAATAATTTGACACATTGCTACATTTAGATTAATTAAAAATATTCCTTTTAGGAAAACAAATTGGAATGATTTGGTTAAAGATATGTGGAATGATTATTATGCATTTCCATTAAGCAAATGGAATAGTTTTCCATGCAGGTTTGCTGAAGTAATGTCTTATGAACAAGGGGCGGCAAGTTACTACTCAGGAATATGGTCTAGAATAATAGCAGCTGATGTGTTTCAATCATTTAAATTTCCAGAAGAAACAATTAAAAATACAGGACTTACGTAATATATTAATGTTATCATTGATATGAATGTCTATGTTTAATATTTTTATTCATTGATTTCAGATTTCGTGATACATTTTTTGCATTTGGTGGCAGTTGTCCTACTGGAGAAATATTTAGACGATTTAAAGGACGTGATCCTAATCCTAAAGCTTTTATTAATGATCTAGGACTTCATAAAGATAGTAGTTAAATATAGTTTAGTTAAGTGTTATTATGTAATAAAGAAATCTAAAATGGATTATGATTATGCTTTGATACATATAATTCCTATTTAATTTACGTTGCAAAATATAATATTAAACTATAAATATTGTCTGGTTTAAACATTTTTAAAATCATAAAATATCTTAAAAATTGTATACAGTTTTAATAGCTTTTATAGCAAGATAGTCTTATTTTCAACTGTTATGGTTGACTAAGCATAGGCATAGTAACAATTATTGATTAAACATACAAAACTTTAGGATAATAATGACTGTTTATTTTATTATAACTTAACAGTATGTTTATTTTATTATTACTTAACAGTTTGTTTTGTTGGATGTTTGATCATGTCTTACCGGACATACAATGATTTATGGGCACAAGCTCAATTTATACTAGATGAAATAACTAAAAATGACTCTAACTTATTAACATCAAAAATAAATAAAGATAAAACTGTTGTGTTTAAAGAGTTGTCTACAGTCATGGTCAGTTATGTGTCTATCATTAATAAACTTAATGAGTGTTATGATCAAGTTATTCAACCTCAAAAACGAATACTTATTAGAAACATTTTAGAATTATCTCTAGGACGTTATTTAGAACTAAAAAATGATATGGTAAATTTAAATTTTAATGAATTTTCCTATTTAGATTCAGCTACTGCACAACTAAGTTTATTACCGCAAGATGTAGAATTAACAATACCATCACATTATCGAAATGAACGGTGTAAAATAATTGAATGGCAGAGCAATTTTATTGATGAAGTATTGAAAAAAACAGGTTTTTATGAAGAAGAAAAAATTGAAGTTGATATGCCTATACGGCAAGCAATATTATTGATACAAAGACATGAAAGAGCACGCCAGGGTCGTATGAGGGCACAATTTATGAAAGAGGTTAGAGCAATGAACAAACCTGATGTTGGTGATGTGGAACTTAGTGATAATGCAAGAAAAGCAGCAATGAAAATACAGAGAGTATGGCGTGGTTTTATAACAAGGAGAAAAATAAGAAGTAGAGTTGTTGAAGAAATGTTATTGATTGGCATGTTACCACCAAACAATATTGATACTGAAGAACAACAAATTGCCCAAGAAGTTAAGTGTGCCAGAAGAAATATTCAAATAGATCGTCAAAAAGAGTATGAATTAGCATTACTACATGAAAAAGAAAAAGTAGTCATTTTACTAATTAATTAAATTACATTTTGTAAATAATAAAATATGATTTAAAAGATTAGCGACCACATGAAAGAAAAAATGAAAGAAGACATAAGAGATGAAGTAAGAGCATGGTATATGGGTGTGAAAACACAAACGGGAAAGTTTCCAGATTTACCAACTGAAGAAAGTGGTGGATCTGCTGTGATTTATACTCGATACAAAACAGCTAGTTCGTTGAGCAAATCAACTAGTCAATCATCATCCAAAGAAACCAAAAGTTTGTTGATAATTTTTTATTTTATACAAATAGTTAAACACAGATGTAAAAAATAAATATAATACCTAATAGATATAAGTATTTCAATTTTAATAATACAATTTTACTAGGCCATAAAAGCAAGTCAATTGCAGGAAAAGAAAATAAAGAAGAAAAAAAAAAGAAAACTGACGAAGAAGAAGCTGGTTTTAAAATGGGACCTTCAAATTTCCTTCAAGAACTTATGTTATCGTGTTCTGAATATGATGAAGTTTGGAAAGGAATGGACGAAACCAAAAACTCGAGTCAAAGCCATATTGAAAGCATAGTTAAAGTACAAAAAATAGCTGAAGTAGAACGAGAACTCCGAAAGGTAGTTAACAGATTTTTAGTAAAAAAATATTATTGTTCAAAATTCTTTAAATGGTTTTCAATTTTTCTTTTTATGTCCATAATTAGATTGTTGACGTACAATTAAGAGCTGAACTTGAAACTCTACATAATGCACTTGATAAAGATAATGCCATTAGAATTAAAAGATCAAAGAAACAGAAAAAAGTAAAAAGAAGTAGTAAAAAAACAAAGAAAAAACGTGACAAAGATTTAACTCCTGACAGAACAGTAAATATTAATAATCTATAGTTTATTTTTTTATTTTTTCAAAACAATTTGAATATATATATATATGTAACCATAATTAAGGAAGTTAATAGCACTAATTTAAATTATTTAAAATGAGAGTTTTTTGACTACAATCTTTATATAGTAAATAATTAATATCTAGGCCTGGAATTTAATGCATTTGAATATTTTTATTTATTATATTAAAAAGAAGCTAGATAAGACAAAAGTTTGAATTAGTCTTATATGTTGGTATGTAAAATTTGATTTTGNCGAATATCTAACTAAGGACATATTCACACTTCGATTATTTTTAAATTTGTATTTATCCATGCATCGACTCATTGGCTTATCAGCCATATGTTAATTGATTATTGTTTATTGATGAGCTTGCTATATAATAAGATAAAGTTTGCTGTATGTTCCACAAAGATAATTGCCCAATAATAAAGAATTAGTAATGATTTAGTAGTATTTCAAGTTTCATATTGTAATGCCAAAAGTGAAATAATCTGTTTGTAAATGTGTAGGAATTTTGAAAAATATTTGAATACAACTTTTTATTACATTTTTTTATTAATATTAACTATTTTATCAATTTTATAAATGTTTAAACGGATATTTTAACTAATATGAATATTTTTTTGGCATATTTTAATGAAAATAAGTTTATAAATGCATGCATATTTTTGTATATTTTAGCACATAAAATTACATACCCTATTAATAAATATAATAGTAATTATAAGGTACAAAAAATGATTAATTTTATATTTTAACAAAATATAAAGAATTTTTTATTTTTAACTTGTAAAATATACATCATTATTTAATAGGTACATTTTTATTAATAATTTACTACAAAAAATAATGTCATTTAAACTATTTCTCATGTATTTCTATTTCATAAGTGCCTAAACACTAATTTAAGAGGTCTTTTTATGTTATTAATTATTGTGTAACATCGGGATAGGTACATAAATACATGTAGTGAAAATACTTAAATTGATAAATATTATGTATGGAAATTAACAGTGCACAACATGTAGTTGTTACCTATTAAATACAATACTATAATCTCACCATTAGTCTATTACTACTTAGTTTACAATTGGTTTTAAACTTAACCAAATTCCATTTTTGGGGGAAATGAAACCCGTTTTACTTCTTATGTCAATGGGTTGTTCTGTTTTTTCACAGGGCAAAACTTCATATTGGGACAGTATTTTTGATAAAACCAATTTCATTTCTAATTCAGCAAACCGTTTTCCTATACAAATTAAAGTATTAATCATTATAAACAATATAAATTACTAAACAAAAATGCTAGTAACAAAAGTAAATTCTGAAAGCATCAGTTTTAATTTAAAAAATCAACAACCCCAAAATTTTTAATATTTGAAATTAGAAAAATAAAATAAATAACCCACCTATACACAAACGAGGTCCATCGCCAAATGGAATAAAAGTGCCATTCAGTTGTGTGGGTTTTTGTTCTGTAGAAAATCTTTCTGGATTGAAAATGTGTGGATTGGAATAGTAAATAGGATTGTGGTGTATGTTATACATTGGTATTATGATTTTTTGTCCCTTTTCAATCACCAATGACTCGTTTGGTACTTTGTAATTTTTAGTCGCTTTTCTTAAAATGGTGCAAGTGATAGAGTACATGCGAGCAGTTTCTAAAATTAAATTATATGTCACACAATTAAATTAAAACACTGTTGATAATAAATACTATAATATATACAGGTTAGGTTAGCACATGAAAAGATTAACTTTATTTTAAAATATGAAAGAATAATGTGAAAAACATGATATTTTTATAGGCCATGTATGTCCACATAGATTTCCATGGATTTCACATGTTTAGATAGGTACTGCAGTGTTTCTAAGATAGGTAGACAGTAGACACCCAGGAAGCAATTTTTTTTTAGATTGTATAATACACAATGAGAAATATTAATTATATTATTTTAGAAATTAGTAAATAACATAAATAAATAATAATATATAGTTTTGATAAAAAAATTAGTTATTAAGGTAGTCCATGGGTGAACGCAGGAAATAATTTCTTTGGGGGAGTTTAAAAAAGTTATGTCACTTTGATCTGTGTATTTTGTACCCAAATCAATTAGTTGTTTAAAATTTAAGTACAAATTAAAAGAAAATTGTTACTATAAAGTAGGTTTGAACCCCTCAAGCTTTGTTCACCATTGATAGGTAAACCCAAACTCAATGAAAAAAAAAAAAATTTGATACTGTTAACTAATAGTATATATATATATATATATATATAGAGAGAGAGTAATTTAATTTATATTTGTATACAATAATAAATCATTGGTAACAAAAAACGATTCTGGGTAAAATTTTATTAAACATATTTTGAAATATTACAATTTGTATGATTTCATACAAATTAAAATTTTGAACGCTTATAAAAAGAACTGCAACATGATGATTCAAATTTTATTTTTACCACTAATTATAACTTGTTAACTTGTAAACCTTGTTTTAACTTTTTGACCATTTTTACTGGGCCAAAACAAATTTATCCAAATAAAATCATTAACATTTTAAATTGTTATAAAAATCTTAAAATCGTCGAAATGTTTTTGAAATTTGTTTTTGTCTAGAAAGGGCTAATATAAAGTATTCTGTGAAAATGTCAGGTCTCTATCAATTATTTCTAATTAAATTAAAACAAAAACCAAATCGAAAATAATGGAAACTGCTATTCCGTAAATTTTGCAGTTTTTCTTAAGAGTTTTTTTCTCAATTATTAGACCCGGTGCGTAGCGTAGTCTAATTATTAATAAAACTTCTAGGAAAATCGAAAAATGACCTCAATAAACTAACTAGAAAAAATTTGCTTCTAAAAAAATATATTTCCTACATTCGATAATCAGAATAAAATTTCTTGTAGATAAGTTGTTAATAGAGACAAAAAAAAAAACAAAAACTCACATGGTATAACTTACAATATATTTTTCACTACATTATAGATCTTAAAAAGTCGGATTTCGCGATAAAAGCAAACGAGGGAATATAGACGGTGTAGAATTATGAAAATCAGAAAATGTACCTACTAATTATTATATCTATTGTATTATTTAATTACCATCTAAAACCATATTTGCATAATAAAGGTCTGTTAAAAAATCATTGTTAATTTGACCATTGTGTTTTTCTTTTGTAATAATTATTTCTTTGCGTAATTTGTCTTGGACGTCTTTATTTAACGCCAGTTCGTAGAAACAGAATGCTAACGTAGAAGCTACAGTTCCAGAACCGGAAGAAAACATAAGGACTGCATTGCCAATGATGTCCAATTCAGTGAATTTATCTGCAAGAGTAAATTAAATCCAAATTGTTTAATTTTCGTAAAATATAGACAAATTATATTTTTAACAAGTTTATCCGTTTTATACTGCTACGATGTGTGTTTTACATAGTATGACTTACTATCGTCGATCAAGTCGTTGTTTAATACCAATTCCTTTCTTGCCTCTATCAGGGTTTGTGTTAAATCATTTCGAAACACATTGTTTTTATTTCTATACTTGATAACGTCACTGAACACAGAGTTGAAAAAATGTGTAGTTTCTCGTGGATAAAGTTGCAATTTTAAAATCTTCACCAACTTCGGGCAGAACATCACAAGCAATTGGATAAAATATTTTCGAATACTAGGTTGAAATAATATCTTTGTGTGTATTCGAAATTCCGAATTGTCATTTTTAATAGCGTCCAACTTTAATCCAAAAGCACACGTCCCTATAGCATCGGTGGAAAATTTCCCCGCGATCTGTTTCATTTCAATAATATCGTTTTGCTTTAATTTCTCGTCAATATAGACCATTAATTGTTCGCTGCATTCGTTAATCAGATCGTGGGTCTTTCTGAGTTTAGCGGGCGTGAATCCCGTATTCAGCTTTTGTCTCATTGTTTTCCATTTTTGACCCGATAAAAAGAACAAACTGTTTGCCAATAAATTAATAGCCGGGTCCGCTTCTAAGCCGTGATCGTTGAAATACGAGAAGTCTTGGACCATTATCCTGTTGATCAATTCGGGATCGCGGATCATCAAGTACGGCGTCATCATTTGATAAAAACCGCAAAATTTCTCGTTGGAAAACTGGTTGTAAATTCTGTCGAACGTGTCTACTTGATGTTCTAAACCCATGTTCATCTTGAACGTATTCCCGAACAAAGGCACGGGTCGGCTGTGTGGTACGTTAAATTTCCGCCACTTGTGCGAATACGTCGAATAATAATAAAAACAAATGACACAAATTATAATCGCGTTTAAAATAACGGAGTCAAATAAACTACGAATAATGTTAGTCAAATTAGAAATCATGATAGATTATTATAATTTATAAATGATTTCGTAAAAGTAAAAAAGTATAAGCAAGTATACCTAATTATTATTACATAATATACATGGTAGATTTGAAGTTTCCTAAACCTATTATAATTCATAGAGTGAATAGTTTTGATTTACCTTCCTTTGCAAATAAAAGGTTGGTTTGCTATTTGAAATTTATGATTACGATTATATTAGTTACCTACCTTACTAAAGATAAGATAACGGTCAGAGGCATGAACATATTATATACTGTTGTTCAGAGGTCAACAAAGTTGATCGTTGTTAATCATCGTTGATTAGCATTATTAACTAGGTTTTTTTTATTTTTTTATTTTTTCAAAACAATTTGAATATATATATATATGTAACCATAATTAAGGAAGTTAATAGCACTAATTTAAATTATTTAAAATGAGAGTTTTTTGACTACAATCTTTATATAGTAAATAATTAATATCTAGGCCTGGAATTTAATGCATTTGAATATTTTTATTTATTATATTAAAAAGAAGCTAGATAAGACAAAAGTTTGAATTAGTCTTATATGTTGGTATGTAAAATTTGATTTTGCATATTTTTGGATATTTGGAATATTTTAGAATTTTTTATAAGTGTAATGTGTACATTGGGAAAAAAATAGTTTTAAGTTAATAATACGAATATCTAACTAAGGACATATTCACACTTCGATTATTTTTAAATTTGTATTTATCCATGCATCGACTCATTGGCTTATCAGCCATATGTTAATTGATTATTGTTTATTGATGAGCTTGCTATATAATAAGATAAAGTTTGCTGTATGTTCCACAAAGATAATTGCCCAATAATAAAGAATTAGTAATGATTTAGTAGTATTTCAAGTTTCATATTGTAATGCCAAAAGTGAAATAATCTGTTTTCTTATTAAATGTGAAAAATGGAAAAAGCATCGAAAAACAGGAATAAACGTAGAAAATACGGGAAAATCGGTACAATACTAAACAAATATTATTAAAGAAAATATAAAACGCCTATAAAATATCGAATCTTATCGAATGATTAAAGAAAGATACAGATAAGACCCGTATGCAATTTTCCGCACCACCTTGGCTATCGACGAATGTCAATGAAATATTATCACGAGTATTTGACGTTATTCGATAAGCGTATGAGGTTTTGCACAAGGCGCGTTTTTTTTAAAGTGGTGTCCCCGGGTAGGCCTAATCCACTGTGTCGATTAACCTAACCTTACCTTAAATCCATAATATTACATTCTAAAGTATAATACGATCACCGAATCCCGATCCGAACGTTCCTTGAAGTCATCCACAATTACTAACAGTCTTGGCTCGAAGAATTCGTGTGCCGGGGAAAAAACCATAAAGAAAAAAAATATTTACGAAAATATAGTAAAAAAAACATTACTATTATACCGATGAAGAAAACTTAATAAAATATTTAAAAAGTTTAAAGGAATGATTATAAAACATATCAGAAAAATAAAAATTTAAAAACGACAATGAATAAAACAAATTTAAGAAACATTAGTTAATACGATTCGATTAAATATGCGTACAATAAACAAAATAAATATTATTGACAATATTATTAGCCAATGCGTTGTTTTGCCATATTTATTATCGTTCAAATAAATAAATAGTATTTTTCAGTAAGCATACCTATAATTTTTGTTATTTTGGCGCATTTATTTGTACTGATAGTGCAACCTATACGTATTTTCAACGTGGTAAATACCTCAAATAATAACTGTATACAATTGTATGATTTTACGATTGATCATATTATATTTACACATTAAATATTGAAAGAGATGTTATTAATAAACTTACTTCTTCAGAAATACTGAAAAAGTATTCCAGTAGTAATAGAAAAATAATATGAGTATTATATATATTATGTAATGTAAACACTAAATATATTATCTATAATAGATAGATTTAATTTTATAATGTACCTCATACAAGTAACTGCTAAAAAATTTAAATTTTATAATTATTTTAACATAAGTTACTAAACAAAATAGTTTTTTTTTATCTGTTTATATTTAGTCACTATTTTTATCACCTAAATAATATAATATACCTGATGTATTTATCAGATTTATTACTGTTTATATACTTAAGTATTAATGTGTTTGTGTTTTTACTGTCCATTTAATAACATGGTTATAGTAATTGCAAAATTGAAATATGGTATTTAGGGGTATGGTAGCGTAGCCCCCACGAGCTCGTGCTCTACATAATTTTAGCACCCCCAGTATTTGGCCTTTAGTTGCGCTTGTGATGTAATATATTATTATTTATTATAAATTACAATATATAATGTTATTGTGATGGTAGGAATCTTAACTAATCATTAGTAATGTAAAAACATTACTAATTGTTTTTGTTGTTTACATTTACATTTTACTTTGAACTAAAGAAATGTTTTAATTATAATATTATAATTTTATTTAAAAACAAACATTTCCTAACTTACTTATAATTAAAACGTTTTTTGTATTTTCTCCTTAAATTCAATGCACTTTTGCCCATCTCCTGATACCTACCTACTTGACCTAAGTTTGATAAAATGGCAAGAAAAATTTTTTTTTTCGAACGTGAAACATTCCATTTGCGATCAATTGTATAGGGGTAAATTGTCATTGTGAACAATAAGTGTCATGCTATCAATATTATTTGATGTTTAACCGCAATGTCTTGCGATCAATTGACGGAACACCGATTATCACTTTCTGCAGTCTGCAATACTTCCAATACGGAAGTATACTAAACAAACGTTTAATTTCCTTGTGAGGAAGTAGAAAGAAAAAAAAAATCATAAATTTTCGCAGCTGGAGTCACTTTTTGAGGAGTTGGTGATGAACGGCATCGTGCACAAGTATCCGGCCGTAAGCCTGAGCTCGTTCAAAGGGGATACTTCGCTGGCTGGTTGTGACGTGATAAGATGGAACAATGACCCGAACCCGACCCTGGGCGACGTCCGGCAGGCGGTCAGGGACTGTTGCGTGCTGCCGATGTTGAGCCGGGAGATACACCAGTCCAGCCCGATCGTACGTTCGGTCCTGATCGCTGGCGTTCACGGGTCCGGCAAACACACCCTGGCCAACGCAGTGTGTACCGAGTTGGGCGCTACGCTGTTTGACCTGACGTCGGCTAACATCGTCGGCAAATATCCCGGTAAATCGGGATTGACTATGTTGTTGCATCTCGTTAACAAAGTCGCCAGGTCGGTAACACCATCATTGACTTTAGAATGCGTGCATAATATGAGCAAAATGCCAAGTTTAAATGTTATTTTTTTTAAACATGTTTTGAAATGCCGAATGAATTATTCCGATTTTCGTTAAAATGTGATCTAAATCATTTTTTTCCGATTATATTATGAAAACTGCTTGGAAAATTAAAATATGACCTCCGCAGTGCATTCACTAGAAACAAAATACTACAAAACAAAGTCTTACGCTATTTATTATTTGATTTCTAGTAGAAAATTCGGTTACAGAATATTTAAAAAAAAAAAACATATACATAATAGTCAAATCAATACATTATTCGCTTCGCTCAGAATCTAATATTATGTTTTTATAATGGTACATATGTATTATTTTTTTATATACTTTTTATAGATAACATTACGAGTATGTGCTATCGTTTTTTAATAAAACGTAATACATAATAAAAGTAGATACAAAATACTATAATATTGTCATCGACAACTGTTTAACTTTCGCGACAAGTCTTAGAGAGTACTCATTATTATTAAATTCTGTAAATATTATTTTTTTATGTTTCTAATAAATATTTACGGGCAGCCCGATACAAATTACGGTCTTTAAAAATAAAGATCACCTTCCCTTATACAGGTATTATATATTACACTTTCATGTATAAATAACGAATGACTTTGAATTTGCAACACATTTTTGAATAAGTTGAGTAAGTAGAAAGTAGGTGGTAGGTACTTATTTTTACTTTTTTCTTAATGACGTTGGCGAAACATGCTGGTGACTAGGCTATATTCGTAAAAAACAATTAAATATTTTATTAACAATTTAAATTAATACGACAAACATGATGTACCTACCTAATTAGAATTAGTTATTAGTTATTACTATTATGCTACGGAGTAATAGAGTGAAAAATTATCGGCTTTAGAATTAATATTGATGTGTACAAAACATGTTTATATAAATATTTTAACATATTATAATATGTGAATTTAAAAACGCTTCTTATTCAACTATTACATAGTAATTGTGTATATTAATTGATAAATCATTACAGGTTGCTGCAGCCATCGGTGATATTTATTGAAGACGCCGAGAAGACGTTCATGAAGAAAGTACCAAAAACCGACAAGACAGACCCGAAAAGATTGAAAAAGGACTTGCCCAAGCTCGTCAAGGCTATTGCTCCGACGGATAGAGTTCAGTACATTATATTAATTTAAAATTTTAGTTTTACAAATTATTTTATGCCTATACAGTTTCATAATTTTTTTTTTTCATTATATTTTAAATTCCGAGTGTAGCGAAGAATGTGTTATTTTTTATATAGATATTTTTTTTTATCTGTGAACAACTTTTCTACCAGAAATCTTGCTCCTATTCCTATAGTACCTTTTCTGAAAGGACATTTTATTTGGGTGGTACAAGAAGTAGATAATTTTTGATTTTTCAGCGGTTTTCATAATAATTATGAAAAAGCTTAGAAAAAATGGGAAAATGTACGTATCTACATAATATATAAAAGACACTTGGCTCCTAATCGTTTTTCGTTAATAAATTAAATTCCTCTTTATATTCTACCTTCCCAACATCTCACCTATAACAGTGGTCCACTCATTGTACGAAGTATGTCCGTCTTTTGAAATATAAAATCGGCATACTCATATCTATATAATTTAAATATGTATGTCTACAGATATTGTTGCTCGGAATTTCCTGTTGTCCCTGGGATTGCGATCAAAAATCTCTAACGGCTACTTACGGAAAAATAATCGTCATACCTCGTCCAGACTATGCTAGTCTATATCACATATGGAACGATTTACTGTTCCAGTACAGCGGTCTTAGCCGAAAATTCGACGTCAGTACGTTGGCAAAATTATCTGACGGCTACAGCGTGGGAACTATAATAAAAGTACTCCAAGAGGTATGGGTATATTGTATAATTCATATAATATGTAGGTGGGCGTGGTATTTTATGTGTTTTGATTGATTACTAAACCATTAATTTAGTTAGGGAACTCTTACAAATATCTAGGTATTCTTATCCATATCCTTATCCCTATCTGACTATACCTATTTCTATCAGTAGGGATCCTAGATTTATTTATTTTAAATTCGAGACCATATTATAGACACTTAATATTATTATTATGTGTTTATGTACGGGATATTTTAAATTTATATATGCTATGACAAATAGGTAATGAGGGGAGAGGTCAAGACATAACTCTCAGAACTAGTCTGTACGTCGAAAATGTTTTTTATTTATTAAAATAATATTAAAACCAAATTGACATAATATATTAACATAATTAAAAAATTTAATTTGTCTACAGTGATAATGCCGATCTCGTGTGAAAAAAACCTTAAAACCGTACAAATATTATGTTAAAAAAAAGTAATTTGTAATTTAGGATATCCAATAAGTGAAATATACGAGTACAAGAGATAATAATATTAAAACACTAATTTGTTAGAATTGAATTTTCGTTATAAATTATTATTCATTTTGAAGTTTTATACCAAGTGAAATATTTGGTTGCTATGGCCTGACCACTCATTTTCTTCACATGTCCTTTTATCTCCTTTAATAACCTAAATAACTTTTAGTCACTTTTTTCAATTTACCTACCTCTCTCCGATTTTTATTTATATACTTAAGTATTTACTGTTTTTGAGTTTTTGACTACCTTTAAATTAAATATTATTATTGTTATAGGTAATGACATGCAAAAGAGTGTTGCAATTAACAATTCGTCCGTTGATGCACGTTGAAATACTGAACACACTCGCACGTCATGATCCTGTTTACAAAGAAGAAGAAGAAGCGTTCAATCAGTGGTATTCAAGAACGCCCTTAGGTCGTAGAAAACAAAAGGCATTGGATGCTGAAGAGGAAAGACGTATACTTGAAAATGAAAAACATTCAGTTACTAAATAATAATTATACAAGCAAGATACATGAACTCGTTATGTACGAGTTCATGTACCTTATGAATATAACCTCATTGTACATAATTAATATGTGGTTTAATGAAGTGAAGGACACTTCATTAGTCGGCGTATCATTATTAGGTCCTAGTAAATTATTCATTAGAATTAGATAGATAAATATCAAATAAATATTTTAGAAATATAAGTAATCTTTATATATATGTTCAAATTCAATAAAGCCAATAGTGAAATTATTACACTAGTGTGATCATATTAATGATCATATCAATCATATTAATGTGATCATAAAATAGGTTGGGATTTTTTAAAAATTATTAATAGGATAGAGTAGCCATTAATTAACAATCTTGATAAAAATAGTGGGGTGGCAGTTGCTAGCCCATAATGAAACCTATGTGAGAAACTATAGTTATTGTTGTATTAATTAATTTAATAGGTGATATCAATTATTACAAAAAATGGATAGCATAGGATTCCTATAGAATGAAATTTTAATTTTTCTTTTAATAATATTCTTAAGACTGGAATTCAAACTATATAATGGTTTCGTTTTAATTTTTTTTCAATAACTGTAAATATATATTAAATTGAATATTAATAGAAAAAAGTTCTCAAGATATAGGTAGCAACCCATTAATTTCATAAAATATAAAATTATTTTTATTTGAACAACCAAAATTAGTTTCAATTAAATCCTTGTAATATATATTTATTATAGTTCTAATTGATTTTATAAATTTTAAGAACCAAAACTATTTGTAATGAAAGTTTTCTGGATTCAATTTTCATTTGTTTTTCATGATAATTAAATTATCATTAAACTATATTTTTTAAAAATATAAATATCATAATTAAATGAAATCAAATATTGTAATATGGCTAACAATTGGTGAATATTTTTTATATATCATGTTGACTTATCTCTATATATATATTATGTATATCATAAAATCAATGACATGACATCAGACATTGATTATTTACATAAAACATACCATTTTATCAAATAATAATTATTTTTAAGGACATATCTTTTTATTACAAATTAATTTATAAAATGTTTGCATAGCAATTGATAATAAATACAAACACAATTTACTTCACATATGTATGATAACTAGCATTTTCTTTTGCATTCAGTATCCATTTAAAACTACATAAAACTACATTATTTTTGTATTCCTGAAGAATCATGTATCCTATTTTTTTAAAATAAATATTCTTTTAGATCCAACATTTTATTTTTTTATACGTGTTGATCTTAAATTAAATTACATCTAAAAACTGTATATTTTTATAATTTAGGTTATAAAATTTACTTTGTATTTAATATTTTATTACTTTATATTAAAATAAGTAAAATAAATTGTATCATTTTTTTATTTGAATAACAAAAAATGTAAGGTATTACTTTTGAATCACAAGATATACAATTCTTTTAAAGGTAACCCTAACAAGAAACAAAATATATAAGTTGAAATTGTTTTATTTAAATTGCATATAGATAATAAATAATAATTATTAATTTCAGATATAATTTTCTTTGAAGTTTAAACATTTATTTACTAAATAATATTGATTATTTTATACCTATAGTATAATCTCAGTATATAGAATTACATGTTTTTCTAATTCAAATTCAGAAAGTAATAGTTCATAATTATAACCCAATCAATCCAAACATGATAAAAACACTAATCTAAAGACATTAATTAATCATACTTTATTTTAAAATAATAAATTAATTTGTATACATTTATTAAACTTCAACAAAATAAATCATAGATTACAGAAAATTTAAAGGTACAATAACATATAATCAATATTCAATATATTATTTATTTTGATTTTACAAAATAAGATTTTTTTAGTAACTACTATATAACCTAAATTTATAAAGAAATTTCACTTGAGGTTTTGGAATTTGTATAATCTGTAAAATAAAAAATATATAATAAAGTATGTTACAGCATAGCAAAGGTAAACTAGACCACTACAGAAATTAATTTAAAATAAATTTTGTATAATGTAATAACAATTGTGTTAGGGATGGACAACATAGTGAATTCTTTAATCACTTTTTTTAAGTTAATGAAAAAAATAAATAGTTTATCACAATTAGTGACTTGACTAACAATTAGTACTTGAATTAGTGATTTGAGAATCATATAGTGTTCCACAAATATATACTCATTGAAATATTTCTGGAAAAAATAAATGTAATCAAATTCTGTTTTTTTTTTTTTTTATACATATATATATTACTCACAAAGATGAGGACTACAAATATTAGTTTTAACAAATTTTTTTAAAATCAAAGTAACTTTATTTTATTCTTCTGAAAATTTTGAAATATTAACTTTTAATTTTCATTAAAATTGTGATTTTTTAAGTTCAGGCGCGAAGTGTAGTCAATTAGTCATAGTGATAATAATTAGTAAATGTGATAACAGTTAGCTGTATAATTATATTTTTTTACTTTAAAAAATGATTATAAATTACAAATTTAAAGAAATAAAAAGTTAAAATATCAACATTTTTAAAAGAATATACTCTGTAAAATATTTTAAAAATAATAAAATAAAAAGTTATTATTTTCAAGTTTTTTTTTATCAATATATGAAAATTTAATTTAAAAATAAAAATATTTGTAGCCTTATACCTGTGAGTAATATATAAATGTATAAAAAAAAAAAAAAAAAAAACAAAAAAAAATTTGATTATATTTATTATCACAGGAGATATTGCAATAAGTATATTTTTGTGGGACATTATAATATATACATATATATTTTTTAAATTTAATGTAGCTATCTAATTTGTATAAATAGAAGTTAATTTAATTTTCTAGAAACATAATTGTTGTTTTACATCTTATTACTTTCATTAAAATTTAAGCATTGATCTTAATAATAATTGAATAATACTGAAGTCAAGATATGTGTAACTTTAGTATAGTTATAGAGAATTCTAAATATTAATAACTAAATAATATTATTTGCTAAACATTGAAAACATAATTTCATTTTTATAAATTAAGGGAATATAAATATTTTTAAGTTTGTATTTATTTTTAGTTGGGTATACAATATAATATGACAGATAAAAATAAATTTCAATGTATATGCAAATTAATCTCAGTGGGGTTGGGGCTTAAAAAATATTAATATTATATAAGCACCCAGAGAAAAAATTGTTATCCATTTTTATTAAAGTATTCATAAATCAAAATCACTACTAGTTAATAGATAGTATACTAATATTTTTTATCATAAATTATTTATATTAACTAAAGAAAGACCTGAGCACCACTTTTTCTGTGTTACTATGATATCCTCTTACAATAATACATAACAGATAATATCTTTATAAAATTAAAATATTTTTTTAAAACGAGTTACTGTACTTCCGATAAAAAATGTTATGCCAGTTCTTCTAATTGAGCTCTTTCAGGTTTGTATTAATTACCCAATATTTTATATGTCAATTTATAAAAACATATTGATAAAAAATTAAATCCTTTTTAAAGTGTTTAATCTTAAATGAAATCTTTTTATCTGCATATTCAGTATAGATTATTATTAAAGTTTAATCATACACTTAAAATAATTTAACTTTTATTTTCTTATTTGTCACGTGAAATGCAAACATTTAATTTAATTAAATGCAAATATTAAAAACACAGAACATGGGATTCTCACCTTTTAATACTGATGTTTAGGCTGACACATCCATCAATCATCATATTAATACCACACGCTCTCGCTCACATGTCGTAAACTGCTAGAAAATTCTCACATTGCATCAAAAAGTAGTGTCGAATATTTTGGTTGAAAACTATACTAATGTAATCTAATTTTATAAATTGTGATTCAATGGGAAATGATGAAAAAAAAAAAAAAAAAAAAACTAAAACACACAGTATCTATAATAACACTCACAAAATATAACATTCATAAGTTACAATTGATTTTTTTAACATGTAATATTAAATGATAAATAAAATAATATACATATATATATTTGTAAATATATATATGTTAAATATTAATGTACCTACATAAAATAAATATGTAGTAAAAAAAAATTGCCTGAAGTATGGCTGGTTGTTTTATTTACAAATTATTATTAACCAATAATATTTCAGGATAAATTTTTCTTACTTATTTATTTATTTTTATATAAATAATTCAATTATGTATAATTTGTATAGGTATTTTTTGAAGTTTTTTAATACTAAATGAATTATAATGTGAATGAATAATTAAATAATTAAAAAATTGGTTTAAGTAATGAGAACCTGTTAATATATATGACTAGGATAAAAGAAGGGAAGGAAGGTCCCTTTGGTCGATTATTAACCATCACAATTCATATTAATTTACTATAAAAATAGTAGACTACATTAATTACCCCGGCGTTTCCAGTCTTGTACTTTTCCATATGCACGATGGCTTTGGTAAGGGATTGGTTGTGTTTGATATGCAACTTGGTTAAGTGCAGCAGCCAGCATACCATTTGTTAGAACACTACTCATATATTGTTGTTGGCTACTAACTTGTTTATCCTGTATAAACATATTAAGAGTATAAATTTTAAAATTGATTAAGATAATCAACATGTACAACTATTACCCGGCTTTGGTCAGACTTAGGATTTGCTTCGGAGATATGAAGCGAAACTCCCTTAACAATATGATCTTCATCACAGAGACTTTGTGCTACAGAGGCATCATTAAAGGTTACAAAACCAAAGGCTCTGAATGGTTTTGGTATGAACACATCAGTTATCTCACCATATTGAGAGAAATATTTACTTAAGTCAGGTTCACTAATGTCTTCAGTAAGACGACCAACAAAAATTTTGTGTGGTACTTTAGAATAATATCCTTCCTAGTTAAACATAATAAAATAATACATTTTTTTATCATTTTACATAAACAGTAGTCTGTTATAAAATGTGGAATACAAATTAAAATTAGATTATATAATCTTATACACAGTGCGCGCGTTCCATAACTTCTCGAGACTACAGCCAAAGGTTACGAACAATTTTTTGCAAAATATACAAATTACTTCTTAGAATTTTATAATCATTTCAACACTAGTATTAATTTTAGAATGGTCATCTTAAAATGTATGGAACATACTGTGTGTAAAAATAAAAATGCCAAATTGCAAGTTGTAATAGTACTGATATTTGAATAGTAATTTGTGTGGTAGTTTTAGTTACAGGTTTATGTGCTTTGCTAAATTATAAACTTTCTTTTAACTTGTCAAAATCTTTTTTTTAAAAAAAGTGTTTGAGGCAAATATTTAGAAGATTACACTCATAATAATTACAAATTAATGAAGATTAAATATAATACTTTTGAAGCAGGTATTTTCACATCAACCCATCGGTTATTCACATAATGGCGTTGTCCAAGAGCTTTAGCCTGAGCGCTATAATCTTCATATCGAATAAAACCAAAGCCTTTAGAATTCCCAGATGCATCTCGTTTTATCTAAAAGTGTAATATAATTTGTGATATTCTTACAAAAGACAATGTAAATTGTTTTTATACCTGAACCATTACTAGCTTTCCAAATTGTAGAAAATATTCTTTCATTTGAGTTTCTGACAACTGGTAAGGTATACCCAAAACAATCAAATCTGTACAATTCATATTGTGACAACCTTTAGATGGTTTGGTGTCAGACTCTTCTAGTTTTCTTTTATCACCTAAAAATAAAATACATAATTAACACCACCATAAGTAAGTTGTATGTTTTAATCACACACCTTTAGGATGGACACAATAGAATTTATGGCCGGTCCAGCTGCCTTCAGGGGCATGGAATTTACCATCGTACAACCTTAGAGCTCTATATGGTGAATAAGAATCAAGGCGGAATTTAAGACCAGTGACTCCGGGAAAGTATGCACTTAATGTAGCTGTTGAAAGAGTACCATCGCTCTCCAACGGAATTTCCATAAAATCTTCACCCTCGCATTCACAAACTGGAATATATTTTTCTGTGTTTTCCATTGTAGTTACAAAATATAACATATAAGATGCGAGATATAATTAAGATCAATACAAAATGGAAGGTCTGTTATGAATCAAAGTAAACGATATTAAAATTTACAGTTTCGTATTAGGTAACTAGTAATATCCAGTAATTAACATTATCAATAAAATGCAATTTTTAATAATTGCTATATACTTAATAACGTAGTAAAGTAGTGTGCAAATTGTAAATTCGTAAATGTTTAATGTTTATATTACCACAGAGCACTAATGAGTATTGGCCAATGATGATTATCACGACCTGTTATCGGTGAGAACTATTGTTGTCTACACTGTAGTAAATTAACCTTAAATAGTTGCCCGGTTCAATTTAATTCAAAATACAGTAAAATAACAAGTCACTGGAAGTATTCCCAAACAAATAGATTACGGATGCCTTCGGCTTACTCAATTCATTTATTCACTTATTTCTAGTTATAATTTTGGTTTTGCGTTATTTTTACTCGTGTTTTCCTATCTAATTAAGTACATACAAAATCAATTAACAAAATGGTAAGTTATTAAACTTATAAATTATTATTTATTATAATTTCTTCCGTGGTAGTACCCAATAGACAAGTATGAATTTTATACTTAAACTTATAAAAAAAAATGTAATATATTATTTTTTAATATTAGTCATAAATTTAAATTATGTGTATGTATTTTAAATACATTTTGATGAAAATTGATGTACAATTGGAGAGCTTTGTCCCTCGCTCGTTTTGCTCGTCGACCACTGTAATTTGTACAATATTAGGTATAATACCTGTATTGAAGATATTGAATCTTTTTTATATAATAGAGAAATTCAAAATACATAATTACATTGAACCAATATTCTTATGTTAAAATATAGTGTGTGATGTGAAGAAGTAATTTTTATTGTTTTTTATTGATTATATTGGGTACTTATGTTAGATTTTTATATCAAAAAATAAAACATTTAATTTATATAAATAAATTATCACAATCAATCGTAAATATTCTTAATAAGAAATAGGTGTATAAATTAAATATTATTTAATTATTCAAATATTATATCTATGAATAATGAATATATTTAACATTATCTTAGTTTCTTTTTTAATGCATTGTATTTTTATTTCAGTTCCGTAATCAATATGATAGCGATGTTACTGTATGGAGTCCTCAGGGTCGCTTGCATCAAGTGGAATATGCCATGGAAGCTGTAAAATTGGGTTCAGCGGTGGTTGCATTAAAAAACAAAACACACGCCACTATTGTTGCTCTTAAACGTGCTCCAAATGAACTATCAGCTTATCAAAAAAAAATTATTCCTGTAGACGATCATATTGGTTTTTCTTTCTCTGGTTTGTTAGCTGATGCTCGTATTCTTAGGTAAGAATTTGCTATTCGTATGCCTTAATCGTAAGGGGTTAAGTTATTGTTTTTGAAATAGTGAAATATTTTATCAAATATTTCATGATTTCATAAGAAATTGAAACGTTTAAAAATTTATACTTGATATTCATTGAAAAATGAAGTCAAATGAAAATAATCCTTGATAGTGTTATTTATTAATTACATGTAATTTAAATTTGTTATAAATAATTAAATAATTTGTTTGTATTTTTATTTTATTTTTCTGTTCCTTTTTTAAATATTTATATGTCCCATATTACCATTCCACAATATTTTATCAGTAACCAGGTGATGCCGCAAAGTTAAAACTATGTTAAAAAATAAATTATTTTTTACACTTTTAAGTCTTAATTTAAATTTTTTAAACAATTTATTTTTCCGATTATGTAAAAAAGTACATATTCTCAAATTTACAATTATAATTATTGTAAGTTATATTCGATAAATTAATTGAGAGATTTAATTATATGTATAATATAATTTAAGTACAAGAATTAATCTCAAAATTTCAAGAATTGGCCTTTTGATGATAATTTGTTTTTTTTTTAAATAGTTCTTTTTTTTCAATTACTAATTTAATTATTCATTTTTGTAGCAAGTTTATGAGATCAGAATGTTCCTCACACAAGTTCGCTCATGGTGATGATCTGCCAGTGAATAGGTTAATGACAAAAGTTGGAAACAGAATGCAATTGTGCACTCAACGGTATGATAAACGCCCTTATGGTGTTGGTCTACTTGTAGCAGGTTATGATGTTAGTTTATAATTATTTAATATGAATTACTTGCCTATATTTTGTTTCAAGCTCAAGGGAGTATTAAATTTAATTTTTTTTGTATTGCATTAGGATAATGGTCCTCATATTTATCAAACATGTCCATCTGCAAATTTCACCGATTGTAAAGCTATGGCTATTGGTTCACGATCACAAAGTGCTCGTACATATTTAGAAAGGAACTTGGATACATTCAAAGATGTAAATTTGGAAGAACTATTGAAACATGGCATGAGGGCTTTAAGAGATACTCTACCTAACGATATTAATCTGACCTCAAAGGTAGTTGGAAACTATTGAAATTAAAATAACTAGTAATTTTTATATTTTGTTTCACAGAATGTTTCGATTGCTGTTGTTGGCAAAGATCACCCATTTGAGATTTATGATGAGGAAAAAACTCAAGAAAAATTATTATTAATAGAAGGAGAAGAAAGAAGAGCTCCAGCACCAACAATTGATTCTGCAGGCAGTGGACCGCAGCCTCCACAAGACGGACCAGGTGGTCCTACTGATAGTGCACCAGGTGTTGCAATGGAAACTGAATAATAATAATTGGAGTAAAGTTAAAATTAACAATACAAACTTTATTTTATATTTCTCAATCGATTAAAAAAAAATATTTATGATTACTTCTCTCTTGTAAGTTGTAATTGTTTTTGTACTATTTTATTGTCAAGACAAAATTATAGTTCATAAATGCTAAATTACATAAAATTAATGTTATGGCTACAGTTTATTGTATTATAATATTTAAATAATAGTAAACTTGATTGTTAACAGATTATTGTCTATCCATTCGTACATTTCATAGTAATTATCATTAATATTGTCTGGTGAACACACAGTCTTATAAAATTTAATGTACACATTACATTACATTTGTCACCATGCAAAAAGTGATCAAGTGATTTAAAAATTTTAATTTTAACTATTTTTGATTGTGATCATAAATTATTTGTTAACTTGTTTCTGAACTATTTGTATTATCACTTTGATATATTTGTCGTATTTAATATATTGGCTTATATAAACATATAAACATACTTTTGCATTTTGGTCAATTTTTGCATGATAGCGATAATATATTTATTCATTTTTTTAAACTAAAATTTTATAAAATGTATTAAAACCATAAAAGAAATTTTACACCATCTCTAATAAATTCTTATGAAACTGTATAGCTATTATAATTTGTAGAAGTTCACCAAGAATTATTATCCACATTGAAGTTTTTTAATCTAATTAAATATTTTTATGACATGTATATTATATTTTTTATAAGTAAATTATGATGAAATTTGCCTATAAGAAAAAAAAAAATAAGAATCAAATAAAAACTATTGTATACATAACACTTTGGGTAGGCCTCTATGAGTATATTTTAGTTTTAGTCTATAAGGCAGTGGTTCCTTACCATTTTAAGACTATTACCTATAAATCAGGTTACATATCAACTTCTTAGCTGGTAAGCAGTGACCTAAAAACAAATAAGACTGATATACTTCGTACGTGAGTGGGGCGCTGTTGTAGGTGAGAAGTTAATAGAGGGGAAATTTTATGTATATCTGTACGCAACAATTAATTGTTGTTAACGAAAAAAAAGATTCTGAGCAGAGTTTGGTTGATAGTGTTGCTTTGTCAACAATATATATATCATATTATGTTAAAATAATTATATAATATGCATTTTATTATGTTTTATTTTATAATATTTGTTTAATATTGCACCTATTTTCCCGTTTTTTCTATGTTTTCCCAAATAAAAAATGACCTCCCTAAAATACCACCTCTGTTAGATTTCCTACCAAAAAAATTGTTATTATTGTAAATTGGAGCAAAATTTGAAAAAAGTAGAAAAAAATAAAAAAAAATAAACATTGGTAAACCAATACATTCCTTGCTCCACTCAGAATTTAAAGAGCTGATATTAATAATTAGGTTACAGTAGTGGGTGAGAAGTGAGAAATGTAGAATAGATATAGTTCATATATTGGTAGGTCAATGTTGTAGGTGGGAAGGTAGGATACAGATGGGAATTTTATGTATATCTGTATGCAAAGATAAACTATTGTTAACGTTAGCGTTCAGTTGACAGTGTTGCTTTGTCAAAAATATATATTATGTCATATTAAGGTAAAATAATAACAATAATGTGTGTTTTCACGATTACAATAATTGTTTAAAAAAGATTAAAATAATAAAAACTTACCAATGACAAAATTATTTTTAATCTTTCAATCTTTTTTAACCTTGAGAATTAGGTTTTCCTTATCTCGAATATTAATGAGAATTTTAAAAAATGACCTCTTTAAAGTATCACCCAGAGAATATTTCCTTTCAGAAAAGGTGCTATACTTGATAATCGGAGTAAGCCTTCTGATAGAAAAGGTGTTCACATTAAAAAAAATAATTTTAAATTACATTCTTCACTCTGCTCAGAATCTAAAAAAATAAGTTTTTTAATTCATAGAAAAATTTTTTTCTTTAAAATTACAGAAAAATATATATCGGTCTAAAGTTGTATAGGCCCTTATCACTTTGGTACTTGAGAGGACCCCGGGCCTTCTGTCCCGACTAGACCCCCTCCCCATTCCTTAATCCAGCCATGAGCATACTGTTATTTTTTAAGGAACCATCACAGTGGCATCTATCATTTCGATCTTTCTAATGGGGGAAATAAACCATAATGTGTTTTTTTGAAGAAAATGAGTTTAGTCCTATAATAGCAGTTCCCAATTTTTTTAGTTCGAGCATCTTTAAAACGTCTTTCGGTGATGTGCGGAGTTGGAATTTTAGGCTTTTCAGAACAAATAAAACACAGAATTATGTCGAATTCAAATAAAAATAAATTTATTTTATTTTACATTTTTTATACAATAGACATTATTGACTTACAATAACAATGATAGGTAACCGAAATAAGAATTATGTGTTTTTCAGAATCAAGAAATCGTCGATTTATACATGTATATGTTGCCACGGCAAAGTATTAGATACAACGATAATCGCAGCTACCGCCGAGTGATCAAATTCGGATCGGCGTACAGTTGTCATGGCGGCTAATGTTTATTTCAGTTTTTCTATATCGAGAGGGGGGGGGGTTATAATAAATTTCCAAAGGGGTATGCCATAGGCAGAACCAGATCTAGGAATTTTTACACCTCGAGAAAAAATATGGAAAATACGCCCAATATGAAGATATTATTATTTTTTTTGCTGGTCATTAAAATACGGCAAGTGAGTTGAGTCTATAGTGTCTGACAATATAAAACCAATTATCTATTTATAATATAATATAATATAATATTTTATTTTATTGTCCACTAAATGCGAGCAGTGTCTATGGCACTCTGCTCACTAGACCGAACGTACCCGTAATGACTGTAACGGATTGCTTCTGCGGAACGTAACTCCCGAACGGACGACGACAGGTTGACAGCCGTAGAACCCGTTGTCACCGTATGGAAGTTTTTACGGATGTTACTTTGATTTGTGAGTGCACGATAAAAATTCGCCAAAATTAATATTTAATCGTGTTAATGGTTTAATTCCATGTTTTAATACGTTTTACTCTTTATTATTTTATTTTCAAAAAAAAACCCCTGTTTTAACTAGTCTTGTTTAACCATAGCTCATTTTATTACTTTTAAAATGATTGTTTCAAATACGTTATTTAATGATGAACGTAAATTGTAAGATGACACAATCGATTCTCGATGAATAATTTTTGTCGTTTTAAAGCTTGAAGTCCACCATAATGATCAGCTATAGCTCGAGATCCGTTTTTCTATCGCGGTTTTCAACAACGATGATACACGACTAAGGCCTCTTTCACACGAAGCCACCATGGCAACGTTACTATGGTCGCGCTACCACAAGATATTAGATAATAATTAAATTAGAGTTTTCACATGTGATGGCGCGACCAAGTCGGCCGTGCCACCAAATTAGAAGCGCTTCCATTTAGCTATCGTTTACATTGTTTGTATACTAAAATGCGTAATCTATTCATTTGACCTGCCAGTGGTGTGTGTGGATGTTGGTTTTTCTGATATTTTTTTCTTATGACGTCTCGCTGTCAATATTTTTAATATGGACAGTTACTTCGATTCAGGAAAAATGATTTTAGAAGTCGAAAATTGAATTGAAATCAAATGAATTAATGTATATTCTTAAATAGTTAAAAAATTATTTGTCTTCGTACTTTTTTAAATCGTTATAATAAAATAAATTGAACAATTCTTTGGTAGAACGATCACATTCCGGATTTACCCAAAACTTCCTATGTCTTTTTTTCGTCTATGTACTTGACTATACAGATATGCTACGCAAGCTAACTTTTCGACTTTCATGTTGGTACTAAACTGTATAACATGAACACAGGTCTGAGAACCAATCCGGCGCGGCATTTGCGTATTCCCCGGTCTGCTAAATCGTTACCCCGCATACACTTCGATCCGGTTTCGCATAGTTTCTCCTTCCACAGTATAAGCAGTTTTTTTTGTGAACAAATCCCACTTTGTAATTAAGTCAACGCATCGCATTACATATATATATATATATATATATATATATATATTTCATTAAGGACTAATAATTTGTATACTAGATGCTACGTTCAGTATATAGCTGAAAGTTCGACTTTAGATCTTCGGCGATTCTCTTGGCCAGGTTTATTCATTATGATTTTAAAACTTAGTTCACAAGAGAATAAAATGAAACTAGAGATTTCGTATAATAATAAAATAAAACTTACGGTCCCCGTGGAAAAGTTGGCGTTTTATTATTAAGGATACCACAAAATTATATAGTAGTTAATATTAATGGTTTTGTCAAATTAAAATTCTATACTATTATGCTGGCTAAATATCACCAATCGTAAAACCAATATAATTTTGAAGAAAAATAAAAATAAATAACAAACAATAGTATAATATTTTACTTTATAACTGTGTATTTTAATGATATTGTAATGATAATAACATTAGTCATAAGTCATTTATTTTTTTTATCTATGATTAGATGGTAATAATTAAAAAAAAAAAAATAATAAAATAGCTGATACTGCAGATGGGAGCGGCTACTGTTGTGAGAAGTTAGGAAAGTAGAGTACATAAGGTTATTTCATTTATATTTGTAAGCAACGATAAACCATTGCTTGACGAAAGACGATTCCGAGCGCAGTTCAGTAGTACATAATTAGAAACGCCGTATTTTTTTTGCAATTTTCGTTTAAATTTGATTTTAAAACACTTATTAAAAAAAAAAAAGTCGTCCGATCATTTTAGAAATTTTACCACGTCTAGGTAAATCCAATATAAGTATTATTACTAAGTTTCAAGTCTATACGTGTATTTATAACCGAATCACAGCAAACAAACTCCCAAAAATTAAAATTTTTTAAAAGCTCAAAAGTGGCTCAAAAGTTTTAGCGATTATACTGTAAAAAATTAAATTGGCAATAAAAAAAGTATCGTGCGATTTTTCGATAAAATTATTTTTTTCTGGTAGTAAACGTCGTACATGTTTTTATAAAATATTGAAATCGTGAAATTGTATGTTTTTCTTCGTTTTTTCCCACTTAAGTGTTTTTATTTAAAAAATGACTTCTTCAAAGTACAATTTAGACAAATTGAGCTTTCAGAAAAGTTGTTACATGTACAAATCGGAGTAAGTTTACTAGGAAAAAACGTGTCCACAGACAAGAAGAATGAAATAATAAAAAAATAAACATCTTAGTAAAACCAATAGCTTCTTCGCTAAGCACGAAATCTAAAGTGATGCTGTATTTGTTGATGATGTGGTTGTCCAATAATCGCATCCCGGAATATTAGGACACGCTTTTTTATAGGCCGATAATAAATAACATTGACAATACAATAACTGTTAAAATGAAGAACAATAACAATGAATTAGGCCAATTAAGGAATCCCGTAGCGGTGATTGAGGTTGACGAAACAGATATTGGTAGCGCACGCCAAGAAATTAATATAACCACAGAACTCGCGTATGACTCATCGCACATGAATTAATAAAAAGTGTAGAACACGGTTTTGGTCATTATTTAATAAAACGCGTCGGGCACGTTCAAATAAATTATAGGAATCAAATTTTTAAATAAATTTATAGATACAGTGGAGCCGACAGTGACAAAAATGAATAAAACAAATTATGGGGCCCGTGCACATCGATGACGACGCGACATCGTATGATCAAATACACACTTAATATTGTAATCACCGCGTTCCGAAAAAGTAAGTTTTGTACCTATAAAACGGCTGACGTGAATAATAAAAATATTTTAGTATTAATTCAAGAAATAATAAAAGACGCATATAACGCGAGCGTTGTTAGTAAAGTATACAATGGTCACACGTTAATCAGTACCTATAATGAATAATTCTCAGGTAGAATAAAATATGCAGACAGGATTTAAATAAACTACTACGGTACGAACCCGAATTTGAATATCAGGTTTACGCTAGTGCTGACATTTATTTGAGATTAAAAATCGGGACATTCAATTTTGAGGGGGCACGCCTTCCCTCCTAAATATTTTTTTATTCGTTATTTAGATTATTTTAGTGTTTTATCAATCTAAATATTACCAGATTATAATACAAAATCATTAGTGTCTCCCGCCCGTTCTTAGTTATTTCGTGTGGTACCATCGTGGTTTAGGTATATTATCTATATGTTATAACAATATTTTGAAATTTACTTGATAATGTATTACATATATATCTATGAAACGATCTAGTAAGTTTTCAATAATTAATAATTAGGTATACTAGTGTTTAGGGTGTTAGGTGTATTAACTCAATTAAGTCAAGTGAGGTTAGGGTCCCGGGTGTGATACCTAGTGGCATATTCTGAAAAATGTTCAGATTTTTATTTCTCGTATTTTCGTATTTTTCATATATCACAAGATCGTGAAATTCCTATAAGGAATTCCGTAGATGCGGACTTTTGGATTTAAACGGAAAATCCTTGGGAATCCTCTATAGTCCTGTTCAGAGTCCCTATGAAATTCCGAGGGTCCTATTTTCAAAATAATAAAAGAAAATATAATATTGTTTTATAAAAACGTACATAAAATAAATAATTTGTTTTAATATAATAAGTTAAATAAATACAAAATCATTTTTTTATTTTTTCAAAGCGTTCTATTCATATACAACATCAAAAATGAAATGTTAAATTTTAAAATCTGTTTCACTACTTAATCGTTTACTATTTTTTAATACATTCATGGTATATTATTGGTTTCACCTTTTTGAAAAAAGTTTTATAGCTGTATAGTTATAAATTATTATTGCCATAAATGTTGTTAAATATTGCCATCAGTCCGAAGTCACTAGGAAAAAGTTGGGGGGGGGCTATGTGAAGTTAGTCCCTCGGTTTTAAAATATCATATTGGTGCGAAGACATTGCAAATTTTTTAATTTTGGTTTCTTAAAGTTGTAAAAAGGTTGCTAAAAATTGACACAGTATTGGAGTTCCTACGACAACCAATCCTTTGGGCCAACTTCACGGACTCGATTATACACATGAATTCACGTGTAACGTGCCCTTGAAAACGGACTCGTGGATCCAAAAATACTTATACGTGTTCTATTTAGACCTTTAGATAAAATGGGGCGAGTTAGTAATAGAAATAAAATACAATTAGAACTGTAAACGGTACATAGGTAGATATTGATAATTATGAATGGGATGAAATGAATGGACAGGTCAAAAAGCGTAGTATAATTGGACAATAACGAAAGAATATAAAAGTTTAATAATATCGACGGTATAGATTATTTAGAATAATATTATGTTTCGATTGTGTGTATTGAATAATGACAATTAGCGCAGGTTTGTGTATTGTTTTACAGTAGCGGAGATTAATTACAAATTATAATACGCAGGTAAATAGGTCACTCGATGACGACTAAAAGCCAAAAAGTCGTAAGTGTCAAAAATGAAATTGTTTTAGGGAACAAAAACACAGTTTTTTTTACAATAAATAATAATTATTTTGTGTATCTTATTTTATTTCTATTATGTAGACGAATATGTTCACTTACCTTTCACGAGATTGTTTTTAAGATCATTTGCTCAGTATTTAGTTATTATTAGTTTTGATTAATCGGTTTAGCTTAAACACTATCGTATGATCAACATTGGTGTTCTTATTAATTTGTTTGAGAGTATACTTACTAAGTCATCAAATAATATCAATATAAATATTTTTCTTATTATTTAGAGGGGTGAACGATGTGTCAATAATAATCTTGAGATTCAAAATTACAAATCGATTGAGACTTGAGAGTATACGCAGTATTTAAAAATATTTAAAAAATATTTAAATACTATATTAAAAAAAAAAAATGTTGATAGTATACGGCGTATATGTATAGTATACCCTATGGGAGCACCTCTGATGATCAAATAAGACGAGAATATACTCTCGTTAAACATTCAATATTAGATATACCACACATTAATAAAGGGACTGACAATCGGAGATAGGGGAAGATTTTGCGTTATAATTTATAATCGCTTACCACGATATTATATGTGTGGCAGCCGTTACGTAGGGAAGCGGAAACAACTCAATTTATATTCGCTTACCCGGACGGTTAGACTTCTAGCGAGATGCGCTTGTACGTAATGATGGGTAATACGGTCTGAAGTTAAGAGAAAGAAATTAACACGATTTAATTTATGGTTTGAACGAAGTGACAAGGATATGATTTAGGAAGTTTAGGAGATAATGAGTAAAAAGACTGGCTAACCCTAGAAATGACCCATACAGCGTCTTATATTGCCTGTAATACGAGTTATACGAGTAATAGAGTCTATACGAGCTAATAAATAAATCAATTCAAGTCAGTGTGTATATTATAAACACACTGAAAAAAATTTATAAAACTTTAAACTTGTAAATAAAAATTAAAAATCAATGTTGTATGAAAAACTTTTCAGATACCATAGATGATTTAGGTAGCTTATTATGTTCTCATTTGAATAATTGTCCACCTTTTTTGTATTTTCTGTGGTTTTCCATTTTAAATTTTGTTGTTCTACTTTACCAGTCTCAACGTGTGCTACTTTTAATCAAGCTAGTCCACCTTGTATTCTTAAAATATATTTCAAAATATGTCTTACCGAATTTTGATCCAAATCGTTTTTAGTTAGCAATGATGTATCGTTGCGTACAAACAAAAGTGAAATAACTTTATGTATCCTATACCTTCTCAACATTTTTTTTTAAAATTATTTTTACTCTAATAAATATATTGTTTCGCCGAAAACGATTCGCCAAAATGTCTTTCGCCGAATTTCCTTTTGCCAAAATGACTGGATACCAAAAAGTGATGTATTAATATACTTTCAAATGTGTCTAAGTTGTCCATATACTTGTCTTCTGTTCTTATCTTATTTAAACATTTAGATATAATAACAAATTTACCCACATTTTATTGCAGAAAAACGTTCAAAACTATTCCTATTCATACTAAATTACGGTACCTTCTGATTGGTGGTCGATGATACTTTACGATAGGAAATTTTAAATCCTAATCTAATAATAATTAAAAGTAATATATTGGAGATAGATAGATAAATAGTAAATGTAATAAAAACAATTGTAATCATATATTGTATACTTTAGTAATAATTTTTTCTCTTATCTTCCAAATTTCCCTACCTTTTTTTTTTACCTATTTTTCACTCATTTATGATTTATTTTTAACTAAAAACATATTTTTAATTAGAATTTTATATTTGTACAATAACAAAAAAAAAAAAAATAAAAATAAAAATATTTACAACATTTTTTTAAATAATTTGTTTTCTTCACATCTTTACGAGATTTATTTAATGTAAACCATTTTTAAAAATTTAAGTTGACTGTCTGCATGCCATTGCTAATTCCATCAGAACAATAACACAGTGAGAAAAGAAGTTCAGTTTTCTTTAAAGTTTTCCCGTCTATAATTTTTAAGTAGACTGCCAGTAACACTAGGTTTTTGGGAGTCAAAATCAAAGAATAGCAGACTGTAACGGAGATAGATGGTTTAGAACAGGAAATAAAGTGTCATTAGAAGAACTTTGTTTAGTTTAGACTATAATGTGTGTGAAAACAAATTTATATCAATGAATTGTATTAATTAAATTATAATTATGCTGTTTTATTTCACTTGGAATGGTGATTCGATGGGCTAAAGCATAGGATTTCAAATTTAATATAATTGGTTTAATAAATGTATTATTTGTAGAGGGAAAGATTTACAAATCAGTAAGTATATAAATAATAATTATTGCTACATAATACAACTTAGTTAAGCATCATTAAAAGGAATAATTCTGGTTATTTATTTTAAAAATACATGTCTTCTCATCATTAAAAAGGATGTCGTATAGTGTGTTTATTACTATATGTTGTATCACATATTTACATCCAATAAAGATACACTTATTGGAAATTTTATTTTTATTTTGAAAAAAACCTACTAATAAATATACAATGAGCAATAAAGTTTAGAAACATTTTTTTATACAGCAAACGTTAAAAATATTGAATCAAGAATTAACCAAATCACAGTGTCAGTGTTTTAGAGAATATAAAAAGTGTAGTTAAGTTAGCACGCCGGGGTTCTTAAAGCTGAAAAACAGATCCGCTATATAGAGTTAGACCCCTTAGGTTTTATTTAGAGTTTAATTAATAATGACAGTCATAATGATTGTGGTGCTAAATAAGTCAGTTTACCATATTCATGCTTTAAATTAAAAAAAAAATATATGACTGTAGTGTTTTTAATTGGTAAACTAATTTGTATTATTATTTTACTCAAATGTGAGTTGACAAGACAAGTCCGGCTCACTACATATTTAGTGCCAGGTGTGGGGTCCTGTCAATTGAAACATATTCCGGAAATGTTTTTTTTTTTAAAACTAATCCGAATAAGTAGACTGAGGATCCTTGACGAACCGGCGTCTCCCAAGTTCAAAACCCAGTTTGTTTCATCAAATTGGTTTACATGTTTGTTGTTCACGTAGCAAGCAAATGGGTAAGAATTTTTTTCGAATGTGTAACTTCGGTCTACACGACGGCAGGTGTGAATAAAGGAATTGCAGGGTCCACACATGTATACAGCGTAGACAATGACGCGAGCGATAACAAGCGCAACGACGAATGTTCAGACATACACATAACCATAACAACGCGATCCGAAACAATAATTGCCATACCTATAAAAGCGGCTGATGCGAATAACAAAAACAAGAGATACCTAATAAAAGACTTATATTGCGCGAGTGTAGTTAGAAAAGTAGATAATGGACATACGCCGTTAGTATGTGCTATGAATGTGGTAAAACAAAAAATATATGCGCGAGATTTAAATAAATTTGGATACGAAACTGAATTTAATTATCAGGTATATATAGAGAGGAGACAAGAAACTAACAAAGTGCGTGTAGATGAAATCACCAGTATAGTATGATGCGATCATATGAATGCCGAAGAAATAGAGTCCATACCTAATATACCTGGTGATTCATTTAAATGGGTACACTCATTATCTCGGAAAGTATTAACTTTTTCCGGAATTTGTTTTCTAGAACATTTAAGAAACAAGCTCTTCCATAATTTTGTATTTGTGTTATTTTAGTCACTCTTTTTTTTGGGATTAAAACAACTACCTACTTTTGATTTTCAAATGACAACCTATATTAAATTGTCCATAAATAGATTGAGTATTAGATAAAATAAATTTTAGTGTTGAAATGTTTGATTTCTGTCAAGCCGTTGATGAGATATTCCACTTTTAATTTTAGGTTGGAGGAGAGTGTTGGTGCATTGTTAACACGCCAGGCGTCGTACCGCCATACAAATGATACTCCACTACTCTCCTCCAACCAAAACTTAAAAGTTGAATATTTCGTCAACAGATCGACGGAAATCAAAAATGTCAACACTAAAATTTATTTTATCTAATACTCAATCTGTTTATGGAATTTTTAATATAGGTTGCTATTTGAAAATCAAAAGTAGGTAGTGGTTTTACCACCAAAAATAAGAGTGACAAAAAAAAAAAAAACACAAATATAAAATTGTGGAGCAGCTTTTTTCTTAAATGTTCTAGAAAACGAATTCCGGAAAAAGTTAATACTTTCCGAGATAATGAGTGTACCCACTTAAATTAATTACCTGGTATGCGAGTATTTTTCACCAGGAGGATAATAAACTAATATTTACAAATGCAATGGAGCATGAAATAAAATTACCTGAAAAGAAACCCCTGACTTATAGACAACCGTACAGCTTCCCGCAGGCCCAACACAAAGAAATAAATAAACAGATAGATACAATGTCGCCAGATGATTAATTAATCGAGCCATCGCTTTTTCTATGGAACGTACCCTTTTTGTTAGTGAGAAAAAAGTTTGATAGGACAGTTGTTCAAATATCCTGAATAGTAATGGATTGCCATGTGTTGAATAGGATAACGATAAATTAATTTCACTACTTACATAACATCGAAATTTTAGACCAGTTGGGGCAAAGCCAATTGGCCAATTATTCAGTGTCATAGATCTTGCGTCGGGTTTTTATCAAACAATTCCCTTAGACGAATCGTCACGCGAGTGCGCGGTCTTTTCGATCTTACAGGGCCATTATCAGTTTAAACGGATGTTAATGGAGATGAAAACATCCCCCGAAACTTTCCAATGCCTAATGAACTACGTATTAACTGGATTAGTAGGGATAAAGTGTTTGGTATATTTAGATATTATAGGAAATTTATCAAGGGATACAGTGCCATAGCTAGACTTATTACGCAATTTTTGAAAAAAAGATTGTACATTTAACTGGATAAAGAAATGCCAAGGGTCTTTTGACATACTTAGGACAGCTTTGTGCACTGAATTAAGATTAAAATATTCAGATTTTACGAAATAATTTACATTAAATACGGATGTGAGCGGTAAGGCACTCAGTGCAATTTTATCACAAGGACTGAGAGGAGCAAATTTACCGATAGCATACGCATCTCGAATGGTATCAACCCGTTCGGTCATTTCGTAGTTGCATTTACACTTGGTAATGCGCTAAGTCTTGACTCGGGTCTGGTGGCAACTCAACATTCTAATAAACTATATTTGTAAAATCATAATTTCTTTTACAATATTCGAACAAGTTTTTAATAAACACAATTAGTATTTAAATAATTGTAAATTCCTACTCAAAGGCTATATCCAAAGGACAAGCTACAATATTAAGCGTTGTGAGTCATGTCAAAGAAATAAGGTTACCAATAGAAAGGCGTAAACCCATAGTAAACACATCGACAAGTACCAAGCCTTTTCAAAAAAATGTCATGGTATAGTGTGGAAATTGCCTAATGTTACTAATGAGCAATAATACTGTCGGGTAACATTTATGTGTTGACCATGCAAAACGATTTAACTAAAAATTGGTTGTGGGGTCCACTATACCTAATTATCAGGCTAACATGGTAGGGAAAACATAGTAATACATCACGGAAGGCGATGACCGACCGTGCATAAAAGTAATATCAAAAAGAATTTCGAAAACCCGATTTGAATATAAATGAGGGCCTATATGCAAAAACAAATTTTAGTTTAATCATTTATTAACTAAGACAAATATTTTTAAGTTAGGTATATAAATATATAAAACAATTTTTTTTCACAGTTAATTAAATATAGAAAGTATAGGCAAAATGTATAACATTGTCATTGGTCGACTAATTACAGGAGAGTAATGATAGTGGTAGTAATGGCGATCGTATACCGGGGCGAGTCGTATAAATTCAGTGACAGCCGCCTGTCGTCAAACGCAGGGATATTGCTTGATCACTAAGGGGAGGCGAAGATTACGATTACCGGACGATGATTTTATACATGAATTTAGGGAGAATGAAAAATCAAATAGATATGCGGCAACACATACCAATATAACAATTATATTTATGTGCTAGGTCAGCCAATTATCCGGATAGGGTACGCAGTTTATCCGACACTAGTTGTCTAGAAATGGAGTCGAATTTTAAACAATTTACGTCACTATGTAGATAAACATCTAAATCAGAGGTTCCAAAAATTTTTTTCCCATAGACCCCGTGCCAATTTTTTCTGTTTTTCATAGACCCCTAATATTGAATGTTTAAAAATTCATCAACGTGTTTTTGACAGCTTACACGGAGCTACTTACTTGAATAATGTTTACTATGAAGTGAAACATTTTAAAATAAAAAAACGTGTAAAGTTTTATTTTATTTATATTTTTTTTTTCTTTAATAATGACAATAATTATTTAATTTTTTAATTATTAAAACGACAGAAAATGCAAATTAAACGTAATAACATAAAAAATTCAAATTATATTTTTAATAAGAAGGAATATTTGGCTTCAAATTAATCAGGTTTAACCTTAAATATCCTATACCAGTGATTTTCAATCCGTTTCTTTTTTTTTTTTAGAAGATAACTTAATAACTATCGTAAACCTCTATTTACATATCATGCACCCCCAATTTTCTTTTTCGTTGACATGAACCCCTTGCAGGTTAAAATCGACCCCAAGGGGTCGATATAGACCACTTAAAGAACCTCTGATCTAAATGATTGGGATTAATATTTACCTTGTGTATTTTTTGTTTATAATTCCACCTCATGGTGGAAACTCATCTACACATTACCCTTCGTATACATTAGTTTATGGAAGAACACTACTATTCCAGTAAAATTAAAAGGACATTTGGAACTCCGATGTAATTATGATGATTATCAATATGATTTGAAACAAAAGTTGCAGGAGTCCCACACTATAGCAAGGGAACACTTAATTAAAAATAAAAACACACCTAAAGGGTGTTACGACGAAAGGAAGAATTAATTAAATTAATTAAATTAAATTCAGGTAAAAGATAAAATATTATTACGGGATGAGATACAGAAGAACAAATAAGTTCATTGTGGATAGGCTCATTTTAAGTACTTGAGGTACTCGACAGGGAGAATGTAATAATACAGCGTGAAAGGCGACGGTCGACCGTGTATAAAAATAATATAAATAAGTATTTCGAAAATACGATTTGAATATAAATGGACATCTCCATGTAAAGGATTTTCTTTAGTTTAATCATATGTTAATTAATATAAATATTTTTAAGTGAGTTATTTATATATAAAATTGAATATAGTTAATTAAATACAGAAGCCAGAAGATCTAGGTAAAATGTATAAAATTGTTATTAGCCGACTAATTACAGTCGCGTAAACCGAGGTCGTCAAACGCATGGATATTGTTTGACAATCAAGGGAAGTTAAAATTACGACTACCGCGTGGACGATGCTTTTATACATGAATTTAGAGACAATGACAAACCAAATAGATCTCACCGACATTTATTATTTATTTTAGTCTATTTATTGTAGTTATTTATTATTATAGTTATTATTTGTCAAGCATAATACTGAATTGTAAAAAGTAAATGTCTTTATTTGGCTCCAATTGTAATACTTGTCTAGTTGGCGAACATTCGAGTTAAATAATGAATGAAATTTGATTACTAATTAAAAATCTTACAGTTACATTTAAAAAAAATTAAACATAAATACTGAAAACCGACTTATTCAATTAAAAAAAAAAAAAAAAATATATATATATATATATATTTAATTATTAGCAATTTGTATTCGATGAGAAATAAACTACTGTAAATACTGATCGTTATTGCTACGCTACTGCACCACTAAATTGAATGAACTAAGATAGTTACATATTATTATTATAGATAACTTACATGGTCTTGAGTATTCACAACATAATAATAACCTGTCGTGACCTTTAGAAGTCTGTTTACATGTTAATTTTATTTTTGAATTTTCAGGACTGGTGCATGTAATGACGCTAAATTAAATTTTCTTTTATAGAAATAATAATTTTGTATATACTTATTGTTTTATTGTCTTCTATTGTTCCAGTACAATTTATTTATTTATTAAACCTATTATATTGAGTTTGAAAAGTTTGAAATTTGAAATTTTGCATGCTTTTATATTTTTGGTTAAAACGCAATAATCAAAAATCAGATGTTTGATTTTTAAAGGGAGATTCACTCTAAATGTCTACTAGGATAAAATCTCAAATATGGCTAACAAAATTTATTAGTATGGATTCTCTACTATGAATAATCCGTGGTTGGATTTGTTTCTTCTCATGACTCGAAGAAAAAAATTTAAAAATATCGAAAATCGAGTCTCCGTTAATAATGTTTCTATTCTCCGAATAAACCCAGTGTTGCATAGTTTGTGATAGATCGATGCATTGTAGAAAATATACACAATTTATATTTAAAACAAATGATTTAAATAAAAAATATCCAAAAAGTAATAATAATAATAACTTATAGTTCAATAACATACACATGTTGCTTTGTTATACATAATGAACAGAAGACGATGACAATTTTCTTTTAAACTAAATATGAAATAAATGTGGTGCTCAGTTCAAACCAACGTGTCCAACACCCGATATGCGGTGGAAGGATTGTGATGATTTTCCACCCTGTTGTGTTGATTTTGTTGCTGTCGGCCTTGTTCGATGAAACTCATCAAGTATTCGTTTTCGCTATCTACAATGGCCGCCTCATATTGTAGCTGTTCGATATATCCTAGCCTGGTGCGAAGTTCGGTGTCCGTGTCTCGTATCAATAGCGTGTTCTCTCGGTACATTTGTTCGGTTTCGATCAGCTCAGTCTCGGCCCGTTTTAGTTCATTTAGCAGCTGTTCTCGGTCTCGGCACCGTTCAACGTTCACGTACAACCGAATCAGCCGTTCCTCGTGTTCGTACAATTTTTTATTAATTTTTACGATCTTCTCCAAGTAAGTAATGGCTTCCAGAGTGGACGATGAGGACGATGACGAAGAAGTACTGGTCCTGGAACCACCTTCCACCACGTCACGGTCACCGTCACCACCACGACCGTCTTCGTCGTTGTCCACGCTGGCCGCGCCTTCAGTTATACCGCTGTCCTTTTCCTCCTTATCGTCACCGGTGCTACCACCCAGGTATGCGTCCAACAGGTAATTCGATCCCAAAATGTCAGCCCGATTTCGGTGAGTTTCTGTTTCGATTTTTTCGATCTTTTTGTCCCGGTCCTGGAGTTTCTTTAGCTGTGCTCTGATGGTATCACTCTGTTCTAGAATAAGTTTGAGCAGCTCCTCCGCCGCCTGCGCGTTACTTAGCCGCTTCGGATGTACCGTTCGTGACGCGTACTTGACTACGTCTCGACGGCGCTTCCTGTGCGCCCGGTATCCACTCATTTCGGACGCGCCATCGTCATCGTAGTCATCGACGACAGCGTTGTCACTCACTTTTTGCAAGCAAAGCTTTTGGTCCGGTTGCAAGCTTTGCCAGATCTTGAGCACACGAACGCTTGGATCGGCCACCATTGTTGCCGCGCCACCGTCAACAGCTACAGCGTAGTTGCCACAGTGCCGGCCTGTCAACGCAACCACCACGTCGGCACATGTGGTACGTCGGTCCGCGTCATTGATCCAGAGTTTTTTGTCGTACAGCCATACGGGAATTCTCTCGGTCGTCATCTCCTGTAAAAACAACAATCAGTCTAAATTGTATTTAACATTTATTATTTTTTCAATTAATTCGTACTATATTTATTCGTATGTTTGGATGAATGGGACAAAAGTGTTCTGTGTGTATAAATTAATTTACATTGTTTAATTACGGGTTTAAAACGGCCATTTTTGAATTTTGCTCATAAAATTATTTTTAGAAACCCTTTTAAATGGTAAACTGACCTTATCTCCTTCTTTCCCTCCTTTACATTCATCCCAACTATTTGGGGTCAATCATACATTTTCATTTGAACCAATTTCCCACATCATCTTCATATACGTGTATATATATATACTCATATATGGTTTTTCAAAGTCACAGTATTTTTGTGTAAAAGATCCTAGGTACTTGAAACCCTCAGCATTACCTATTACATTATCGCTTAGTGTCATTACTCTTATTAACCTCATCAATTCCTTTTCATCTTCCAAATTAATACTCTATGTACTTTGTTTTAGTTTGTCTTATTATTAGCCACTTTTCTTCAAGTACTTCTCTCAATTTTTTAAGTCTACTGTTAACTTGTTCCAGATTTCCTTCTATCCAAACTATATCTTCTGGAAACATCATGCACTAATTCATCTATTACCACAGAAAGCAGGTAAAGACTTAAAGTCAAACCCTGATGCACACCTACTCTTACCCCAAAATTGGCCATTATTCCATATTTTTGACGTTCGTATTTGAACCTTTATACGTGTCCTCTATCAGATTTTGGAACTTCTTTTATCATAAACGTCCACATCAGAATCTCTCTCTGTTATATACCTTTAAATGTATAAAAACTATAAATAAGTTTTTCCTCTTCTTTCTAAACTTTTCTACAATCTGTTTCAAACAAATCGCCGGATCCATCATCGATTTCCATGTGATAAAACTATATGGGTTCTAAAATAGGTTTACGTCTTACTTCTAATTCTATTTTGTATAATATTTTCCTAAATCTTCATATTATACTACGGCTCATCAATTTTATTCTTCTAAAATGTCCATGCTCCTACATAACATCTCCTTAGTCTCTAAATATAGGTACCTACTACAAACATTTTTCCACTCGTCTGGTATTTTTCCTTCTGTTAGCACTTTATTAAAAAATCTTTTAAACAGCCTATGCTTAAACTCCTTAACATTATTCAACCTTTCACTGGAATTCAATCTGGACACACTATTTCTTTCTTTTTAATTACTCTTAGTACATTTTTTTTAGGCATATAATGACGTTTAATTGGATATATTTTAAAATTGTATAGATAATATATTAGTAATTTTTGGACAATGAAAATCCACTCTCTATTTATTAGTATTTTCATTGTTTTTCAGAAAATATTTTTTCGTTAACTAACTTGCGGATTTTTTTACTTTTGATTACAATACTTTTGTAATGTTCAGAAATTAAATTGTTGGACAAATCGTTGTGATGATATTTATATTGATGCGTCGGTATGAATAATATAATACCGTTATATTGATTAAATCGTTACTTGACGGTGTTTAGGTTTTTATAACGAAAATTCGTATACATTAGTCGAGTTTTCCATAAAAAAAAAAAAAGGCCAAGGAAAAAATACGTGCCGTATTAACTCAGGTTAATGTATAGTTCCATTTAAAATGTCAAAATAAAATAAAATATTAGACAGTAGGCGCAGAGAAGAATATTAAGAGCATGTGTAGTTAATAAAATTATCCACCAAAAAAAAATTTTTTTTTAAAACTTTTTTATCTTCTCTATGATTTGTATACTCTGTTAACCTAAGCCTTTTGAGTATTAAATTTGAATCAAACCGAAAAGAACCGATTCTGTAACCCAGAAATTCTAAACATAATGGGAACCGGAATCTAACAGGAACTGTATTTAAATATTTTTAAAAAACCGGAACCAATATTTTTTTGAAAGATAAATACTGGGTTTTACAATGATCATACTAAATTTGTTTTATATTTAAATTTTCAAAATACTGTGTTGATTTTACCTACTTGTTTTTAATTTTTAAAAGATTTAATTTATTATATTTTTTCAAAATTCTCAATATTTGAGTGTATACCGCGGTATAATGCGTCTAACTGTAATCATTTCAAATAAGCGGTTCACCTGCATTATCGTATATAACCAATTATAAAACCTCCGCGGTTTGAAAATGATATATTGCTGAACCACGAAGTAGTGGTGGATGCTGGTGGTTTCAGTGTTACACACGAATTTTGTGTCGGAATCGCCGATATTTTAATAATAGGTTTTGTTATACCGAAAAATGTGTATGTCGTCGCCATGCCGACGTCGTTGTTACTTATCATATTTCTCAAATGCTAATAATATGCCGAACCTGTTTTTTTTCCTCGCAGTTTTCGACTATGTACAAGTTCCAATAGTCCATTATTTTCGGTATACCTATATTATGTATTTTTTTCGTATTTTGTTATAGACGTAATGTTCAGATATTGACGACAGAGTAGTCAATGGCTGCAGATAATGGATGCGTTAGGTTAGGTTAAGTTATATGGAAATACTATTTAAAATTCATTTTGTTTTCGACGTATTTTAGCAAAACAATATTATAGTGAAATACTGATAAAAAAAAAATGTAAAACATAATTATTTTGAGCTTTTTTTATTTGTGCGACAAAAACAATAGGTATCTGACAATTATGATGATTTACCTATAATAAAACTAATTTTTTTACGAAACAAAACAAAAATGTATCCACATTAAAAATAATTAAAACTTAATGGGTTAGCAACATTAAATATTCAACGTGAAATTGAAGTCACAGTCAAAGAAATAATACAATAATAAGTCAATTAATAAGAAATGTGCATTGATTTAAGTTTTATAATTAAAATGTACTGTTATATATATAGAAATAAAATATGTATACTTAAAAATTAAATATAAATAAATACGTCGCCTGGAGTATTATGATAATTGTATTATACGACCGGTTTTGAATTAAAAATGCACCATCAGATATATCACAGTCAAAATGTAAAACGCGACTCTACTCTAGGCGATTTATTTATTTTTTATTTTTATGTATGTATTTTTTATTTATATATTTATTTACGAGTATTAACTATTTTAATAATTTTGTTTTTACTTTATTGTTTTATTATTAACTATTATAAATTATGAATTCATCAATTTGTATACAAAAATGTATGAATATAATTAATTATTGAATTAGTTTTAATGTTAATGTTTATTTTTATGTTGTTTTGTATATAACTAACGCCCCTTCTCCCTATAAATAATTCTAATTAACTATGCCACTGAATCTGACTACCTCACGCGTACTCTTACGGTAAGTATACAATAATAATATATACGATTGTAACGGGCGATACCTATAATATATAGTATCTATAGTATGTAAAACATTATATATATAATTTCCTAGGTATGTAAAAGACTTCGTGGTGATATTAGACAGAAGTAAAAGTTTAGTTTATCGGTTTGCAAAAAAATACCGCTATCGACGATGTGTAGGATACACCTCTAAAAGATACCTATTACCTATATACATTGTGCAGTATACACTATACACGCGGTCGCGTGCACAAACCGAAATTTCGTATGCTATTCAGATAAATGAACACTTTAAAATTCGAGTTAATAATTGGTTTTGCGTGTTACTAACCGCAGACTAGAGCGATTTTTTTTTCTTCTGTACGATCAACTGTCAGATATATAAGTTCGTTTATTTAAGGGTAATGTTATGTATAATATAAATTAATCTACCTGTATTATATTTATGTAGGTATTTTAGTGATCTGTTGATTTCTGAGTTCCTTTCGGTCATATAAAGTGGAAGAAAAAGCATTATATCTATTTGAATTAGTTAACCGATTTAAAAGATCTCGTTTTTGTTTTCAACGATTACCAAATTTTCCTAATTTTTCAACTACAACAATGGCCTATAACCGATATATGATTTTCCATTCGGATTTTTTAAATTTTATCTGAGACTATACTACGCCCGAAGCAGACTCAATGATCATTTGAAATACCTTTTCGATTTTACGTCAGCAAAATAATTTTGTTTTTCGTTATAAAATGCTATCAAAGTGGCATTTGTAATTTATGTCTTTCTAACGAACAATGCAAGCAATAATTTATTCACGTAAATCAAACAAAGCAATTCTTAACATCGGTTTTAGATATAAAACACTTATTTGTGGATGGCAAAACTTCTAAGATAACTTCGTCAGTGTTTTACAGTTTTAATATTAAATTTGTTATGTGAATCTGGTACTAACATAACACAGCTTTGCAAAACCATCATAATAAACTCTATTTGGATTTGTTAGATAAAGTATTAAGTTTATTAAACTTGAAAGTTAGGAGTGACCAAAACACGTTCAGCACCTACATATTATGAGACAAAACTAAACAAAAAAAGCATCAAACAATATTTCTAAGAGACCATTCTCGATACTTTTAGACAATCATTGTTGGAATTTGTTAGATAAGACTTTCAAAAATATTCCACTTTAAACACGCAGATACATACCCAGCACTACAATAAACGGAAATTAAACGCAAACATCGACAAAAATTACTTTTATTCCTCTCAAGTATAAATATATGTTCAATAAACTTATCTGGATATATTGCAATTAAATCCAATTGTCAAAAATACAAAAAAATGTATACCTAGTGATTTTTTAGGCAGCACTACACATTGAAATCGTAGTTATAGTTGTAGAAACATCTAATAATTAAATTAAATGTGACGGCCTCTTTATAATATTAATAATGATAATAATACATTCGTATTCGGTACGCCGATTTCTTCTCCCACATCATATCTATACGCACAGTATTAATTTTTTTATCGTGGAAATATTGATCACGTATATTTTATATAGGTATAGTATTATTACTTTTTAAGGCCGAGAATTTGGCGGTGTTGCCGTACGCGTATTTTAATAATATAATACCTAACACCGAAATAAACGTGAAAACATAAACAGAAACGTGACTTAATCCTGTCCGTGGTCCTCGAATTATTCCGCATTTCAAATGGGCGCTTCTTCACAAAATACAGATATGTATTATGATTTGGTAATGTAATATTAGGTTCGCGGTCGGTAACTACGGGTGTAAGTCTTCGTTGATTTCACGATTTTTACGAATTACGGTTTTTAATACTTATAGGTAAATGTATAAGTACTGGCGAGCTGCTACAGTTGTACCTGTATAGCTATTTTTTTACTGTAGATATAGTTCCATATTCGCCGAACCTATATTGGTATAGAACAGGGGTGGCGAACCTTTTTCAAGTCAAGTTTTGAAATTTGAAATCAAATTTTCTAAAATATGCTCATGTGTCAAAAAAAGTTATTACTTATAAATTATAATACTATATTATTTTAAATGTGATGTCTGTTGTTATTTTTTTGAAGATAAAGTTCTGGAGTATAGTTTGTAATTTTCAGTAAAAGTTAAACTGCACATGGTTTCATTTTCAGTTTTAGGTAGTATGGTTGATAATCTGATAAATTATTCACGAAATTCATCATTCATACAGAATCTAGAAAGTATTAAAAGACGTGCAGACGATGTTATATCTGTACGTTCATGAAATATGATTCTTTTTTTACGATATATATTTTTATGGCGAGCGCGTGCCATTAAAATTTGGCCAACGTGTCACTTTTGGCACGCGTGCCATAGGTTCGCTAACCATAGTATGGAGCATCGGTTCCCAACCTTTTTATATTCGCGTACCATTTACACATTTTGACATTTTTCAAATACCATTTGACCTAATAAATTTTTAGATTTAGAGTATAGTAAGGGATCTTTTTTTTACATGTAGATATGGAGCCTCTTATAAATAAAACTATATAATTATAAGCATTTAGAGCACAAAAGTAAAATTAAATATGTATAGTTATTATTTTTGTTTATGTATTAACTAACTATATTATAACTAACAACTATTTTTTTAATTTAGGTAGCGAACAGTTTCTTTACTTAACACCTACGGGAACTGCTACTGGGAACCACTGCTATAGAGCATATGGTAGTTTTTCGTTTTTCGCCCGAGTCGTCGCGATAGTAGTGAAAGCGAAACGTTTTTTGTTTTATACAAATACTATAGCTGTCCCCACGGTTTTGCTCGTGCATTATATTTAAAGAAAAAAAAAAATAAACAGATAAAAACGTGTCTTCCCGTATTACCCCGTCACTCACCGTTTCCCACTGTCATCTTTATTACATTAAATAGTTAATTCATTTTTTTTTTTTAAATAATTCCTTGCCCGTTACAACCAAATCATCAGCTTATAATAACGGTTTTCGTTTTTAGATTTTGAGTGAAGCGAGGAATGTATTGGTTTTACAATGATGTTTATTTATGAACACTTTTTATATCAGAAAGCATACTCCGATTATCAAGTATAGAATCTTTTATGAAAGGAAATGTTCTCTGAGTGGTACTTTAAAAAGGTCATTTTTTGAAATTCTCATTAATATTCGAGATAATGAGAAAAACTTCGGTATTCAAGTTAAAAAAGATTAAAAGATTAAAAATAAGGTTGTTATTGGTAACCGTTTTTATTTATTTTTTGTTATTATAAAGTTTTTATTATTTTAACATTATTTAAACAATCATTGCTGTTATGGAAACGTACATCGTTGTAATCATTTTATCATAATATGATATATACCATATATTGTATTGTTGACAAAGCAACACTATCAACTGAACTCCTCTCAGAATCGTTTTTTCATTAGCAACGGTTTATCGTTGCTTACAGATATACATTAAATTCCCGTCTGTATTCTATTTTCTCAATCTCCCACCTATAACAGGGGTTGCACTCAAGTACAAAGTACGTCCGTCCATTTTTTTTCGACGGATTTTGTCGATTGAAAAAAATAATAAAAATCAATAAGAATTTTCAAAATATCTAGGGAGGTGCGAGAAAATAGCGAGAATCATCCATAATGGATAGAAATAATAGAAGGCTACTCTTCCTCTTTGGTGCAGTCTCTTCGATTCCCCACTGTCAAAAATCATGTATAGATATACGTCGCTGCAATTGCGCTACACACTGATATTATACTGATATACATCGGCTGCCTATTATATTACGCGTACATTAAAATTATTAGTTAGCATTGTTTCAGTGAATATACTCGTGCATTCTACTATGGTTTAAATAGGTAGGTACATAATGGCACGTATACGAATAAAAATAATCTGACGGATATAATACTGCTACGGACGACGACCTATTGATAATTAGCGGCGACTAGGCGTAATGGCATATTGTCGATGTCGTATATTAAAATATATACTTAGATAAAGTACTTGCATGTAATAATATTATTTGTTTACGGAAAAGGGATTTTGTTGAAGTTTTAGGTGCAATTTGATATTTATCGTGTAAGAGAGACTATATATCAATGGTTACGTGAAGAATGGTAGTAACGAATAAAATCATTAGGTTTGAAGCGTTTTTATTTAAATTTAGAATACTGTCTCACATATTCATGCATGATTCTTCCCATATGTTTGTCATGCAAAAAGGGACTTTGGCAGTCAGTTATAATATCGACGAAAGGACGCTGGACCGAAAAAGGTTAAGAACCACAACTATGGATAAACAAGAGGAATGAGGAAACAAGGAAACTTGGTGATCATTTTCTGCGGGTTGATATGGAATTTATTTGTTTTATTCGAGTTTTAATTACTTATTAAATATTTGTAATATTTATAATGATTTGTAATAAATATGATAGCTATGGTTACTCTTTTACGTATTTATTTTTTATTGTAAATTCACCGTAGGGTTTTTTAAAATCAATTTTGGCTGTTTAGATAATTAAATATGCATAAGGTGATCTATAGTTGTTAACTTAAAACAAAATTAGGGAATTCGACTCTGGTATCAAAGTTCTGTTGCTCATATTTTTTTTTATTCTTAGTATGCGGAATCTGTGACTACTATTTTGCTTAGCAGAAATCCTCTGAAACTTTCACACCGTACCTATTACCTTATAAGACGCGAATTTTTCGATCGGTTTCTAGATTCATAACAGAATTTCTTAAAAATTAAAAAACCGATAGAAAATAATGATAGAATACCGACAACATTTGTTTTGTATTTCTTCAATTCTCCGGTTATAATAAATTTAATTAGCTAGCTTATGTTGAATTATGTACAATTACTTTAATTTAAATACGTTTATAGAAGAGAATATCATATAGTATACGCTTATGAGTAAAAAAGGAAAGGCCTCCACCGAATTTTGCATACTTATTTAAAATAAAATCTATACAGTCAGCAATTTGAAAAAAATAATCTCATGTATTTTTTCAAGTATACATCTATGATCCTAGGGAAGAAGAAATTAAGACAATTTTTGGAAATGTAGTTATAATTTTTTTTATGTAAAACTTCCAGCCTTATTTCTTCTATTTTTCTGAGAGACCATATTTCTGAACTATAAAACACTACTGGGTGTATCAATTTCATGTATATCTGAATGTAGACATTTATATTGGTAAGACATTAGTACCGTAAATATGCAGATTGATAGGTATACACTAAGTCCGTTTTCGTTTCATCTACCTCGGCATAAGCCCAGTAATGGCAGCGGGTATATTGAGTTATGTATAGTTTTAGATTTTGGCTACAAATTACAACAGACCGGAAGTCGATTCATTAAAAAACAGGAGATTTTTTTTTTTAGAAAAAAGAAACCGTAATTCAAACTATTTTTTAAAAACGTTTTTAAACTAACTCGGGCACTCGAAATTTCAAAAAAAATAAAAATTACCCGTTCACTATAAATAAGTGTATTCGATTTCTTTTCGGTGTATATATATATTATATTGATATATAAATACTATACGTATACGGTAGCGGCACAAGAAAAACAATATTCTACGCACATTTATTTTTCCAAATTAGTATGGAAGAAAAAACCAGATAGCTCCCTGCTGTCGTTCCAGACTAAATCTAAAATTACTGCAGTTTTCCATTAAACGAAAACGATATACACGTCGCGCACATATTAATGATATTACCGTGTAATGACGAATAATATAAAAATACAAAAAAAAAAAAAACGAAATCATTTTGTTAACCATAACGCAATGACTTCCATTCAAAGTTTGTGTAGGTATAATTTCATATTATATTGTGTTTGTCTGTATGTATTATGTATATTTTATCATCTATATATTGTGTAACATACATAAGTATATGTTATTATTGTCACGTCGGCAATCTTTTATCGTTCGTACAAAAATACAAATAAAGAATAAAAAAAAAAACCAACGAAAATAATATAATGCGAGTTTGTTTTAATTTTTTTTTTCTAGAAAAACTAGAACCCTCCACCGGTTGAAAAATCCGTATAACATTATAAGGAATTTTGTTCACTTTGTTTACGTTCATGCTATACAAACTATAACTGTACACGAAAAATTGTTATACTAATATTATAGTCGAAACGTATAAATTCGTTGGTCTGGTGTGTAATAACTATACACAATAATATCGTCCAACGCAGTATATAATGTTGTTACATTATTATTGTCTTGGCACGGCGTGCGGCTTCGACGAGTAACAACAACGACCATAATAATGATATAATATTATAAAACGAAGGTCGTCGGAAAAACTGAAAATCGGCCGAAACCCGCGCCTACAGTAAAACATTAAATAATAATATGTGCGCCGCCGTCTCGTCGTCGTGTATGTAATGTAATTTACTAGTCTTATGGCCCGGTTACACGCGACCAGTCATAACAGTCGTTGAAATGTTTAAACGGCCAAATGTACTTAAATGCTGAAAATCTTTACGATTGAAACATTTTTTTACATTTGAATTTTAATGAACCGTACTAGCCTAAAGTTACATGTTATATTCAATGCCAACATCGAAACAATTGTGATTACGTATAAAAACTGCGCAGTCACTCGCAGACAGACTCGCATGTAAACGATAATATTAAATGATTCAATTGACCGTCCGATTTGTTGTACTTCCGAAATCTCCCTGCAGGGTGCCTATACCACTGTTGATATCACGTGTCACACGGAATAAGGATTAAAATGTTGAACAATTGATCGTAAAGTAAAAAAAAAAAAAAATTATATTTCCTCGAATTCGTCGTATCACTGTTGATGGTTGCTGGTTCGGTTCAAAAGAATTATATTGTACACCAGCGGTTTCGGCTTCCCCTCCCATCCCCTAAAACCGCTTACAAACAAAATACTGACGGAATATTATATTGCATATCTAATAATATTTAAATAGTTATTAATATTAGTAGCGCCGAATTTTATAACTTATCTGCCGTTATTAAATTGTAATATAAAATCGATGATGTAACCAAGTGAACCGTCAAGTAGTACTCATGTATCTACTTATTGTTGTTGAATTTTGTGCTGGTATATAAACTGTCGGGCGGTGGACTGCAGGATTGCAAGTTAAATCACTGCAGATTTACACCGTCGATGACGTCGAAACTATTTAGATATACAGTCAACTCTCCTGGGCACTTTTACCGTACTGACGAAAAAGTCGCATAAATTATGTACATGTTACGGTTAATATATATATATAAGAAATTAGACTGCTAACCGACGATAAGGCTAGAAATTTCAATCCCCCAATTAATTCGAGGCGCATGCGCCTTATCATAAACTTTTATATTACTGTAATGATAATATTGTTATACCTGTGGGTTAATACTAGTGAAAATCACGGGTTTGGTCATCGCCGTAACAATGGTGAAACACAGATAACAGAACGGCTATCGCAAAATAAAAGTATATTATATGATATTATAATAGTTCACGGGCTTCGAATTAAATGGCAGCCGTGTGGCTAGAAATCTAGTTTTATATCTGTGGTATACGTAATAAATAATAATACGGTAGCATGCGTAGAGGGGGGGGGGCGGTCAGGGATTATATTTCTCCACATCAAGTATTTTTTATTTAGACATTTTATCTCAAAATATTTTAAATATATTTTTTTGCGAAAAAAGATTTATTTATTAAATAAAATTGTGTTTATTTTTTTTTTTGATTTCGGTTAACGTAACATAATAATATTAAACAAATACTGACGTTTATTCTGAATTCTCGCATGTAATTTAATATAATTCGTATTATTTTTACTGCAGGAATAATATTATGATATTTTATTCGGTAAAGGTGTGTCGGCTAAAAATATTTTGTCAGTTTTGATAAGGCGAAATAATCGTGGTATATTTTTATCGAATTGAAAGTTCAAAACAATTTTCAAACATCGACAATGCCGCGCTTTTTTAATACAATAAGCATAATAGTTTGTTTCAAATTTCACTACAGAAATATTATACTCCCTGTGTAAGTATTAGGAGGCTATAATCACTAGTGAAGTTTTACCGGTTAAATATCACGTAGGTCAATTTTTACGATTGCGCCGGGTTGCATAAACACCGATCTATAAAATCTGCTCAATAACCTATGATATTATACCGAAAGTTGTTGATCGTTTATGTAACCCGGCATTAGTATTGTAAACGAAATGATTGATACGTTTGTCGGGTTTGACCGCTATAATACACTGTATAGACATTATCAACTACATTAATTACTTGCACTGCACATGCACCGAGTGAACTGGTAAAACGGCAACAAATTTCAATTTGATGTCAGTTTTTAACGGTTATTCTATACGGAGTGCACTCCGTAATTTTTTTATTCAAACAATTCATGAGCGCCTATTTTACCCGAAATTTGCATTTGTTGGTACTTACCCAAAATCTATACTATTAAAGACCATCCTACGATCTATAAAGACGACGGAAACTAAGTAGGTCTAAATAGATAACTTATACGAGGACGGGCGTGTCCGATTCCAGATTTTTTTAACAGAGAGAAATAACACGAGTAATACTATATAAGTAACTTAATCAGTTAACATAGTAGTTTATCACGAGTAATCGTATTTTGGTTGCAACGTTTTATTCATAATACAATAACGGATGTCGGAACGTAAAAGGTTGTTTCTCTACTCGTCCAAAGAGATTATATATATTTGAAGTTGGAAAAAGTGAGATACGAACTTTTTCGTTGAGACAGACGAATTATGTTTACTAATAACTATTAAGACTCTTTTGATATATTTTTCGCAATGTGCATTATTGTAACGTCGTCGTCTACGATGGTACGTTTTATTCGCGATTGATTAAAATAATAATAATAAAAAAAAAAAAAAAAAAAAAAAATCGAAAACGCAATATACCACCCGAAAGAAGACGTCGTCGCCGTTGTGAATTTGCAGATGATTGACGTAACAATATTATATATGATGCGCGGGAGTAATAATCGTGTATACATCAATAATGTCGTCGCCGGCTGATTCGTCTCGTGGAAACGACAACGGCGGGGGCAGCAGTGGCAATTTGTCATTACACGGACAAATGAGCCGTACATATAAAAATATTATAAAACTATTGTCGTCGTTTTCAATGTCATTTAGTGTCTTATAATATGTCGTAACAATATACGAGCGCAGTACAATTGTCGTCGTCGTATACATATATTATTATAGATAGGTATATTGTAGAAAGGTCCCCCGAGTATATTTATAATAGGCCGAACGACGAGTTTTTACTTTTTGTCGAGAAGACCGTTAGATATGTTTTTTGAAAGGAGCCAATTTCCACGGCTCGTTAAATCGGACAATCGAGACGACCGTCGACGACGACTAACCGCCACCCTATACATGTACAAAAAAATATTACAACTACACGACTAACGACGTAGGTATATATAATAACATATATATATATATTATACCTATAGGTATAATATGATAGTAGAGTCTCACATACGCCTCGCACAATAACCGCCTTTGGTCCTTGAGGACCGTTCGGATTTCGTGATTTATACACCGCGACGCGCGACGGGTATTGTAGTCGTCGTCCGACTACAACAAGGCTCAGTCCGTCTGTTTCTATAGGTATAGTTTTTCGTGGTCTTTCAGGGGAGGATCGGCCAGTTGCTTCGATTTGACGCCTGTAGCGCAAACTGTGCGGTCTTTGAGAAGCAGCTGTATCTCGAATTTTGTTTATAAGATTTAAAGTTAGATAGACGCTCAATATGAAAATGACTTAACATTAATACTAGTTTACTTCTAATTCAGTAAAAATATGCGAAAATATCGGGATATATTAGTGGTTGGATATTATATGGATAATTGTATTTAAGTTGTTTTTGGGTTAGTTGTATACGCATCTGATGTTCCGCGGTTATAATCAAAAATTAAGTTTAAAAATAATAAAGTCACATTAAACTATTTTATGAAAAAGTATTCAACTTTCTTATACGTCCAGGGAGCGAAAATGGAAATACGAGTAAAAAATATTAAAACTAACATATAATGAAAATATGTTCGTTAATAAAATTAAAAAAATTTAAATCACCAATACGAATGGACGTGAAAAAAATTAGTTGTTTTTGTAATGAAATATTGTTTGCAGGCCTTTTTAAATATTCTAACATTTGTGACTTATTATATTATTAAGTATTTACAAAGCCTGTGTAAGTGTTTTGGCTGAACCCTTGTTACCTTTCTTGACTGCAAAGTTTACTGTTTGCTATCACTAATTATCTGTACCGGATATTAATTGTTTATTCAGTATTCACTTTTGTTTATTGTTTTTAAAAAATCTCAATGAAAACAATATTCTCTCTCACTCTCTCTTTTTCTCTGGTTCTCGTTCGTACTTTTTGCATTCGCTCTTTAGACGGGATACTTACCGTATTCAACGGATATTTAATTATATTTTGTAATACTGCAGCAGTATAATATAGGCTGATGTCCACCTGAAATTCTGCAATATTTACGGAAACGATAAAAAATAAACGCGTTAAATCTCTATAATATTTTTGAACGTACTTTTCTGTACCAACGGGAACCGGATGGCGAATCGACCACCTCACCGACATATAATGTTATTACGACCAAAATAATAATAATAACAGTGTGTATCTGATACCGTATATTGACCGATTACAAAAACCGCGCGAGACGTACTTTTTCCGGCGGCGCCGAATAACGAGTACCTACCCAATTACGACGCGACCACTCTATAGGTCGCGGTGCCAAGGGCAATATGGGGTGTGTTGACCGAAAACCACACGGTCGAAATATTTTTGTTCTTTTTATACATGACCGTCGGAAGAGAAGAATATAAATCTCGCGAGCCGTCTCGCAGTTTACCGTACGAACGGAATATCAAAAAAAACGCGTTAACAATATAGTTAGTTTTTTTATTTTTTTTTTGGGGGAGGGAGTTTCAAGAACGGTAATAATAAGCAAAAATATTGTGATGCATTGTGCGGAGTTTAGGTAAGACGTAAAAAACCATGGATTTTCGAAAACAATACCGCGGTATTGGATATTATAATAATGAAAATTACCAATAGAAAAGGGTTTAACTTAACCGTGAACGGATTGTCAACCACGGCGCACGTGACTTATTATTACGTGCCACCTGTTGACGACCAACTGTTGCGCCTTAATCGAGCGGTAACAAGCTGATAATAACAGTTTTACGATTGTCACAATCGATTTTCGACGAATTTAATCCGATTCTTATTATTAAATATTTTTTTTTTTTTGTCAATATTATATTCTGTCGTCGGACTACCCGTGTTACGATTTCGGCATGTATTACGTGACTAATTATCGACAAAAAAATCCCATCAACCTGTCCTCGGCATCATTTTACACTATAGTAACATTAAAATGTGTATAATATTGTTACGTGTACGAAACGCGAGCGAAATTTAATTAAAAATTTTCTTCGCGTTCGTTGTACTATATTTTCGTCCGCAAGCCTAATATAGTTCTATATCATATTATATATTATTTGTGTGTGTTTACGCATACAGAACTTTTCGACTTACGTATAATAGGTAATAATTAGTATTATTTTATAAAAACAACCTTGACATCGATTTTATGTTAAATTTTTTTTTTCGAACGTATATTCCTATACATTATAAGCAAAACTATAATACTCCTTCGAGCCTGAGAGATTCTTTATTGTTGTTATTTTATTTTATTTTTTTTCCAACGTATAACGATCTCACCGAATTATATTGAACAACCAGTCATAAGAAAAAAAAAAACAAGTAATGATAATAATTCCCATCGCAAGAGTAAATGTCTCTATTTTTCGAAATAAAAAATTATTTTATTATTTAAAATCTTAATATTTTTAATTTTGTTTTCGATTTTTAGTAGGTAAACAATTAAGTTAGTATATATGTAATATTGACGTATATTGTAGTTCATATAGTATTTTAATATTTTCGATTCGATAAAATGATTACCTATATTGATTTACAAAGAAAAAAAAAATCCATAATTGAATAATTGAAATATGCACGTGAAAAACGTTTAAAATAGACGTCGCAACATGCACATTATCGTGTTTGGTTTTTTGAAGTATGTATTACTTCGATCGTATTTATAATGCCCAAATGTGAATAATAATATTACAATTTTTTTTTTCTACAACTAGGAACCTAATAAGTTATTAGTAATAACTGATCTACGAAAAATGATAAATGCAAACATATAATTATAACGAAGTTGTTGGTTTATAATTTTAATGGTTGGTCAGTTATTTGAGTTAACCGTTCATGTAGGTAGTATTTTTAGTGCTAGTTTAAATATATTTATTTATTTAGTACCTACACAAAAACTCGAATAAATAAAAATGATTAAAGTTGAGCGAAAGTAAATTGAAACCACACACCTTTATATCTATATTAAATTTTGAGCGTAGAATGAATATTCTCAATACTTTTTCGGATGAAATTATTTTTAGCTTAAATACAGTCAGTTAAAATACTATAAGCTAGCCTATAACAATAAAACAGCTGTTTTATTTTTGTCTTTTTTTATAACACCTCTATCGTACTCGTTGACCTGCACCCGTGACTGGCATTCGGACGTTTTCACGGGCTATACGGAAACAATATAATTTTAAAAAGAATGGTCGCGAAAGTTTCGCCACCGCCATATCGTATTGCGTTTTCTCCGTTCAAATTTAGTCGTAGCGATAAGATCGTATAAAAAATAAAAAAATACTTATGATCATTCGAAATCACGATCGCGTGCGAACGTTGTATTTTGTGAACATTTTGACTACGGCGACAGATACCTATGCTTGCGATGCATTTAATACGAGTAATACTATCGTTCATCGTTAGTGTACTAAACAGAAATAAGAAGTAGGGGAGTAAGAAATATAGTTCATAAAAGTTAAATACGCTGTATGCAACGATAAAGTATTTCAAATGAAAAACAATTGTGAACAGAGTATTATTAGTCGTATTTTAGGTAATCACAAAATTAAACACAATTTTACAGTTTTTCTCATTTATTAAGAAAACTACAAGGAAAAAAAAAAAATCAAAAAGTAAACTCTTCAGTGAATAAAATTAAAAATGATACATAAAAGTTCCTATAAAGATTTGATTGGAGAAAGATTTCTGGCAGAAAAATGGTTTACAGAAAAACAAAAACACTTTATTATAAAACCAATAGATTCATCGCTTCGTTTGGTTAGGTTAATAATTTGTCTGGCTTTTAACGAATTTCAAAATACATTCACACTTTAAACGCAACATCATTAAAATTGATAACTATCTTTCCCCCTACAAAAAAAACTGAAAAACCAGAGAATAATTCGATAAACGACGAGAGATGGGATTCGATATCTCGCGAATATTCCATTTGTATACAGAGAAAATTAAATTGCATGTAAAATTTATCGAAAGAAAACTATTAGTACAAAATGTATACCTCAATTATGCGAAAGCCGTCACTAACTAAATTAAACCTGTTGTTATTTTCTTATACTCATGACAATACACTAGTATCTCTATACGCGGTAAGGTTATTACCGCAAATTTAGTGGTTGGAAACATACGATAATGTACAAAAACAAAAAACAAAAATAAATTGGCGATAGTGTAACATTAAACGTGCCCTTGTGTGGGTAGCTGTGAATATTTGCGTTTATGGGAAATTTTAAAATACTTTCAAATATTGTGTTTTTTTTTTTATGTTGTTTTTTCTGAAATCTAACTATTATTGTTTTTATAATATAAAACTTTCTTTGTTACATACGACACCGAAAGCGAAATTCGTGCCAAGGCGTTTCCAATATGTACGTGTACAAGATGATTCACAATTAATTACACTTATTTGTCTATGCATATAATTGGTGTGTATTATATGAGTCAACGATTGTTTCTGTAAATTTGATCTAATATCGTCCAGCTGACTGCTGTGTTGTTGTACATGTAGTAGTTTTACAATGACGCGTTTTACTCAGGTAATATTTTTACAAACTCAAAATTATATAATATACACAATATGTTGAAATTTCAATACGGCAACTCGAGAAAATTATTCATATCAAAAACTTTACTTGGGACACGTCACACGTGCTTATATTTTTTTGAAACGTGCGTCTTGAACTGCACACAGACTGTAGAAGGGGCGTCATTTTTTAACACATTTTTTATCTATCGCTTAATCAATCAAATTCGTGCACCTGCCTCTCAACTCTGGTTGATAATATTATTATTTTTTTTTCTTTTGTTATCGAATTTTGTTGACGAATCCGACGTCACCAAAGCATTGAATCATGGTGATGACATATATTGACGAACATTGGATATTGTGTTGGTTAAAAAGTTTTTCTGTGCTAAATAATTTTCAAAAATCGAACCCTTATTCTCTCGTGTCCTTTAAATGCATAAAATAACAACTAGCGTGTAATAATTTGGTCAAATACCTAATAATTATACTACGGTTTGAAATTATGGTATACTCGTCCGACCGCAAGAAATAAGCCTAAATACGTATTTTCAACCGATTATTAAGATTTCGCGGGGAACAGTTTATACACGTATAGTGAAATGAACCGAGTATTAAAGTATACAATTTTATGTACACGTTTTTTTGCTTCTTATTCTTATAATGTATATAATATTTTTTAACAGTTTGAAATGGAACTCGAAATCTTATTTTTTAATTTTTTTTCCCTGTAAGGTCGAACTACCGAACTCGTTCAAAATACGTATATATTATTATACGTCATGTATCTTGTTAAAAGGATCACGGATCTATTTATACAATAATTTTACGATTTACAGTCAGTGCTGTAAAAAATAAAAAAATTAAAATTAAGTTACTATTCTACTTATACGAAATGTACTGTTAAACACGCGTAGGTAATATAATCGTTTTGTTGAACAATAAAAATATTATGCGTTGTCTGTATTTTCATTAGGTATATAGTATAAGTATATCCGGGTGTATGACGTACCTGTAGGTGCGTGTACGTATACAAAAAGGATTGTCACAAAAAATGAGTCACAAAAAAATAATATTATAATATTCGATGTGGTTTATTAGGTATATTGTATTCGTAAAACAGAGTAGAAATTATTATATTATTATTCTAGAGACACCCTGACGCCGGTTCATAATATTTCAATTAATATTAATTATAAATATCGATTTTGAATTTCGTTTAGCCAACTGCTATAACGCGGCATAAGCATATATATCGCATTATTAGTTAATTGTATAGAAAAATCGAGTTGGTCCAGCAATAAGTCATACAAATTTTAAAACCGTGTATGCCGAAATCGGAAAACAAATACATAGGAACCAACATTTTTTTTTTAAACTAATTCAATGCTATTTTTCCTTTGGTATTTTACGCAAACTTAATTACAAAATAAAGATCGAAATTAGTTTTTTTTTTTGTATGATGACTTCATCATATTGTATTCATATCGCTATTTTCACATTGTTTATTTTTAACTGGAGCTATAGAAAACACGCACCATTACTAAAATACTTTTAACTTCTTTTAGTCTTATTTTTAGTCATTATTGGTGAAAATATTATTTTTTTAAGAACTACACAATATTTCGTTTAGAGATTTTTATTTTAATATTTTAGAACTGCACATTTTGTGTAGAGCTACAACCAGCCTGCTGCAAGTGTCAAACTATTGTTTCTATTGCTATTATTAGCAAAACATTAACAATTTAACATATTACACATATCACAATGAAAATCATTTAAAACCGTTACATTTACGAAGGTATATATCATGTACCTAGATAATATTTGTTCGACAATTATTATTCAATATCGCAATGTGTTGGCGTCGTTGCAATATTGTAAATGTTGAATCACTATACACACACGAGTTAACCATATTATACTGAACATTATTATTCAACATCTTCAACTTTATTTTAGATTCTGATAGTGTAGCGAAGAAACTTTTATTCTTACCAAAATATGTTTTTCTTTCTTTCGGAAAACACTTGTTCGGTTAGTGAAAATGCTCAAATTTCTTCACGCAGTAGCTTTCCGGCCTCATACAGTTCCGCCGTGTAAAAACGCAAATAATGCGTATATAATTCCAGTCTGGCGGTCTATAGACAGGTAGTCTAGTTTAAGTATAATATTATTATAATCATTACCGGTATACGAAAATTACGATTCTACGTAACATCCTCTTTCCTGTCACATTTTCGCCGTCGTCGTCGGCGTTATCATTGTCATCCCTACTTTTATTATTTTACGGTTCTAATCACGTATCTATATAATACGCGTATATATTATTATGATTATTATTATATTTCACAATACCCACGGACACGGTATGTGGTTTCGAATTCGACGAGTGACGACAAAACGTAAGGTGATTTTTGACACTTCGCCAACTATACTCCCATAACAACAATGATAATGGAAAGTAAATACATTACAAAAATCGTTGGCCGTAAGGTGTCAACGAGACTTTGGATATATAAATTAGCAGTTTGAAATGTTAGCAGTAACAAATAAGTATAATATACCCTACCTTATACATAAATGACCGGACCGGCTGATGACATATTATTTTGATAGTTGGTATGAATCTACCCAATGTAACTGTAATGATTTGTAATTCTGTTAAAAAAATACGAAAAATCGTATAAAAGTCGTATTTAACGACGATGATTTATCTCAGACGTCGATTTCGCGAATCCGTTCAACGAGACTGTCTTATTTTTACCATTATTTTTTTTTCCCAGATAGCTCGTGTGAACAATACAGGAGGGAGTTGTACAATGCATTTTACGCGTATCTAGTTGTGAAACTTAAAGTTTCTCGTAAACTATTTGTAAACGTAACACTAAGGTGAGTTTATAGTTGTAGTTCTTACGAGTTTTTGTGAAGCAATACACACATTTTAAATTTTTGATACTTACTAATATCCGATTTTAAACACATTTGTATTATACAGATCAGAAAAATTATTTTAAAAAAGAAAAAAAGAAAATACATTTTTATTTTAACGGTTTCATGGCTAAAATGTTCATTTTTTAATACCCATTATTATTAAAAGTACAAGATATTGAAATTGAAATTAAAAAAAAAAAAATGGAGTTCTTTAAATTACCTGCAGCTAGATTCAAAATGCCACAAAAAGCCCATATGAAGTTCTCACTCTATGTTCAGTTTACTTATAATTTTATGCCTATCGTTACAGTTTTCATTTTATAACATAATAAATTAACAAATATGTATTTAATTTATGTTATAGCTATTCATTACTGCTGTTACACGGTATGACTAATTTTTATTCGAAACAATGGCATAATACGTATAGGTACATAACAATATTCTGTTTACGATTATCTATGTACCGTGTTAACTCTATAACACTGTTGAAACAAAATAGTAACTCGCTTTTATCAGTAGATTGTTTTAATATTGACCGTCAGAAAACGATTATACATTTATGTAAAAGTAGATCATGTTATACGCATATTTATATACGCAATGTGTCTATCGCACATATTAATAGGTTGATAGTCGTGATTTTTTTCAATAGGATGAAAACTATCCGGAACGCATCCGATACCTATTATAATATATATACATTAAATCGATTTCAAAACGAATGTTTGATTTTTTGCGAACAAGTATATCGAGAGCAATTTCGTTTAATAGGTACGAGATACTATGGAAATATTTTTACCGTGTTATATTCTCTGACGCGCGATAACCGTTGAACATTACCACTTGTTGTACACGAGCTAATTGACGTGACTGATACTGCAGTGTGTTTACCAAAAAAACATCAGTATACTTTCACGATCGTCGATCGTCCGACAATACTGTGCGAATAAATCGCCTTTATAGTGCGCTGCAAACTACCTAAATATAACGTCGGTTTCCTACTCGTACTTGACGCGTAAAAAATAAACTATTTGTATCTATTGTTTATGGAACGAGTAAAGGTAAAACTCGAAACTCGAAGAACAATATTATTTGAAGTAGGTACTTAAGTAAGTACTTAACTATATAGGATATTGGAGTACTTTTAACGGTTCGTAAAATAATGTGTCTGCAGATGTTTATATTTAACAACGCTTAAACGGTGCCAGTTTCTCACATTTTCTTCAATTTCGTAAAATTTGAAAACTTTTTTTAACATTTTGATGACGTTCTTAATGATTAGACTTTTCCAATAATCAAAATTCTAATACCTATTTAGGGAGAAAGGGTTCGGCTGTTTTTATCAATAAAAATTACTTCACAGGACTAGGAATAACTCATTGTTAGCATAATATTATTTTCTTACCATTTTTTTTTTTTTAAATTGATGAGCAACATTATCCTATAGATCATATTAAACTCCGATTTTTTATTTGGTTTCAAATAAAAAGTTTGTACTAATTAACCTTTTAGATTCTGAGTGAAACGAGGAATGTTTTAGTTTTACAATGATGTTTATTTATTTATTTTTTTTGTCTATCTATGAACAACTGTGAAATTTTGCTCAGATTTTCAAGTGTAGCACTTTTTTTAAAAGAAAATCTAACTGGGGACTTTAGTAGGTCTTTTTTTATTTTTCCCAGGGTTTTTTATAATAAATGGGAAAAACGGGAAAATGTACAAAATGTATTATTTTTAAATCATAAATATTACGGCCTTTCAAAGCATGTATAACCGAACTCCACTCAGAATCGTTTTTCGTTAGCCAAGATTAATTGTTGCACACAGATATACATTAAATTCTCCTCTATATCTTATCTTTCCAATTTCTCACCTACAACAGTAACCTACTCATCGTGCGAAGTAGGTCCGTATCTTTTTATAGATTTATTTTAAATCAAATATTCAAAAACGAAGTTCATTGTGGTTTGTTGGCGTCTTAATCAATATTTTGATTATTGGTTGGCTGTACTCCTCTAATATTTGGAGAATTTCTACATCGCTCTTTCTTTCAATCAATAGTACGATGTTAATTCCATTGCTTAGAGTTTTTTTTTTTTTTTAAATCTTTTACTATTATAATTACAACGTTGTAATTTTAAATAACAAACAACACAACAAAATATTCTATACGTAGCTCAAAACGAAAAGTTTTGATAATGGAAAGAAGAGTCAATTGACTCAATGGAAGGCGTGATTGAAATGGGTGAATGTAACAGATATTTACGTATGCAGAATCTGACATTAAAAATAGAGAAATAGAAGTCTATATAGTTACTAAAACAATGTCTGGCCTTAAGTAAAAGAATAAACTGTATTATATTTATTTGGGATCTGAAACACATAAAAAAAAAACTTCACGCTGTCGAATCGAGAAAATTGCGCATATAGGTATTATTCGCTAACGGAAATAAATTATTACTATGTCGGACTGACTTGAAAATTTGTTGCAGGCGTATTATACTTTACTCGATAGAATATAAAGACGATATATATCTACTTGTATAGGTACCAAATGATAATGTACAAAATGTTCCACTAGACTTGATTACGTTTTAACCGTAAAACAACTATTTAATGTTTATATACTGTATATGTAAGTATCTATCTATCTAATTATTTATAATCACATTTTCACTATAGTTCATTACGTGTTATCTACACTGAAGTTTGTACGCGAGTAAGTCAACATTCTACAATACAATACAATTTAGTTGTTGATATATTGTGAGTTTATACATTTCGGTTTAGAAATATGTTTGCGCTAATACATTATGGTACTAAAAATGATCTTTAGAATGTCTTCAAATAGTAAAACAATTATAATCCTTATACGATTATTATGAAGATTGTCTTAAGTAGTTGAAAAAAAAGTATTCATCTGTTGAAAAATCTGCATCTTTCGACGTACTGTATATGATAGCTTACAGGAGGATTTTTACTAAACGAAGTATTTTTCGATTAGGAAAAAAACTACAATCTATATAGAATTAATATAGGTATTTTCTTCGCTCCACTCAGTTTCGATAATAGTTTTCGATGACTATTAATTTTTTTTAAATTGTTCTACATTTTTAATTAATTCACCGTTTAAGAAAAAAAAAAAAGGTGATTATAATAATTGTAGATAAACCAGTAAAAAATAATGACAATTTTTTAATTAACCCGTATGCACGCGCATATAACTGTATTTTATATTATTTTAACCCGTACCTTAGTTTTAAAAACAATACATTACTCGTATTGTATACTTATATAAAATAGTAGTTTTTATTTCGTATTATATTTGCTGATTTCCGCTGGGATATTTTATTTATTATTGTTATTTTTTTTTTACTAGCCATAAGACGTGATGACACGCGTTGCGATGTGTAAATCCCAGCTGGCGATCACTCATCCGGAATTCAGAAGAAGTGTTTGGCACGAAACGTTGGCGCAAAGCGATCGTCTAAAATACGCTTTTTCTAATACCTACCTACACTATTCGTTTCAATAAATTATAATTCAAAATACGTTTCGAAAACAAATGTTTAATTATATTTTTGTTAATACTTTACGAACGGGAAAGTTTTCATCTTTATTTAAACTTTCTAAAGTTTTTTTATTTTTAAATAATCGTAAAATCCTAATCGCAGATCACAATAAATCCGCTACTATTATGTATCAGAGTATTTTTTTATTTAAAAAAGCTACCTACAATACCTTACAATACATATATCCCCAACAAACACGTTTTAAATTAATTAAAAATTGTTATTATATTTTGACCACTCCTGAGATAGGTTAAAACATTGATTTTTCTCTCCATAATATATCGCTCATATAATATAGTTATTTTAAGATCTACGAATAATTTATTTATTCCGACGTATTCCATCGCTTGCAATTTTATGCACGGTTTACTTTGTCTTTTGTTTTCAACCAGAAATATTGCTTCACTAGAAAAACAGGAGACCATATTTGTTGCATTTTTAATCCATTTGATGACCAAAGAAGTCGTTTTTTATTTTTGTCTTTTATTGTGTAGTTGGTTTAAATAATGCAGTGTGTCATTTTACTATTATTATTTGTATGGCATAATTAACCACTTTAAATATGAAATGATGTTTCGGTAAGCCATCGATAGGTACTGTATTAATGTTACAATATAGTACATTCATTATTTTTGAAAAATAAAAAAAAACACCTGTCATTCAATAGTACAAGGTCATAAACCCGATGTATGTATAGTTCGGTAGCACTGTACCTTTTTCAAAGTTTTTCATATTGTTCACGGAGATTCGTTATAAATAAAACATGAAATATTCGAGGTATGACTAATTATTGAAATACAATTATTATTTTTCGGGGCTTCTCTGTACATGAGAAATCGTTAATATTATATTATAATAATATAATAGTCTAATATCGTTACTATACATACAATACTACCGTGAAAAAAATATATTAAGTATATAAAGCATTCAAAAAAATCATCTATAATCAATCGATTTTCGATTTGAAATATAGTTATTGTAGCAGCTATATATAAAGCGCTAAGGCACTAGAATAATAAGTAATTTGATTTATTTAATTTTTTTTTCAGTTTTTAAGACTGTTTTTATTGCAACATAATAGTAGGTGTTATTGTATTTTTGAATTAGTTTTAATTTATTTTCGTTCTAAATTTTTTATTTTGTTTGGATTAAATCAATAGAAATAAAATACATTTAATACCTATTCTTCTCAGACTAAAACATATCGATTCAATAAATGAGAGATTTCAGATATCATAAATTATCTTTAAGAAAACAGTAGTTGCCGTTTATAGTGATCACATTCGGCCGAGAGTATTTTGATCGCTATAACCGGAAATCACTATAAGCGGTGATTCGAAAACAGGTAAAAAATATCGGAGAAATAAATAATTTTACATATATACATACATACGTTTTATAGGTTCTTCCAAAAAGTTAGTGATGTTCACCTGTTTTTTTTTTATAGATTTATTGGGGCCACAAAATTTCACTTTGCCAATTTACCCATAAGTTGCGCCACTGGTTTGAATTGTTCATACAATTTGTTTGTCAGTCTATCAGTTATCAGTCATACACATATACGGTCATTCTTGAATGACAATCAACGTTATTTACAATCAAGACTGACAGTTTATGATGGGCTTTAGGTTGATTTATCTTACATTAGATTAGATTAGGTTCGTAAATTAATAATCGTCAGATTTTTCTTCTTTTTGTGCATTATTGTATAATTTTCTATTTCTAATATCACTATTTCTGATCATTAAAACCGAAAATTTGAACATAGTAAGCGATGAAAGATGCACTGATAACTACTGTTTGTTCCATTTCTGGCATTTTTGTACACTATAGGCGACTGATTCTTATAACCAGTAAACACTGTAAGCGGTGACCACTGTATTAATAATATACATTTTATACGATAGGAACTTTTTTGTAGAATTTTTGATCTAGTTGGTACATTGGGTAAATTGTATTTTTTTTGATTTTCCTCAGGGTTTTCTTAATAAATGAAAAAATCGGATATTTTCAGAATAATTTTTGTCGATTTCTGAGTTATCTTGATAACAAGGAGACATATACGACTAATTCCACTCAAAATCGTCTTTCATTAAATGTTGCGTACAGATATAAATTGAATTACATTTAAATCCCAACTTCTTTTCAATAATAGTGGCATGATCATCAGCAGTATCAGCCTTTGTTAAATCGTACTATACCTACCAATATTCAGATCAAAAAAAAAAAAAAAAAAAAAAATTAATATTATTTTATACAGGTTTATAAACTAAATTTTGGATTTATTTGTCGACAATTTTAAACAATGCAAGTCAGTATAAATAACAGCTACAATTGAAATGATATTATACTATTATATTAGTTTTATTTATTGCGGTTCGAAAAATCGTAGGTACGCGTCGTGTGTATACAATAATAAAATAATGTTATAAGAGTGTCGAACTGCACTGTGCGGTATGGCGTGCAACGCACGTTCGTTTCCACCAGGCGGGTACAACACGAATTTGTGATTAGATTTGTCAAGGTAAGGTTATACGTGCTGTATTATAATAATAATGATAATGTACATCTTACAGATGATAATCATTTAAGACCTACAGAACAAAAAGAACGGAAAACAAACCAGCACATAATTCGACGAGGCGTTGAATTTTCGAAATACAAAAAAAAAAAGAACCGTTCCTGTTACGTGTAAACGACCCTCTACGCTACGTCATTTGTTTTAAAATTAAATATTTAACAAATCTTAATTGGTAAGCTTACGGTTCGATATTCTATTACACACATGTTCTTTGATGGTATACAAAAGAATTACATTTTCTGAAAACTGATACACGTTTCACTCTGTATATATAATACGCAAAAACCCGAATAATATAATATTGTAAATATGAATCGATAATCTGCAACATTATTCGAAATAAAAATAATATGTTTATGCGAAATATTATTTTGTGGTGAATCTACTGAATTAAACAATATTTTTTTATTATATATACTTATATTTGGCTAATTTGTGTCGCGAAGGTCTGTGGAAGTGCAGAGACCGTCTAAGCAGCCAGTATAAATTCTATCGAAAATTCAATCTATAGTATTATTATGTTGAGGTTCGTCGATTTTTATTCTCGATATTCTGCGGCCGGGGGAAAATAGTCACAACAAAACGGTAAATCATACGTAAAAAATATATAGCGCCCACGCGTACCTATATCATACATATATGAACAGTATAATAGTATAAAAACCGCGGTATTGTCGTGTATATAGTATTTTATTATAGCGTTGTTCACCTGTTATTAATATTATAACACAATATTGCACACACGTTTTAGAGAGAGAGAGAGAGAGAGAGAGAACTATAATAAACGAGAGAGCTGGACGGGGTACCACAGCGGTGTTATACGGAAGAGACTTTAACGGTGGCTCCGTCGATATTATCAGAATTACTATTTATACAAAGTAATAGACATATAACGTTTTTATTGGGACTTGAAGGTAAGGGAATTATTTCTAGATTTTCCGTATACTATTACCGATACTATTGGAAATCGCAAAATAGTGCTAAAAATCAGGCGGCTAACCCGTGCCCCTCTCTTGCCTGCCGATTCTTTTACCACTGAGTTACCCAGTGTTCGACCTTCAAGGCTATTTTCGATTGTCTTAGACCATCTATAGCTAACACTTTACTGTAAAAAATATTAGCGTATTACTATTGTTTAAATCAAAAATCCAGATAACGTAGAAATAATTGTGTCCTCTCCGGACGGACGCCCTCAAATACAATAATATAAAGTTACTTCGTGATGGAATTATTATTGTGAAAACGCGTATAATATAATATATTATATAGGTATTACAAGGTTGGGTTATAACTTACCGGGATATCATTCGCACGATCATTTCAGATTTGATGCGCAGCAGGACGGGGTGGACGGGCGCACTGCACTGCACAAACACGAAAATGGAAAAAAATAAAATGGCGCGAAAAAAAATAATTATAAAATACCGCGGAAAATAATTTTAATACGACGTAAATAATGTGTACGGAGACATCCGGAGACTTCTGAGACTTATAATTATTCGCTTATAAGACTCGAAGACACGGGTAAGTGTAATAAGTAACTGCTCGTATTATATTATTTTGATCACGTTGTCGGTCGGTCAGTTCGTCACGACGGCAGCAATGTCGGTCGTGTCTCGGTCGCGGTTCGCGTCACACTGCTGTGGCCGAGCAACGAGCAGCTCATTCAAAAAAACGTAAAAAGGAACGGAATAAAAAAAAAAGTAGTAATAATAATAATAATAAACACTCATCGCGCGCGTACCTTCGACACGACTCCCACTATTCGAACACGACGACGACGCGACGGTAACGTGCGCGTATATTTAATACCAGTCTTGCTCGCGAGCGGAGGGGTATTGCGCCACCGTGACGAGGCCCACTTTTGTACGAATTACGGATATTTTTTGTATTTTTCCTGTCCACAAACAACTTTTCTACCAAAAATTTAGTTACACGATATGGAAGTGTACCTTATTTTTTTCTGTAGTGTGGTACGTCGAGGAGTTATTTTTTAAAATTTTTTTTGCAGTTTTCAATTGGGAAAAATCCCTAAAAAAAAAATTATGGTTATACTGTTTTTAGTTTTCTTACTGTACACTTATCAAAAATCTTGTTCTGATTTTTTCAAGCTTTGTATTTTTCTGTAAGAAAATTTTGTATAAATGTTTTTATTTTTTTTTGTCTCAAATAACTTTTTGAAACGAAATCTTAAATAGAATATAGTACCTTTTCAGAAAGATAATTTTCTCTAGTTGGTGTATTGGAAAGCAATTTTTTGATTTCCCAATGGGGGTTTCAAAATAATTGGAAAAAACTTGATGGAAAATTATAGGTAAAACGGTAAATTATTACAGTACGTCACGGCGTTACCGTTTTCATTGTTTTTAATTTTTGTTTACAATGTTTTTAGCTACAAATGTTGCTCCTATCGAAAAATGACAAGAGATGGATTTTGTTCCTTTTAATATATAACCATTGAGAAAAGAAGTAGGTTTTTTTATTATCAAAATTAGTTTTCTAAAAAAAAAACGAATAATAAGATTTTTTTTCAAATTACGGTGAAACGATTTCATTATTTGTTTAAAATGTTAATGACTTACTTTTCTACCATAAATATTGCTTCGACAGAAAAACGATAAGATAAGATTTTTTTTTAAATTTTTTATCTTTTTCATGCGTCAATGAATTTCGTTTTTTTTAAATTTTCTTGGTAGTTCTTTTAATAGTTAAAAAAAATGTAATTCTTTTGTTATTTAAAATTTTGTTTTTTTTAATTATAATTCAGTTAAAAATATATGTAGAGATTTGAAATTCGGACAGAAAACTTATATTGCTTTTCTAGACATGGTCAAATTTTTAAAACTTCTGAGCCATTTTTGAGCTATTTATAAACATTTTAATTCTGCAAGTTTTTTATAATTTTTATTCGGTTGGTATTCTGTGAATAAAATTGTTAAACTAAATAGAAATTCTTGAAAATTTGGTAAATATTTTATTATAATTTATACTTAGTGATCAAAAAAAGAAATTGATGGTAATGTAGTATTTTATTTATTTTTTTCATGAGTTTTAGAATAATTTTTGACGAAAATCGTAAATATTACAGTCTTTCAAAACATGTATAACCGAACTTTGCTACGAATTGTTTTTCGTTAGTAATGGTTATTGTTGGTCATGGATATAAAATTAAATAGTGTTATGTATCCCATTTTCCCAACTACTCACCTTTAACAATGGCCATACCCATCCCCAGTATCAGCTAATTGTTTCATCATATTTTATTTATCGTGAGAAAATTTAGGTCGTATTCACATTGTCAAACTTAGTCAATTGGTTGACAAATCAAAATTCGTCAAACCTAAATTCTAAAATTTTCTTTAGCTTTTCTGTTTCAATATCACTTTGTTTATAACGACTGCAGAACTGCCTTAGTACGAATAGAATTTCTTATAGGTGTCCTAGACAATAGAAATATTTACAATAGCTATTTTACTATATTTTATAACATACAATTTTGAAATAGGTAATTTAATGTTTAAAATTCGAAGTTTGGTCAACTAGTAAGAATATATTTTTTTTATTGTAACCAAGATAATTATTAGGTAACTCAGAAATAAAAAAAAAACCAACAGAATATCATTTGGCAGGTTTTTATATTTTTGGAAAATCTTTTAGAAATATGGAAACAATATTTCAAGGTAATTAGTGAAAATTCCGAATCTTTTCAAGTACTGCGTGAGAAAATCAGATCATTTCACTCTCCAAAGAAAAAAAAAAAAAAAATCTTTTTAAAATATACAACTAAATTATCAACGGGTGTAAAATCTGCATCTATAAATAACATGAACAATTAGTGTATTTTTACTAACTGAGTATTTTACAAAAAATAAAAATAAGAGTTACAAAATATAATAGCTGTATTTAGAATACTAAAGACGTATTTTTCTTTCTTCAATCCTGCTGACTACTAAACAGTCTTGAGCGATTTCTAATCGTAAAAATGATTTTATTTTTTACAATTTTGATTTTGAATAGTTTCTTTTATAATTAGTAAAATTCTCAGTGCTTCGTAAATATCCGGAAATTGTTCTATTACTTGATTGTTGATTTTCTTAATGTTTTTACTCTTCAACAAAATTCAAACTCAATGTTATTTTAGATTCTACGGTTAAATAATAATAATAAAAAAAAAAAATCAAACTCTCTAAAATTAACAGCGAAGTCTAAGCCTACGCCTTAAACCAGCCCTGACTAATATCAAAATCAAAATCATAAAATCAGTTAAAACGAGAACATAACTTGTTATTTTACGTCCGTTTTGTCCGCTGTTTTATATTTTAAGCGAGATACGGGCATTTAAAAATATTATGATATTTTTAGACATTCAAATCTTGCATTGCAATGAAACTACCGGAAAAAAATCCACAGATAATTTGTTGATTTAAAGATTGATAATAGGTCTATTCGCTCTGATATTAAAACTAAAAGCAGAAAATCGGTTTTGTTGAATGCTAATCTAGGTACTATGTCGTGCGTTAAGTTAAACGGAGACAACAAATGCCCATGTCCTCTAGACGGGATTAATAACCGACAACAATATTATTATTATCGGCACCTGTATCTTATGTGTTATTTATCGTTGTAATACTTACGGTATGGTGCCCGAATTAGTGGCGGTGCTCGGGGCTCCGTTCCCTTTCGTATAAATATAGCGGCCGTTTTGATGATAATATTTGGCCCGCCGTCGTACGCTTGTAAATTAATAATAATAATATTATGTTATTATAATATATCGAACGGATTTTTGTTTTGGTCCGCGGCTGGCACGCCTCGGGACGAACAGAAAAAAAAAATAATGTAAAAAAACCGGACTTCTGACGTGTTACATACTTATACGCCAACCTATACGAATTCGGCGCGATATCACACGCGATCGTCGTCCGATATAATTATTATGAATCGAATATACTTATACTACGGACCGCCCTCGCCGGTGTCGGTTCGATTAATAATAATAATCGTCGGATGTCGACCCGCTACCGGTCTTATTTGGTGGATATTTCGCGCTTTCCCCCTCCCGTATGACATTATATAAATACATATAATCAGGTTGTTTGGTAACATACACCCTGTATTATTTTTCCACAACGCGAAAAAATAGAACGGTTTTCCGGACAAGTGACGTATTTACAGGGGGTGATCAGGGAGATATGTCCTCTCCCTTTGACCTTTTTTTTAATACTTATCTAACTTTTATTCATATCACTATAATATGTTTTAGACTCTGAGCGAAGCGTATATTGGTTTTACAATGGTGTTTATTTTTTAATTTTTTTAATACTGTGTATACAATTGCTCTAATCAAAAAATGACAAGAGACCTCTTTTGTAGCGTTTTGGATCTAGATGGTAATTTAAGGTGGTTATACTTAGATTTTTCGAATGGTTTTCATAAAAATAGGGAAAAACCGAAAAAAACGAACTGCACAAACTTACGGCGTTAACGTTTTGTTTAATTCATACTTCTATATTTTATCGTATATTGTTTATAGATCAATTAAATATATACAATTATATAATAGTAAACAATTTTTACTACCTATACAACATAATATAATATGTTCACTGAGCAATTCGTTATAATATTCAATATGTATTTATTTTACTATAATAATATGACATAATATAATATATTGTTAGACAAGCAATACTATTAACCGAGCTCCCCTAAGAATCTACTATAGTGGCCTACTCGCATGTGAATTATGTCCGTTTTTTTAAATTCAAATTTCTGTACTTACCTTCACAAAATATATTTAGTATAATATATATAAAAAAATCGTTTTTCGTTAGCTATGGTTTATCGTAACTAACAGGTATACATAGAATTCTCTACAAATAGTACATCAACTCTACACTGTATGTATCCTCCTTTTCGACATTCCTCCTAAACAGTGGCACACTCATCAACAGTATCAACTTTTATTTTAGTTTTCTCCTTGCTAGTATGATTATGAGTATGTTTATCTCCTAATTTCAGTGTTATAAATCTTTAAATTATTTAAACATAAAACTTCTGTATACATTGGTTCTTTTAGATTCTGAGTGTAGCGAAGAATGTATTGGTTTACTAAGATGTTCCTTTTTTTTTTTTTATCCTGTGTACAAAAATTCTACTAGAAACCTTGTTCCGATATTTATACGAGGCACCATTTTCTAAAGGAAATATTGCCCAGATGGTACATTTGGGTCATTTTTTGATTTTCCAAGAGATTTTCATAATTTTTGGGAAAAACTAGGATAAAACTTAAGAAAAATGGGAAATGTACGAAAATAATGCTTTTATTTTTTTTAATTTGTTATAATTCAGTTAAAAATACTCGTAGAGATTTGTAATATGGACACAAAATTTATATTTGTCTTTTTTAGACAAGGTAAAATTAAAAAAAAAAAAATTCAAGCCATTTTTGAGCTATTTATAGACATTTATTTTTTGCGAGTTTTGTACGTAATTTTTATTCAGTAGGTATGCTGTGGTAAAACTGTTAGACTTAATAGAAATGCTTGAAAATTTTACAGGAGATTCATTAAGAGTCTTATTTTTTGGTCAAAAGAAAAAAAAAGATTTAGTGTAATGTAGTATTTTTTTTA